GAGAGAGAGAGAGAGAGAGAGAGAGAGAGAGAGAGAGAGAGAGAGAGAGTATAGCCCAGATCTGATGGGACTTTAAGCCTGAATTTGTCTACATGTGGCTCATGTGAACTCGTTTGTCTCCAGGTGGAGTTGGAGGTATATGACTTCTTCTTTGAGAGGAGCTCCCCCATCACAGTCCACATCTCCATCAGAACAGCAGACACGAATGCTCCCCGGGTGTCCTGGAATACAGGTGTGGGTGTAGTCCAGAGGGAAATACAAGGTAGTAGATGGGTCAAAAAAATACTTTAATTCCATTTCATCCCTGAGGTAATGGAATCCCAGACAGACCAAGGGCAGCAGACAGTTATCTCTGTCCTGCTTTTTCCTACTAGCTAGTGAGAAACTGAAATCCAGCATCTTTGAATCCTCTGGCTACCTTCCTTCTTGGGGAGAGACACCATAAAAATGGCCCCCTTTCAAAGGAACAGAGTAAGAAAGTGGCTGCTTGTGATACTGGCTGAGAGTAGGACTGAGAAAGAAGAGATCTCTGACTCAAAACTAGCAGAGGAGTGGGAGCCAGGTGCAGCCTGGAACCTGTTGTCCTAGCTTTTGTTGGGTAGCATGGAAACCGAAATAAGTAAATAAGACTTAAGTAGCTTTTTAAAAAAGAAAAAGACTTTATACCGCCACTCAATTCCAAGTAGACTGGGAATGTGATTTATATATTTGGATCAGATGCAAATGAGGAATGCAAATGGATTTTCTTTTCTCACTAATGCCATCAATGGCATTCAAAACACCTTGGAGCAGTGGTATAGGTCATGTTAAGAGGGTTGTATCCTTGTCTGACCAGTTCTAAGCTTAGGCTTATCATTCTGAATATTCGAGGGATAATGAGAGAAATGAAGGACCAAAGTCAAGTAGCAACACTACCTTTGTCTAGATTACTTGTTTTAGTGAGATGGAATCATGTGTGATAGCTACATGATGCTCAGACGCATCAAGGAAGCTTCAGGTCTGTGTCTGGCTGCTGTAGACAGTACAAGCCTCTTTAAAATGAATTTTTACTTGTTATGAACTTGGTATCTGCTATTACTGAAAAGTTAGAGAATGTATTAAAAAGAAGGATAGTTCTTCATTTTCCCACTACACATACTATAATATTATTGCTGTTAGCATTTTGATGTGTCGGTTGACTTTTAGTCTTCTTGGATGTCTCTCTGATGTATCCCAGGATGCCATGCATATGCTGTGCTGTGTGTGCGTATGTCACTTCAAAACCCCTATATCCATCCTCAACACCACCCTGAGAACCCAGGAGGCTTTTCAGCAGCCATGGAGCTCATTGGCATATGCTTGTCTTCCTCTTATCTGAATCCCCCCTCCCTGGCTCTTTCCCTCCCTTTTTACCCCCTTCCTTTTCTTCCCTCCCTCTTCTCACTTCTTCCTTTCTTTTTTTTTTTTTTTTTCAGTCATAGCTGCCTTAGCCCAATTTCCCCAGGAAACAGACTTTGAGGCAGATCCTGTATTGAACCTACCCTGAAAAGGAAGAGTGGAAGGTGGGGTGGGGTGGGGGTCACTAGTCTTCTCTCTGTGTAACAAATACCCAGGACAACCAACTTATGAGGAGGACAGGTTGGCATAGATCTAGAAATCCAGTCCATAATTAGTTGGCCCCATGCTTTGGGGCTGTGATGAGGTAGCACATCATGACAGAAGCTTGTAGGGAAGCAAAGTTGCTCACCTCATGGCCAGGAAGCAACAAGACAGAGGATGGGGAAGGGGCTGAATTCTACAGTCACTTTTAAGGGCATGGTCACAGTGACTTACTATCTACCCCATGTCAGACCTCCTGAAAGCACTATCACCTCTCTTACTATGGCCACCCTGTAGACCAAGACTATAAGATGTGGGCCTTTTGGTGATGTTTCATATTCCAAGCTACAGAAGGTGACAAGGCTGAGCTGGCTGTAGGGAGAGATCCCGACACCTGTACCTCCTGGGCGTGGTCACAGGTATGCAAAGGATAGGATAAAGGAACGAGGTGGAGCCAGGTTCGCTCTTGCTCCGGGTTTAGCCAGCTTTGGGAAGCATCTGAGACCTGACTTCTCGGAGTGCCAAATCTGGTTACTGATTTCCTTGTGTGAATATATATTTCCCAGTAAATTACCAGTTAATAACCTATCTCCGGTTCCATTCTTGTTCCTCTTTATCTGGCCACAACTTTTCAGTAAGATATATGGATTACTCTGTTGTTGTGGTGTCCCCATGAAGCAGACACAACAAGCGTTTCTGAGAAGAGTCTGGTGGATGAGAGAAGAGAGAGCTGTCTGTCAATCCCCGGTTCTACTGAGAGATAAAAATGCCTGATGGCTATGTGGAGCTTCAGCCAGAGACCATGTTTTTCCTATTACCAGTGATAGAAACTACAGACTTCCTCTGGCATACTGAGTCTAAGCAGAGGTTTTGTTTCAACCTTTTAGTTGTATAAATCCATCTCTAATTAGAGTTTACACTAATATACGTTTTATTTCACTAAGTGCCAAGCACTCCACATCTAACATCTAGGTACATCTAACATCTGCCTCTAACATGCCAGATACAGTGGCTCTGTCTAAGGATATAAGGATATGCATTCCCCACCCCATGGGGTTATGTATGTTCTTGTAAGTCATATGCAAAACCCTTTCTAACTCTTGTCCTCTTAAACCATATAGGTATGATTTCTGAGAAGTTCCCTCTGGACTCATTAAAACTAGGAACCTCTGTGAGCCTAACTTCTGCTTTCTCCTTCAGCATTTAGATTCTGATATCATCATGGCTCTTAAGAAATCAGTTGTCAGGTTGAAATTAGAGCCAAGTTTACTAAGAATATTCAAGTTTCATGAAAAGCATTTGAAGATACAACTCTGAGATAGATTTATGAATGAAAACTCATTAACCTTAAGCAGCTACATTGTAGAACATGTTTCTGTATTTCCTTATAGGTCTGAATCTCCTGGAGGGGCAATCTCGGGCCATCACTTGGGAACAGTTTCAGATCGTCGACAATGATGACATTGGTGCTGTGCAATTGGTCACCATTGGTGGCCTGCAGCATGGACGGCTTACAGTAAGAGGTCAATGATTTACCTGTTCAACCCAAAATTGAATTCAGGGACTATTTTCTTCAAAAGTAAATCACATCATGGGACTAGGGAGACAACTCAGTTGGTAGCACACGTCCCAAGCAAGTGTGATGACCTGCGTTCAATCCTCAGAGCTGCATAAAAGTCCTATGTGGTGGTGCATGCTTTTAATCCAGCCCTCAGGCTTCCTAGTCAACTAGCCTAGCCAAATCCACGTGCTCCAGATCCCAGTGACAGATCCTTCTCAAAAGACAAAGTGGAAGGGGCTAGAGAGATGGCCTGGGGGTGGGGTGGGGTAAGAGCACTGGTGCTTGAGGGAGGACCCAGGTTTGATTCCCAGCATTCAACGGTGGCCCACGGCTGCCCTTAACTCCTGTTCCAAGGGATCTGATGCTCTTTTCTGAGCTCCACAGGGACCAGGCACACATGTGGTGAACATACATACATTCAGGCAAAACATTCACACAATAAAAATAAATAATGATAGCCGGGCAGTTGTGGCACATGCCTTTAAACCCAACACTTGGGAGGCAGAGACAGGCAGATCTCTGTGAGTTCAAGGCCAGCCTGGTTTACAGAGCAAGTTCCAGGACAGACTCCAAAGCTACAGAGAAACCCTGTCTTGAAAAACCAAAATAAATAAATATATAAATAAGAATTTAAAAACAACAGCTATAAAAACAAGATGGAAGAAGTTAGACAGGTAACTCAGTTACAAGCACAGGCTGTTCTTCCAGAAGGCCCAAGTTTAACTATCAACATCTATCTGACAGCTCAAAGTCATCTTTACCTTCAGCTCCAGGGACTTCTGACTCCCTCTTTGGGCTTCCACAGGCACCAGGCATGCATGTGGTACATAGATGTATATGCAAGCAAAACCCATGTATACATAACACTTCAAAAAATCTTTAAAAAATAAGGCATCGGGTCCCTGTGGAATGAGAGTTGAGATTGAGCTCTGGCATGTACAGCACCCCGCCACACATACTCATATACATGTAGATGCTTACCTGCATGAGCACACACAGATACACACACATACATATGCATGTGCAAGCACACACACAGCATATTTAACAGGGTATGTATATCAGTTCTTGGATGCCTTCCAAACTGAAATCATTATAGTCAGATGATATGGAGATATTGAAACTCAACTTTCTAAGATGCTTACATCCCTTATGAACTACGTCTTTTACTTGGTCGTTACTCAGACTTCAGGTTTGCTCTATGTGTGTCCCCAGTTGGAGGACAAAATATTTCTGTTTCAGAGAAATACATTGTAAAACAGGGGAAAAAAACTTCTAAAAATGCTTCAACAATAATGATGTTATTATGTTGCTATTAGTGGCCACACTTTAAAAGTTTAAAAGACATGGATTTGTAATGATAAGGATGATAGATAAGAAGGAAGTAGCCCTTATAAAAGTGGTGTTCATGTGATTGTCAAAGGCTGTTCCTTATAATGCCCTAAGAGGATTTAATCCAATTATCCTCTTATTTTGCTTAGTAAAGAAAAGGGAGAACTTACATTTACCATTGCTTGTAATTGGGAAATTCAGAATTGAAAAGAAACGGATTACAGTAAATCCTGCCTAATTCCAGGACAGTGGGAGACAGTTGAAACTGGAGTGCAGCAGTCAGGACCAGGGGTCGGTCCAAAGCCACGCTATTGCAGCAACATCATAACCAGTGGTATTTTCTTTGTGTCTGTGAACCAGGAACCAGTAAAAGATAGAAAGAACAAAAAACAAGGCACAACATATAACTTTGCAGTTCTTAACAAGTTTTCCAGAGGCCCAGTGCAATGACTTGCATTTCTTTTGTAGTAGTCTGTGCAGGAATGAAACTGTTTATTAATGCTATGGAAGTGAAATTGGGATGGTAACCCATGATACAGTGGTGTTCTGGAATCTGAGAGGAGAGAAAGTCATACTCACACTTGTTAATCCTTCACTTTGTGTCAGATGCTGGGTCAACCATTCTATAAGCTTTCGTTCATTTTCCTCACCTCACCCCTATGAAGTAAGATGCTATTATTGTTCCTATTTTACAAACAGACAATTTTGAAAACTCATCTCGCTTAAGGGTGTACACCTAGGAAGTGACTAATGTGGATTTATACCTCTGCTTCAGTCAGGCTCTATCTCTTGTTCTCATAACTTTAGCATGCACTCACCCTCAGGGTGGGCTTAGTCAAACATAGGTTGTTGAGTCCCGTCTCCAGAATTTCTGATTAAGTAGGCTCAGAGCAGAGCCCAAGTAATTGCATTTTTAATAATTTCCCATTTGGTGCTGATGCTGCAGGTTGGAAAGATTGCTTCCCTAGGCACTGCTGCCATGCCATGACAATGACCTGAGAGTTAATCAATATTTATCAGAGGCTTACTGTTGTTGGAGTTCTCTCATGTTGCCATGGGATATCTGCATCCATATTTATTTGTATCTACTTATGTTTGGCAGGATCAGTCAGAGAAATGAAACCAATAGAATGCATATAAATATATAAGGGGAGGGGAGGTTTATTATGGGGAGTGTGTGTGTGTGTGTGTGTGTGTGTGTGTGTGTGTGTGTGTGTGTGTATGGAGACTGAGAAACCTCATGATGCATTTGTGGAAAGAACATGCCAAGAAAAGCCAATCAAGTAATTCAGTCCTAGGCCAGTAGGGTAGTGATTAAATAATTCTCAGTCAAGTCCAAGGTCAAAGCCCTGGGAAACAAGGTGGGTGACTGTCAGAGAGGTGTGAGTCTAAGGTCCAAAGGCCCACAAAGTCTGGGGGTGGAGAGAAGATGACTCAGAGAGGGAGAGGGAGAGAGAGAGAGACAGAGAAACAGAGAGACAGAGAGAGAGAAAGAGAGAATGCTCATCCTTCCTCTCCATTTTTGTCTTCGGACCATAACAGTCAGGTATCTTTTAGTAACTCTAATGTTATTATTTTTCCTGTTTCACAGAGTCTCAAATACTTGTCTCAAGTCCACACAGGTAGTAAGTTGGAGAGCCAGTATTCAACACTAGATGTGGAATCCTGTCACTCACTAAACTGCACAGTTTACACACTGTCCTTGACTTACACTTTTTGTTTTGTTTTTACATTTTTGAGGTGTCATAGGGACTACTCTATGTGTGTTTGAGTTAGAACATTTCTAGTTTGTGATGGTGTATGGGGCATAGCTCCATGGCGAGTTTAGGAGCATCTGTGTTACCATTGCTTCCCATAGCCCACTGTGCTATAGTGATTCCTTCCTCTTCCCCCTTCCTTGATCACTCAGTACCACATCTGCTCTCTTCATCAGAGGGAAAAGGATTTCTCTTCACTGTGGCTGATCTACAGGCTGGAGTTGTTCGCTATCACCATGATGACAGTGACTCTACCAAAGACTTTGTGGCTTTTAGGATATTTGATGGCCAACACAGCAGCCATCACAAGTTTCCCATCAACATCCTGCCTAAAGATGATAGCCCCCCATTCCTCATAACCAATGTTGTTATTGAACTAGAAGAGGGGCAGACTGTCTTGATCCAAGGGTCCATGCTGAGAGCTTCAGACATGGACTCCAGTGATGACTACATCTTCTTTAATATCACCAAGTTCCCACAGGCTGGGGAGATCATGAAGAAGCCAGGGCCAGGACTGATAGGTAAGTTCTAGGCAGGTAAGATAGTTTGAATGGAATTGAATCTTTCTTTAAAAAATTTTGTATTACAGTCAAATTTGTGTAAGGTTAGACACTACATTTATGAAGCAAAATATTATGTTTCCATCTTATGCAGTGAAAACTTAAGACTTATTTTGTCAGCCTACTACCAAAGTTGTACAGCTAGGAAGTTCTGGCACTCAACCTCAAGATGACCATTACATTATTAAAAATTAAATCAGCCAAGAAAGGCAATAGAATAAATAAGTGTGGTGGGAGATATTTGGGAGATATTCTCAATGGCTACTCAAATAGTTTCATTAATATATTTGCTTACATTTCGGTGACAGGAGTTTGACAACATGGATGAAATAAGTAGAATTTTTTAAGTGTATTTGAAATAAAAGCTATTCCTTGGAAATACTTTTTCCATTGTTAATCTCCACATTGAGATAGGGCAATTTTAATCCACTGCTCTACATTTTGTTTAAAGTATTTAATGCAAATCCTTGGCTATAAAGAACACACTATCACAGAAGATGTTGGGAGGTGAGCTCAGTTTCATTGGGCCCCACTGAAATTGTGTGGTATTTTGTGGCCCCATTAGGGTATCCTGTCCCTGGCTTCCTTCAGAGAGACCTGTTCAATGGAATCATTTACTATCGTCACTTTGGTGGAGAAATCTTTGAAGATTCTTTTGAATTTGTCCTGTGGGACAGCCACGAACCTCCAAATCTCTCCATGCCACAGGTGAGAGACCATTTCTGAACACCTTCCCAAAGTTTTATGTGCTCTAAAGAGGTGTTATAAAAAATACATGGCAACAGGTTTCAAGGTTCAAAGTCTGTGAAGCAATGGATTTGGCAAAATTAAGCAAGCCTCCCCCTCCCAGTACTATGCCCACTCTTTCCTAAAGCACTTGGCAAGTTTCTATGTGGCCACTGTTTCTAATGTTGCTTAGCCATAATACATACATAGTTAACCTCACAAATTTGCTCACTTCATAAGGCCCAAGAAGACATGCTTTAAAGATAGTGTTTAAATTACCAAGTCCAGGGTGAGACTTCCTGAGTTTTTCTCCAGTTCTTGACACTAGCTAATCAACCTCCATTCCTCTTTACTTATTTTTCAAGCAAGGGACAGAAACTCAATAACAAAGTTAGTGTAGGAATAGTGACATATTACCTGGAAAACACTGAGTTTTCAGGCACCTGGCAAATACTCAAAAAATAGATTTGTTGTTTTTAGGATCTCAGATCTGACTAGCCCTAGAGGATATAATTTAAGTCTACAGTAAGCAGAAATAAGATGAAGCAAACATTATCACATAGAAATCATAAAAGATGGGATCAACGTAGCACATGAACAACTGTAAAAGTGTGGGGAATAGGGGTTGCATTTCAAAGGGAGCAATTGAAATTAAGTGATTATGGACTTTATACACCATTGTTGCTGGTCATTTTATACCTGCTACCTTCAAAGTTGGCATATTTGTGGATGCAAGCAAATCTCAAACCTGTTCAAGAAAGAATACTTACAGCTTGTGTCCTATTGCCATAATGGATTCCTAGAATGCCACAGCCACTGAAAATAGCCATGGTCCTGTCCTGACCAGCAGAACGTCAACCTGGGACAAGAGAGTTCTGGATAGGGAATGGGGACAACAGACATAGAAAGAATGACCACAAGACAGGATTCTGATCAAGTGGCAAACTTTATTTTTCTCAGGCTAGCTTATATAGTCTGTAGAGCAGGATATGGGAAGGGGTAGAATGGGTTGTTTGTGTACAAGGTGTTAGTGTAGGCAGGATATTAGGAAGCCACAAAGAGGACGTTTGGCAGGATAAAGAGTTCATGAGTAAGAGGTCCAGGAAGGGTTGCCTGGGTGACTGAGCCTGTGGGTGGAGGACTTGGTCAAATTGTTTCTTTTCTTGAACTGAGGTTCTAAGGAGCTGCTATGTAATGGTTAATATACAACTGTGTGGCTGGCCAAGAATGGCCTAGAATCTCATGCCAAGCCCTGAGATCTTTGGCTCCCAACAGGGTGCAAAAGACCAAGTTGTACATCTGTTTGCTGACATGGACATACTAAAGGGGGAGCTCTGAAAGAAGGGTGTCATAGGGCTTGAAACCTGAAGAACTCAGTGATGTCTTTTAGGATAGGGTGGGCAGGGGAGAACTCTAAATTCATCTGCGTTTTTACCAGCAACTCAACTCCTTTTAAAGTAATCACCCCCTCATTTCATCGATGCAGTGTACCTGTCATTTATGGGCTGAGCCTTTTCAGGAGATTGTTCTTGATTGACTAGCTCAGAATGGTAACCATCAGCAAGATATATTTCTAAGTGCTCTGTGCATCTGTTCAAGCTGCCGCTAGAACAGCATGCCATGTTCAGAAGGCTCTATGTCTTCTTGGATGTTGATGTTTCAGGGCATCTTTCTTTTTTTTTTTTTTTTTTTCTTGTTAAGCATTTTAGAAATCATGTTCTTCACATATAAGAAGAGAAATATATATTATAATATAGATCAATTTAATATAACAATTATTTCTAAATCTGGGTTAATAAATCAGTCTAAATTCTATAGAGCTGGTTATAAATGGTTAAATTCCATATAATTGATGGGTTCTTTTATTATGACTTGTTTTTATTTTTTTGTATGTGATGCATACATAAATTTGTGCATGTATGTTTGTGTGCTTGTGGAGACCAGAAGAGGGCATCAGGTCTCCTAGACCTGGAGATACAGATTTTGTGTGCTACCATGCAGATGCTGGGAATGGAGCCTAGGTCTTACTATTCTGCAAGAATAGTAAGTGCTCTTAACCAGTGAACTATCTATCCAGGCCCGGGATGTTTTTTAATTTGTTTGTTTTGAAGAAAGTCACAATAACACATTTCCCTGCTTCTATGTTCATATATTTATGGGCTAAGGAAGAGAGACAGAGTGGGAAGGCTACAAAATTGCCCTGTCTTTATGTAGCATGTTGTTTAGTTGTTGTATAGATTGTATTTTTTCAGTTGCCTCTGTTCCTCACATACTATTTTACTTGTTTTTCCCCTAAACCATATGGACCATTACTATTTACATCACATTTGCATTATATTAAATATTGCTAGTAATATGAATATAATTTGAAGTACACAAGGGGCTACATGTAGGCTCTATGCAAATAAACCAGCATTGTATATAAGGGACTGGAATATCCACAGATCCACAGTGGGCAGTGGAACTCCTGCACACACTTTTTCTAGCTCAGATTGTGTGTTCACCCCATCTCTACCCAGCACTTGTCTCTGTCATCAGCATTTAAAAGCCATATTGTTCAACAAACGTTTAGTGTATTTTCCTAAAAACTTATACAAAAAGAACTGTATTTATAGAGTGGCCAGCTCTAACAATGGAAGTAATTCTTGCTACTGAGAAATAACACTGGGTATTTTAAACAAAGAAAAATAAAGAGCATGCTAGAATCAGAGCTTAGGGTACATGAAGGATCAACAATTCGGGCCACAAGAAAGTCAGATGCCACCTGGCAAAGTGTAACCACAGAGCCTGAATCCAAGGGTCAGGGTCCGACCCAGTCATATTGCATGCTGGCCTTTCACTCATTCTTCTGATTCCTTCTAAGTCTGTCTGTGTATGCTTATGGCCACAGGGACATTGGAGGACTTGAGGGAAGTTGGAGTCCAGAGAGTTGTGACTGGTATGAAAATGGGTTCCCACTCTGCCTGGGAATGGGCTCTTAATAATATCTCTGTTATAAACAGATTCCAGAACAATGAGAATGCTTTTATTTCTCTGTGGAGTTTGCTAAAATGGAATTTTTCTTGCCCACAGACACATACACTAATTGTTTGAGCATGCATAAATATGTAAAGACACATCAACTTAGGCGATCATAAAGCATGTTGAAAAATGCGCCCACCAAGAATTACTACAGGGGATAAAAAGCATGCTCTTCCATTCTTCTTTCATAAAGAACACATTGGAGAATAAATTAGCATGGAAAATGGTCTCTTTGAAGGCACAATAACTATTGTTTCCTTATTAAATCCAGTTTTTCAATTAAGGAGAGCCTGGCTGATCCACACTATTGCTGTGAGAGTCCATAGAGAATTTCTGAACTTTGTAGATTAGAAAAATACTGTAAGTGGGGAAAAAATCATGACACAGATTTAGGGGACTAGAATTATGATTGTCTTTATATTCTTTTATTTTGATAACTGGATTCAGTTTTTAATCACTCTAAGAAAATAACTGAATAATTTATAGACAACAGAAACATTTCTTACTGTTGGAAGACTGGAAAATCCAGGATCAATGTAACAGAAGATTCTTTTTTTTGGTGAGGGTAATTCTTTGTTAACAAGGTGCCACCTTGTTGGCTTGTACTTGCTCCTAAGAGGACAAATTCTAGGCCCTCACAAGGCAGAACAGGATGGAAGGACAGACGTTCCCTTTCACATGCTTTTATAGTGACCTAAGCCATTCATGGGGGCAGAAACCTCATCCTAATCATCTCTACTGTTGCACTGCTGGGGAAGTTCCAAGATGAGTCTTGGAGGGGAACAAAGCACTCAATGGAACTGCAAAGAAGAAGCCAAGTTCAGGAACAGTTCCAACTGAGAAACTGGGAGATGAATGTAGAAGATCCTGTAAGAGTGAAAAGAATCGATTCCTAGAGGCAGCAAAGCAAAAGCATTAGAGTGAAGAAACAGTATGATATGGATCTGAGGGAGGGGAAGGTGGTCCACCATGTGTCACTAGAACCTTGGGTTTATGTTGAAAGGCAATAAAAAACAATGTTGAAAAGTGTAGTATGTGTGATCTGAGAGATCTTCAATGTCATGCTAAGGAGTTGAATAATGATACTTCATGGGTGGTTGTTTTAAGGTTTGAGGGGTAGTGAACTAATTAATTTGAATGTGTGCATGTGCGTGTTCTTGCGTGGGCACTCGAGCATGCGCGCGCGCGCACACACACACACACACACACACACACACACACACACACACACACACAAGATAGTCTCTATCCCTGGCCATCCTGGAACGTGCTATGTAGTCTTGAACTCATAGACATCCTCCACCCCTGCCTCTGGGGTGCTGGGATTAAAGGTGTATGCCACCATATCTGGCATGATGGTTATATTTTTAAAACATAAAATCAGATGAGTGAATCCCTAGTAATTTCTAAATCTCTTGACAGAAGTATATTGTCAATTGCAGTTTAGAGAAGCTGTCTTAATTATTTCTTGGTAATCCTGGGGCATTCTGTTTGGTGTTTTCTTTTATTTCAATGTAATCGAGCAGTGTGTTTTCATTCCAGATGGTGATGATCCATATCACTCCAGTAGATGACCAGCTTCCAAAAGAAGCTCCTGGCATTTCCCGGCATTTGGTTGTCAAGGAAACGGAGGTGGCCTACATCACTAAAAAGCATTTACATTTCCTGGATACGGAATCACATGATGGGGAGCTCATCTATACAATAACACGCCCTCCGTGTTTCTCCTTCAGCCACAGGTGTCTTTCTTTGTAAAGAACTGTATGTTCTACTGGTTCCTAGAGTGTCACTGTGTGGCAGTGTGAGTTACTTGCTTCGTTGGTCAGAGTTGAACTCTACATCCAATTCAGCATTCACTTTTATCACAAATTTGTTCTTTCCTTCATTGAATGACAACTAGTAAGGGACATGCAGCTTGTAGTTTTCAGCAGAGTGAGACTTAAACAGAATGGTTGAAATCCCATTTTTCTCAAGTAAAACCTTATTTTTCTTTTTAATGATGTTTATTGAAGTCTGCAAAGTGTTATTTTTTGATATGGCAGATCACTTGGTATTCGTATTTTATAATCGCAATGCAATTCAAAACAGTTTCATAAATATCCCTTAGGCTAGTGTCATATACATGACATCGAGAAAACTCTCAAGATGAGACAAATGATTCCTTTTCACATGACACAGCAAAAAAAACTTTGTTCAGTCATGCTGAGGGTAGCATAGATGATGCTACAACATAATAAGACTACAAAGATGGAGCATCTGCTTTCTCCCCACAATGAACTGTTTTTAAAAAGCTGATTGTGGTGCAGTGGTCCCTGCAAGTGCCATGGCAGGCAGGAAAATGAACCATGAAGAGGTGAGAATGAAAACTCAGTTCAGCCTGACTTAGTCTAGATCAAACTTCTGGAGAGTCTGATGCCAAGTGGTTTATAGCCAGCCTATTTAAGCACAGTCCAATTTGGTGAAAAGTTTCCTGGTGTAATACAATCCCTGGTGCCCAAAGCCACATAATTACTTCAAAACTCAACTCAGGGTACATGTCATTTCTTCTAAGAAATGGGTTCTGAAGACAGGCTGCCTGTATCAGCTTAAGGGCCCAGGGAAGGACCTGGCATGGTCCTGGTCATACAGATAGCATAGAGATCATTTGGACTATTAGCCATCTCTGGTCCTGGTTGTGGGAGCCTGCAGATAACACAGATCACAAGGCTGTTAATCATCTCCAATTCCCAGCCTTCTAGATAGACAGGTTATACTTCTTTTTCTTTGAGAGGACAATGCTAAATGCTTAACATTCCAGGTTTCCCCAATGAATGACCTGTGGGTGCAAGCATTTTTGTGGGTGATTTGATTTACTTTTTCTTAGCTGGAAAATAAGCTGATGGGGTCTATATTTCTCTTAGACACTTGGATGCCGGAAAATTATTCTTGGTGGACAGCATACCAAAGCTAATAAAAAACCCTGCAGCTCCCGGGCTGAGGTCATTTACCCAGGTATGAGAATGTGTAAAAATGTTGACCATATGTAATGTATCTTTGAGAGGGTGTGGCATTCCCAGTGTTGTGTCTGAGATGTTAGCCAGTCACTTCTACCACAGTGTCTTATGTCTTTATCCTTGTACTTGAACACTTCTGGTAAGCTGCTTGAAAGGCCTTCAACAAACTGGATGTAATTTCAAACCTTATTATAAATCCACATAGCCTTTGGTGTCATCATTTTGCCAATGGCAGGGCACTGATTTCAGGCCCCATGCCTGTGTTTTTATTCCACCAACTGTAGACCACTCATTCTTCTACTGTTTTGGTTTCTCATGGTTACCATAACAAAAACACCTTTTGTCGTTCAAAACAAAAGCCTGTTTTCCTATACTTTCCCAAGCTAGAGGTGTTAAGATGGAGACGTTGGCATGTTGTGCTCTTCTGAACCCTGCAGACTCTCCTTCCCTGCAGGTTAGCATCTAGTGCTTTGTTAGCAGCCTTTGCTATTCCCTGGCTTGCAGATGCAAATGTTGTCTTCTGTCAGTCACACCTGTCCCAATCTGTCTCTTCCTATTACAAGGAGACCAGTTTTGTTGGATTGAAGAGCTATGCTACTCAAGTGTTTCTGCTGTGTACAACTGTAATGGCCCTAGTTCTAAATAAATTCACCTTGTAAGGTTTTAAGAATTAGAACTTTAGTATGCCACTTTAGGGGGTTGCAGCTCATCCCATAATATTTACCTCTCTCCCAAATCCTTCCATATCCCACTGCTCACTCTTGTGAACTCTCCTCTGAAGACCCCATGGGGGTCTGGTATATGAGTCCTCAGGCATCAGACATCTGTGGTTTGGGGCTAATTATGCCTGATTTCTTACTAGTTAGAAGTTGTAAATGTGAAAAGTGCTACTGTTTTAATAACTTTACTAATAAGGAAACAGAAGCCTTGCATGCTTACACAATTTGTGTTAGTACAGTGACTGCAGGGAGGGACTGGGTAAAGTCCAAGTCTGCCTTTTGCAGAATTGGTTGGACTCCATCATTTGACATGCTGCCTGACTTCCTCCGTTTTCCTCTTATGTTTAGGCAATGTGGTTTACACAATAGAGCCTTGGGAAGTTTTTCATTCATGGTAATACTTACTTGCTCCGTATCAGTTAATACTGCAGTGGTCTTAGACCTAGGTTGCTAAACAATTCCAGTCTCTGCAAATCAACACATATATCCATCTCAATTTGCTTTCCAGCATGCCGTGAATCATATGAAAGTGGCCTACATGCCACCCATGCAAGACATAGGTCCCACTCCCCGACATGTGCAGTTCACCGTGTCTGTCAGGAACCAGCATGGAGGCACCTTACACGGAATCTGCTTCAACATAACGATTTTGCCAGTGGACAATCAGGTTCCAGAGGTATGCAGTGTTTGACATGGAGGGCCAGAAGGAGGGAGAGAAAGAAAAGAGTAATGTTTTAATTTCCCAGCTGCAGTATAGAAAAAAAGAAGGGGTAGGGGTGGGTGGGAGCCTCTGCTTCCCATGGGACTTCCTATCCGAAAGGTGAGAATTTTTCAGTGTTGAATTTGGCATTGTTTTCAAAGCCTTACCAACATCTCTTTCATTCTGCTGCTCTCCCCTTGTTGATCAGGGGAAGGAGATTAAATGATGGGTCTCTTAGCAACCACAAGAACCTATTTGCTCTCACCACAGGCCAGCTATGCTGCTGTGTGATCCAAAGAAGCTTTTTAATTTTCCAAAATGAATTAGGATGGACCCTTTCGTTTTACCCCGTGCCACTGCTCAATGTTTATGACGGTCTTAAGGGACCTGAGTTTTTCTTTAAAACCAAACTACAAAGGCATTGCTACCTGCTATGTCTTCTCTCTGAGGCTATTTTGCTTTGAGAGTTTTTTCTGGGTCCTCCCTCCACCCAGACCACTCTACTTTATTAGTGTGACCATAATTGGGATCATTTTTTTTTCTCCTTAAAAATGGAAAGACAAAGGAATATTATCCACCATTTTCTACAGACCAGAAGGCTCCCGAACCTCCCAACTTCATTCCCAAGAAAAGGGTGACTTTCCTAGGCATCTATCTACCTGAGTCTGATGTTTTCTTTCCTAGTGACTCATCACCACTGCACCTGCCCCAGGTCAGAGAACAGACTTCTTACTGGAAGGCCCGAGGAAAGGCACTCACTTACTCAACCTGCAGTCCTGCTTGATGAGTCTAACTAATATTTTAAGTTGTTAATTTGCAAACCTTTAAGGGCCAGAAGATTTCCTAATCAGACTGACTTGGGGTTTCTCTTGAAAATGTAGAGCCCTAACAGAACTGAGCCTGCAGGCATCATGGCTGCAGGGCAGGATGTGCTGTCCATTTTCAGCTACACTCACTTGTGTCAGCAGCCCAACCTCTCAAGTTGGCAAGCTTGCAATCTGTGGCTGAAAAGTGTTGACAGCTCTTCAGCTAGAAGGCATCTGCACTAACTCCATCTGGGACCCCTTCCCTGCTGAAGACCCAGCCTAATGCTTGTGGTGAAAATAAGTCAGAATAGCTATGGAATGAACTTGATTATATTTCAGTTAGACCACCCTTGTCCATATATGAAATTTTGATCCCGAACCAAAGTTTCCCCTACAAAACTTGTTGAAAAATCCTCTTTTATGCAAAAACATCTAAACTTGGAGAAGGATGATCTTTTCAAGAAATTATGAGGTAGATGGAAGAGTTATCTTCATTTGAAAGAAGATGGAATAGTTGGGGGCACTTAGGGTTACGGTGACTATTGATTTCTCTCTTTAGTTTATGGGCTAGGGTCAAATGAAATAGTATTTCAAAGAACCGAAAATATCAAAAGCTGAATTGGTACTTTTATGATATGAATTTGAATGAAGTGACAGTTATTAGGGCATCTGGACACCATGCAAACCTGGAGCCTCCTAAGTGCTACTCATGAATCCTCAGGATTTTAAGGTTTGAACTTACTCTTAAAAAATATTTTGAAAGTCATCTTATGTAGTAAAGTATTTTTTATGCAATGTTCCCTATTTGGAGACTAACTTGATCCACCAAGAAAATGGGACTGGTGTGCATGGCCCTGGTGCATATTCCCTCTGGAAAAGGGTTCCGTTTCTTTCTTCTACTTACAGTGAAGATGTAGGTGTGGCAAATCAGAGGGAAGCATATAGAGAGAAGTGGATTATTCTTGTGTTTTTCTTGTGTTAGTTTACTAAGGAATGAAGCCAGCCACATCCTAGTCAGAATCTCACTTCCATCCCAGGGTGCTGCCCTGGAGATACGCAAGAGTGTCTCTGATGGCTATGGAATGGACTTCCCTCACACTGTGCCCCATTGATCAGCAGAGTAGGATGTACACTGTGGCCTCATCTTGCTGAAAAAGAAGATTCTTTCTGCCAGAAGTGTCCTTGCATTGGTGGTGTGCTTGTCATGGGCCTTCAGGGAGGAACTCTCAGAGCCCACCATTTGAAGTCCAAACACTATCTGTTATCTTTTCCTTCTATGTAGTAGTATTAATTTTGGAAGCTGATGTGCTAAATAAACTCTACAGGGTTTTCTACTATAGTTTCAGAGTCTGGAGCACATGTGTACACCTTACAAATGTAGTGAATACAATGTAGACTACAGTTTTTTACAGTGTTTAATCATAGAACATGTCTCTCCTACTCTTAGTGTGGTAATAAAATACCCAAGCTGCTCTAACTTGATTTGTGCCTATTATTTAATTGTTAGTCAGGTGAACATTGGTGTTTTTTTGTATTGAAATTGCCCTTGTGTCTTTTAATATTTAGGTCTAACGTTTGAATAAATCTATTTCCTATGGAATTGTAACCCTCTTGTCTTCAGGTTCCCTGCCCTCACTCTATCTGCAAAACACACAAAAGAGTTTCCATCAACCTCCCAAGTCTTTAAGAATTGTGGGGGCAGTGGTTCTCAACTTCTTAATGCTGTGACCCTTTAATACAGTTCTTTATGTTGTGGTGACCCCATCCATAAAGTTATTTTCATTGCTACCCTTTAACTGTAATTTTGCTACTGTTATGAATTGTAATTACATTACATAATGTAATCTTAATGCAGGATATCTGATGTGTGACCCCTGTGAAAGGGTTATTTGACTCCAAAGGGGTCATGACCTACATGTTGAGAGTCACTGTTTTGGGATTTAAAAAGAAATGGATCCTTTCCTTCCTGGGGATTCAACAAGGCTGTATGGACGATGGTGGGAATTGTTCTCTCAGTTCAACACTGCAGTGGGCTCGCCTTTGCTGGTTCTGCTGCAGATGCTCTGGGACACATGAAGCATAGGGGCTTTCAAATCAGGGATCTGTCTTTGTGTCTTTGTATGTACCAATATTGGAATCGTAAATATGCAAATAGAATATTTTTTAGCCTAATTACTTAGCTCTAACTTACCTCCTTATAAACATTCTTTAAAAGTTAATTTATATTCGAAGTTGGTTCTAGAAGCTTCCTAGGGATCTTATGAACTCCATAATCAGCAACACCTCATGGAACAAGCATTGAGTGTCTCCTTCCTTCTTTCTAGGTGTTCACCAATGCCCCGAGAGTGGCCGAGGGTGGTCAGTGCACCATCAGCACAGAGAACATTTTGGTTTCTGACATGGACACCCCACTGGACAGTATCTACCTCTCTCTTCAGGAGATGCCTCTCCATGGCAGGGTGGAGTTGGATGGATTTCCTCTAAGCCCAGGAGGCACATTTTCATGGAGAGACCTCCATACCTTAAAAATTAGGTTAGAAAATTTTGTGTTTTTTTTTCTTCCTCTCTATGCTGTGGCTGTCTATCTAGATCAATTGTAAAGCACAGTGAAGGGAAAGAAACCTGTCTCATTCTTTCCAAACAGTATGCCACTTCAAATTATTAAGGGTCAATTGAAAATTAAAGAAGTAGAAAAGAATAATTTTCTCCCAGACATTTTCTGTCTCTCTGGCTTACTGTAGCAGAGGGAATGAGTTTATGGATATTTGTACATCAAAGATTAATTGCCATGAATATTAATTTTGCTACAACTGCACATATCACAAACTCAGTAGAGACTAAAATAATCTGTGCCACTAATTGAAGTTGGCTCTAAGAAAAGGCAATTTCATAACCTTGGAAACTCAGGGGTGAAACCCTATTGATCAGTCCGATTTGGCAGCCCATGCCTCTAATCCCAGTGCTTGGGATGCTGAGCCAGGAGGATTGTGAGTTCAAAGCCAACCTGGTAAGAATTGGAGGGAGGAATGGGGTGGTGGTGGCCAGCTTTGTCCATCCATGTTTTAAGTATAAGGTTTTATTTAATCTACTGGGGGCAGGTTTGCAGGTAAACAAATAAGGCCTGCTGATGTTTCATCCGTGGTTCAGGACTCAGGTCTCTGAGAGCCAGAGATGGAGAAATCTGCCTCTCTGCCTCACAATAGTTCCCACTCTTACAAGAACTTCCTCTTACAAATATAGTTGTAAGAAACCTTTTCACAAATCAAGTGAATCATCTCTGGAAAACATTGCAAACCACTTAAAAGTAATGGTCAGGCAGATAAACATTAATTTCTCACTTACCAAATCTGACAAATGGATATCTCATCCTTTTTTAGTGAAGTGTGGTAGGAATCGTTTGTCATCAAATGTTTAGTTTTGAGCCAGGAAGTTCACTAGGGACTGACAGTTTCATCCGAGATCACACAAGACTTTACAGCCCAGTTAGATCAGACGAAGAATCTTTTGTGACCTCTTTCAGTATTCACCTAATCCCAGCACTAGGGAGGCAGAGGCTGGCAGATCTCTATGAGTTTGAAGCCAGCCTGCTCTACAGAGCAAGTTCCAGGACAGCCAAGACTGTTACATAGAGAAACCCTGTCTCAAAAAAATTTTTTTTTCCTGTTTTGTTTCTAATTTGGATTTTGAAATCTCAGCTCCTATCTACCTGTTAAGAAAGACTTCTGTTTAGGTAGTGCTGGGATGAATGGTGGGCAGAGAAAAGTAGAAGTGTTTGCTAGGATTCTCTGTATAGTCGCCTTTCCAGAGAACTGCAGTTAAGTATTTCTTAGTTATTTTACCCGAGTCATCAAGGCACATCATTTTGTTATCATGGTTGAGAGCTAAGCACAAAGATGTGGACACATTTGTGAGCATTTTGAGCAGTGGGATTTTAACGATCTGCTGGCTCCTCTGTCGTGCTTTCTATGTGTGCAATCTCACGTACACTTAGCTGGTTTAGGGATAGCAGCATTGTGAGATGGACCAGCACATTGTAATTTATATTTATTTTTGATGAAAACAGAAAGAGGCACGGGAAAACAGAGCATAGAAGGTAGTGCCTGTGAAATACAAGGGAGTGGCAGAGAGTAGGCCTCTCCTACCATTGGGATTAAATCCATTATCACCCTATTGGTGACCCGTCTTGATAAAAATATAGCTCTTTTTATCAATAGAATAATACCAAATAGGTTCAATATACTGTACTGTTTTGTTGAAACTTTTGTTTTTGATTCCTAGAGGTATAATTGCGTTTGTTAGTATGAACAAACCTTTTGGTGTATTTTTTTTAAAGGCTCAATTAAATTCAAGAGCTACTTGGAATGAACTGAGTATCACTATAGTGGGCTAGAAAGTATGTGGAAAGCCTAGAATTATACAAATTCTTTAAAAAAAATTGACTGAGAATTAAGAGGAAGATGGGGCCAAGGTGAAAACAAAGAAAGGTATTTTTACACCTGGGGAGATGTGAGACTCTTAGGGTAGAGGTATAGAGCTTGTAAATGGAACATGGAATATGGTGGAGGAAGGCGGTACCTAACTCACCAATCAAGGCTTTGGAGAGGTTCTCGAGCACAGGAAGATGTTGGGAGGTGCAGGCATCCTGGAGTCCTCGGGTGTTCTGCTTTGTCTTGGAATCACTCTGGCTCCAGTCACCATGCTCCACAGTCGCACAGATTCTAGGCCAAGTACTTCATTGTTACAGAGGCCATTGGAAGACTGCTTCCTGAAATGTATTCTCAAGATTATTTTTAGTTACATGTGTGTGTTTTTATGAACTTATGCAGATGCAGATGCACATAAGTGGGCATGTTCATGTGAATGCAGGTACTTACTGAGGCCAGAGACATCAGAGATCCTGGAGCTGGAGTTATAGTGGTTGTGAGCTGCCTAAGATGGGTGCTGGAAGCTGACCTCAGTGTTACGATAAATCTTTCTACCATAAGCTGCCTGAGCCCCACCGCCACGTGTGAGCTTTACGCCAGTCGCCCACCCGAGTCAGGGCCCAAATGAATACACAGAAACTTGTATTAGGTATAATGCTGCTTGGCCAATGACTAGGATTCCTCATCTGTTAGCTCAGTCTCAGTTATCATAAACATATTTATAAGACTTATCTTATTGGACGCCTTATTGGCTTCTGTCCTTGTCGGTGGATCACATCGTGCCTCTGGAGCAGGAGCCGAGGGGAAAAAGAGAAAACTTCCCGTTTCTCTTCTCCTCGCTCAAATACGAGTCTCCTTGCTATGTCACTTCCTGTCTAGACCACCACTTCTCTACTACATCTCCCAGAATCCTCTTTGACTCCTAGTTCCGTCTAACTTGCTGTCTCATTGGCCAAACAGTATTTTATTCAACAATCAATCAGATAAACATACACAGTACATTCCCCATCACCTCATGTCTTATGTAAGAACAGAACAGGGCTTTCACTTTAAGCTGTCTCTCCAGCTTCCAAAAGGCCATTTTTATTTTATTTTATTTTATTTTTGATCTGGGGGGGAAATTACCAATGCATATACAGTGTTTTCCCAAGTAGAGCATGTTTTCATTTAGGGATATTGAGTGGTTACGTATCTTTGTATTTATAGTTATACCACTTCTTTTTTTTACTTATTTAAATAACTTTATTTAGTGAAGTCATGGCCAAGGTGGCGAAGGAGTGGTTGGGTCATACAGCTTAGTTGACACCCATGTGTTTTTAGATTACCTTCCATACTGTCCCTGCAGGTATCAGCATGATGGATCTGAAGTTTTTCAGGATGAGGTATTTTTGGAGGTCACAGACGGCACAAATTCAGCAGAATTTGTTCTACACATTGAGGTAGGTAGAAAGTCTCCTCCCTGAATCATTTGAATGTAAAGTCGCTATTCTGGAAACTTCTTGGGGTCCCAAAACAACTTAAAATACACAGACTCCAAAGCAAAATGTTACCAGCTGCACCTGTGTGTGTGTGCGTGTGTTTGGAGTCAAGCAGTAGAGACAAAAGTTATATTAATGAAACAGACATATTCATTCTCTTTCCCCTGTTCATCTAAAGTTAGAATTATTCTAAGCTTAAATCTAGATATTTAATTTAAAAGGGAGTTCATTCTGTATAAAATATGTCTAATATTTTTGAAGTATGACACACAAGCTAACTTAGCATCTGGGAAGAGTGTCTAGAACCACTGGGGTTCTCTTTGCTTATGGACAAAGTCACACATGTGACTCCATTTGGAATGTCTATACCACAGCCCTGGCATGTGATCTGTTTAAAGTTATTTCCCTGTTTCCTTTGACAAAGTCTGCTCACAAAGTCAGGGCATGTTTAAAGGGACTTCTGAGAACTTTATTGTGTCTCTGTTGTGTGGATCACTGAGTCCATGAGCACCACACAGTTGATTTGCAAATGTTCATAGATGCTGACAGAGAGGTTTATCATGTTCCCTGAGGGGATTGAGCTAACTTCTTGTATGAATATGGGCTAGATTTTAGCGATATAAAATTGCTATGTATTTGTAAGATATTTTATAGCTGGTCATTAATAAAGAGTGTTAATGTCTATAGATTTTTTAAAAAGAAAAAACAGACAAGGAAGGTGAACAGGAAAGTTTCTGTCCCACGGTCCTGCCACCATTCAGCCCTAAATAAGCACATAGAGACATTTTAATTATTAAATTGTTGGCCAATGGCTAGGGCTTTTTATTGCCTAACTCGCTCTTAATTATTATTCCATAACTACTAATCTAAGTATTTCTACATGGCCTTATCTTACCAGAGAATGCCTAGTGTGTCCTATATTCCCAGTTTCTACATAGCGTCTCCTCGAGGTGCCTCTCTGCCTCTCTCCCAGCATTCACCTTGTCTCCTAGCCCCACCTATCTTCTTGCCTCTACTGGCCAATCACTGTTTTATTCATCAACCAATAAGAGAAACATACATACAGGAGGACATCTCCCATCAGAAGAAGTTCTCTTTAGTTAACACACTTAGGCTCCTGAAGCATCTACAGCTGGTTCAGAGCTGTGAACTTGATGGTGTAATGTGAGGCGTTCTTTCTCCTTATGTGGCCAGGCTTCTCCCTGTCTGGTATTGGTTGCTTGCTGTGCCAGGTTTTATGAAAAGCCTCTCATTTTCCTCCCTAGTCCTCACCAAGGCCTGTGTTACCTCTACGAAAAGCAGGAGATCATTTCAGCTTCAAAAAGGAATGTTTCCTTTACGCCAAACTTTTATATACAAAGAAAGATTCTCTGAGTTACTTTTCCATATTTTGTTGTAAGGAAAGGTGTCTCTCCTATTTGTTATATATGATGATCTTATTATGTCTGGCAATAAATAGGGCATCTTGGCAAAATAAACCATTTATTGCTACTTGTTAAGTTAAAGGACATAATCTTTGAAAGTCAGACAAAACCATTTTGGACAATGTTGTTTGTGACTTCTTCCCCTCACAATGACTATTCACAGTTATCATCCATGGGAACAAATTGATAACATTTCTTAGGGTCAAGCAAGAAAGATATGTTTCTAATAGATTCACACAGAAGATATGAACAGAGGTAATTATTTTCTTCATAGGCAAAGAGAGCAGATTATTATATTTTTACAACTTTGATAACTAAGTTAGAGCATCTATGCACACATGCCTGTATCCATAATAGGAAAGCATCAGCATAATTCTCTTGTATTTGTCTTACAGCCATTATTAACCTTTGAATGCATAGTAACCATGCAAAGTTACATTCACACATTTATCCATTCAACAAACACTTAGTAAGCCCCTTCTATAATTTATGTGGGGGTCTAAGATAGCTGCATGTAGAACAATTATGAACAAGATAAATGAAGTTCCTGTTCTTGAAGATACAGACCACAGATGATTATAGCCATTAACTGGATCATTACAAATATAAATGATTAAAATGTATGTGTGTTTTATGAACAGGAGTGTGAGTAATAGAAACTTCTCAATTAGCCCGAGTGATCAGGAAAATCTTCCCTGAAATATACACATGGGATCTGAGACAGAAATCAGTTTACAAAGAGAGGGAGACAGAATATGCTGGGCAGACTCGAGGGGTGAGACAGAGGCCATGAGAGATGTTAAGGAGTGTGTACCTGGGTGAAAATGGAGTGAGTGGTGAAGGCACCCATAGCAGGTTACACCAGAGATTCCTAGGAGAAGCATTGGGGGAGCAGAAGAGACACTGAAGGACCCTGCAGACCAGTAACTTGAAACAGATGTTTAGAAGGTCTCTTTGGCTGAAGTATGTGGAAGGTTGTCTAGGGCTGAAAGGGTACACAGGTTCATAGGCCAGATTTGACCAAACAAACCAACCAACCAGCCAAACAAACAACAAACAAAACCCTGTCACTTAAGCCACTTGACATGCTGCTATGGATGGATACATGGAAACTTTATGTGTGGCCAGAAGTTGAAGGTGGCAAAAGGATTTGAATCACCAAGTAATTTGAAATAAAAATAACTTTGATGCTGCAATGTACATGCATCCAATCACTGGGCTTAGAATTCTTGTGGAATGTGTGTGTATTTAATGAAAGGGGCTGCATGTTAAGTGAGGGATGCATTATATTGTGTTTCCTCTTTGTCTTCTGAGAACAATGAATGTTCTGAGTTCCCAGTTATAGCCACAGATTCTCATTCCTGCCTAAACTGTCTCTCATGTGGAACATTCCTCAACTGGCCCAGAAAGTCAGAAGACCCAGGCTGCTTTGGCCAAATTCCATGACTATTGTTCCATATGTCCAGAAGATGAAAAGTGCCTGTCACTGTGACTGTGAGCTGTGGTTTACCAGATGGGGTATTTGTCACTTCTTCTTTTTCTTGAAAATGTGCTCCTTTTTTTCCTGCTTAGGTAATCCCTGTGAATGATGAGCCACCTGTTCTAAAACCTAACCTCATCCCCATGATGCATTGCTCAGAGGGTGGGGAGGTTGGCATCACTCCTGAACACATTTTTGCTACTGATGCAGACAGTGATGACTTGAAACTGCTGTTTCTGATTGCCCGAGAACCTCAGCATGGGGTGGTAAGAAAGGCTGGAATAGATGTGGACAGGTTCTCTCAGGAAGATGTCATCTCAGGTGCTGTGACATACAAACACACAGGTAAGTGACAACCTTGTGTAGTCTTAAAACTTCTTTGCACTAAAGATAAAGCAGACTGCAGCCTGCACCCCAGTTTGTAAGCATGGTCATCGTGGACTGAGATCCTCCTGCCTGAGTATGATGTTTAGAAAGAGCACCGTCACTTACTCCACTGTTCAAATGCCTGCCCGCTACCCCAACTCCTTCTTTTTCAGTCAGCTTGAAGAGTTTGGCCATTTTACTTATAGATCTCTAAATCATGATGAAAACACCAAAGCAGGCCACCTAAAGCAATGACATCATTACTTTTATAGGTCTCCTGACCACCAGCCAGCTTTCCAGAGGTAACTAGTGTTTTTCTAAGTTCCCGAAAAGCAAGATGATATCTTGCCCTTTGTATGGCCTGCTCGTAGCATGTGGCTGTCAGAACAGAAGTACAGGTTTAAAAGGAGCAGGTTACCATTGATGTTATCCTTATGTATTATTACTCAGTTGACACTTCTTCCCACCATGTGAAGTGTTCAACTAGAGACAATAGTACCTCAGCATCTGATATTTGCAAGGCACAGTATTGAGCTCAGGGGCCACAGTGGAGTACAGTCCAGGCTGTGCTGAAGGACTCTTAGTTTGCAGATAAACCCTTTCATGTGGAAGGCTGACCATGACACCCTGGCACTTTACACTGTCCTTCTTTGCATATCTTCTTTCCTGCCAAGTTTTATGTTAATTTGACATAAGCTAGAGTTGTTTGGGAAGAGGGATTCTCAGTTGAGAAAATGCCTCTGTAAGATCAGGCTGTAGGCAAACCTGTAAGGCATTTTCTTAATTAGTGATTGATGTAGGCAGTGTCACCCCCGGGCTGGTGGTCCTGGGTTCTATAGAAAAGCAGGCTGAGCAAGCCATGGAGAGCAGGCTATCATGAAGCATCCCTCCATGGCCTCTGCATCAGCTCCAGCCTCCAGGTTCCTGCTCTGTTTTGAGTTCTGGCCCTGACTGCTTTTAATGAAGGACTATTAGATGAGAGTATAATAGAAATAAACCTTTCTTCCTCAAGTTTCACCACAGCAACAGAAATCCTAAATCATCTACTTAGGTCAAAGTTAGTAACATTTGCCCAGAAACAGCATTATGTGTTTCCTCTTGCTGGAGTTAATCACACACTATCACACTTTCCTGTTAACACACCCATAGGTTTCTTAGACTGAAAATTCCCTGGAGGAATGGAGGAAGTAAGAGGTCGTGGAAAAGCTAGCTGAGTGGGACACTGTATTAATTACTTTTGTGTCATTATGACAAAATTCCTGACAGGAACAACTGATGGAAAGGAAGATGTTTTGTGCATTGATTTTTGAGAGGTTTCAGCCATTCACAGCCATGAAGGCCTGACAGAGAATCTCAGAGACCCTTCACATGGTGACAGTTCAAGAAGCAAAGAACAAGACTGGAATTAGGGGCTGGGTTATGACCTTCAGAAGCCCACCTCTAGTGTCTGCTTCTCCATCTAACTCTCATCTTGTAGGCTCCACTGACTCCCAAATGCTGACACATATTAGGAGACATACCCCTTATGCTTTTCTTTAAAATTTGAACGAATGCCTCTATGATCTCCTAACACTTGAACTGTGTGTGACAGTGAAACCAGCATCATGGGGACAAAGCCAAGGGTTGCTGCCATCTTAAGAAGTGACTTGGTGGTCCTGGACCTTGATGAAAGCAGCCTGAATGTCTGTGTGGCAGAAACTTGGAAAATACCTCCCTAGACAGTCCTGCTCAAGCATGGCACTCCCATGGTTCTCTCTTTTTAAAGAAAAGTCTTTCAAATGAGCTTGCAGTTTTATGCCCCAGATCATCCTATCCCTGAGGTCTGACTGCTTCCTGAAATGTAATGTCCTCCAGCCACAGTCCTGTCTTCCCCATCAGAGCACACTGCTACTTTTTAACGACTGCAGCCACTCACCCACACTAACTTTGTCCACAGCTTACACCATGTTCTTTTCCTTGACAAACCACACATTTCACACCTTCTTCCTCTTTATTTGCTCTTAATTCTCACTGTAAACCTGGGTAAAAATCAGCTAGGAAAATTCATGCCACCGCCTGAATGTTATGCTGTCTTAATATTTCTTCTACTGTTGATATTAGTCCATTTCTCCTGAATCCAGCCTCACTCAGATTTGAAGGACATGGCAAAACATAGATTTTCTATGTAACCCAGGCTGGCCTCAGGCTTATGTACTTCCCCCTGTTTTGTAGATCACCAACAGTCTTACAGAAAAGGGACTCAAAGACCAATGGTTATTGCTTATTGAATAATCCCAACATCTTTAGCAGGCTCATGAAGCACAGGTAAATTACAGTTCTTTTACACGTTCTCTCATGTTCTCTTACACTGCCTTCCAAATCCTAAAAGGGAGATTTACAAACATCTAAATCTCCTCTAGTGTGATGGCCATGTAAGGAACTGTGAATTAATAAGGCCTAGAAGGACACTGGGGAAAATGATTTAACATACATTTTTTTAGTTATATTACACTAGAAGAAATAATAGAATCAAAGGATGTTTTGAACGTTACATTTCCTAAGAATGCTCACTCCTTTACTCCACTGGTACTCGTTTAGCACTGTTTGGATTGATATCAAGAATCCTGGCATTTAAGTCCCAATGTCTCAGTGACCAATCCTTACTTCAATGTTTTGATTAATTTCATCACATGTACTGATTAGTTGATTAACTATTAACTATTACTATTAACTACTAGTCAACTATTAACTATTACAGATTAACTATCAACTTGATACAATTGAGACCTAGCCAACTACTTATGACTAGTGAAGTCATGAATCTTAGAGGAGAATTTGCAACCATAACTTCACTAAACCAGCACAACCCCTAACAATAATCTAAACATTTGTCCTTACGCCCACAACTAAGTGTAGTCCTCAGCCCTCATTGAGGAGACTTCTCTTTGTAACAGATGGAGGCAATTTACAGACAACCACAACCAATCAAAATGCAGAGTTGTAGATCCCAGTCCTAACTAATACATCTACAATACAACTCTGACACCTAAGGCTCAGGGATCATTGTGGAAGAGGGGGCTGAAAGATTATAGCAGCCAGAAGAACAGAGAGTTCTACTGTGAAATGTTAGAGAAACTCCACTTAGGAAGTCTCATCCACAGAGCTACCTAAACTTGACCTGAACAAGGATAATATCAGTAGACATGTTAACATGGAAGGAAGAAAGCTCATGAGGCCTGAACTCTAGACAAAGTACTACAGAAATTAAGGAATGCTGAGAGTGGGAGAAATAGTGTTCCCCAGGGAAGAGCACACCAATGGGTTATCTAATACCAAATGATCAGCCCTGAAAACATATGCATACAAATAATATTATACAGACTGAGCAGATTATATGTATTTAGGAACACACGCACACACACACACACACACACACACACACACACACACACACTGAACAATTAATGAGAAAAAGAAGATATGAATTTGCAATACAGCAGAGAGGGGTATATGGGAGGGTTTGGATTGAGAGAATGCAAGGAGAAAACTATGTAATTGTATTATAATCATGCATTTATCATTTCCCTTTATCCTCTCCCACAAAGGATCCTTCTTTCATCTTTCTCCCCACTCCTCCCCCAGCATGCTTCTCTGGCTGAAAAAGTCTCTCTTAATTTGTTTTTCTTCCCTTTTCTCCTCTGGCTACTGTGCACAATTCCATTTTGTACAACGAAACTGCTTTCCACATCTGGCTTATTTCACTTTACATAATGTTCTTGAGTTTTACCCATGTTGCTGTGACTAGCATATGATAAACACATCACATTTTCTTTATGCAACCATTGGAGGTCATCTGGAGTGGCCCACATTTTCACTAGTATAGCCAACGGTGCAATAAACATGGGGATACAAGTGTCTTTTTGATATAGAAGTTTCATGTCTTCAGTTATACAATAAAGAGTGGGTTTGTTGGGTCATATGCCATTCTATTTTTTCTGAGGAATTTGCATAGCATTTCCCATAAAACTCATTGCATTCCCTCTAATAGTGTTTATGTTTCTCTGCATTTGTTACTTGTCTTTTTGGTGATGAATATTCAGCTGAGTAAGATAACTCACTGTAGTTTTGACTGACATTTTCCCAATAATTAATAAAATTGTGCACTTTCTGATGGAATTGGGTTGACTCCATCACTTTGGGTAGTGTTAACATGGCATAATATTTCCAATTTTTATGTATGTTCTTATCATTTCTTTCACCAATGTTTTATAATTTTGTTGTGGACTTCTGCTTTTTTATTTAATTCTTAAAGTATTTTGAGTGTGATTGCTTTCTTTTTTTTTGTTTTTTTTTTTTTTTGTTTTTTGTTTTTTTGTTTTCCGAGACAGGGTTTCTCTGTGGCTTTGGAGGCTGTCCTGGAACTAGCTCTTGTAGATCAGGCTGGCCTTGAACTCACAGAGATCCGATTGCCTCTGCCTCCCTAGTGCTGGGATTAAAGGAGTATGCCACCAACGCCCAACTGAGTGTGATTGCTTTCTTAATTTTCTTTTTACTGTGTTCACTGTGTCTAGAAATGGTACCTTAAAAAAGGAAGGAAATGCTATTTTTGTATGTGTGCAAGTGTCTGTGTGTGTGTGTTTGCATGGGTGTGATTGGTTTTTGTCTAATTTACTGAACTCATGTATAAGTCCTTTCAATGTCTGATGGAGTCTGCTATGATGTCTACAAATATGAATAATTTAACTTTATCCTTTTCATTCTTGGTGCCTTTTCTTTCTGTTGCATGATTTCTTTTGCTAAAATTTCCATTGCTATAGTAAATGAGAGTGAGGGAAGTTCTCAAATTGTATTCTTAGATTATCTTCCATTTGAAGTGGCTTTCTTCGTGACTGGCTGCTTAGCCTGCTTTTCAGGTATTGTAAATGAAGCCTGTCCTTTCACTGAGAAATCAGTTATTGAATGCTATGATTGCCTTTTCTGTATAAGTCTTCTTTTCCTTCAGGATGCTTTTCTCTGTGTTTCTTTCTCTGACTTTCCCTCCCTACAGACCCTACTTTCACCTCCCAGATATTTGCCTTATCTGCCTGGCAGACTTACTCTTTCTTCAAGGCCCAGTACAAAGCCAGTAAAACTATCCAGAAGGGCTTACCATGCACTGACGTATGTAACTGCCCAGGGCACTGTCAGGTAGCACTTGTATCTTTTTTTTAACCTTAAAACCTTGTAGATTACCAAATGAAATATAGTCCTCACTTGGTGTATTCAGGGGATGGGTCTCAGGAACCTCTACATACCAAATTGCATGCATGTTCAAATCCCTTCTAGAAAATAGTCTAGTATTTTCCTATAACCTATGAAGAGCCCCACATATTCTCAGCAATCATTACATTACTTACTATACTGAGGCAAATTGCACTGTTGTGTTGTTTAGGGAATAATAACAAGAAAATCTACATATTCAGTACAGATACAATTATCCATGTATTTCTAGTGTGTGGTTGGTTGGGTTTGCAGATGTGTCGTGTGTGGATACAAAAAGCTTCCTGTATATGAAATTGCCATTTAATGAGTAAAAAATGTTTGAACAGTAGCAATTTCAAATGGCTCAACCTAATGCTGGCATACAACTGTGGTACTCTGACCACACTACATTTGTTTTCCTATCATTACATAGTGAAAAACACACAGTAGGTCTTTTGACATTCAGCATATTTTTTAAAATGCCTTTATGGGATGCAGAATGTCTGCTTTTTCTCTGCTGGAATGCCCAGGAACTATCTCATTGTAGGAACTGAATAAATGTTTATCAAATAAATAACTGGTGGATAAATATTTTAAGTCAATTTACTTTTGGTCATCACTATGAATAGTTAAGAGGTCTCTTATTTTTATCCCTGCCAAAGTTGAAGGATAATGCTTCCTTTTGTTGAATAATATTTCAATTATTTGTTTTTCAAAATCTCATACAGTGTATTTTAAGCATATTTACCTCCTCTCCCCATTTCTTTCCAGATCTACTCCTAGCTCTCTATCTACCTATCACTATGTATCTATCTCTATATTATGTATCTACCTGTGCATCTATCTGTCTGTCTATCTGTCTATCTATCTATCTATCTATCTATCTATCTATCTATATCTACACATCTAAACCCATTAAATCCAATTTGTCCTGCCCAAATACTCCTGGGTGTGGCATCTGCCCTGGATCCTCTTTGACCAAGGGTCATACTTTTAAAGAAAACTGACCCTTCCTCTCCCAGCAACTATCAATTGAATGGTTTCCATTGAAGTCTCTAAACTTCAACTTGGATTTTAAAGTTTTTGATCCTTTAATAACTTTCTTGCTCAATTATATCATCTCTGAATTTTCCTTGTCATTTTTTTTTTAAATAAGGAAAATCACACCAAGCTCAATACTCTGTTTTGAGTGTGTGTGGTGAGAGATGATGTCACTGATCTTCTGGTCTTTTCTCTTCCCTTTCCCTTCCCTCTCCTCTCCTCTCCTCTCCTCTCCTCTCCTCTCCTCTCCTCTCCTCTTCTCTTTCTCTTCCCTTTCCTTCCTCTTCCTGTTCTGTTCTTTCTCTTACCCTTTCTTTCCCTCTCCCTTTTCCTTCCCCTCCCCTCTGCTCTCCTTCTCCCTCCCCCTTTCCCTTCTCTTTTCTTCAGAACTCCCAGCATTGTTTCTTTCTTGGCTCTTTAAGAATTGCCAAGAGCCCACATTCAGGGCTTTTCTGTTGCCTGGAGAGCTTAGATTGTCCTGTTCACTGGTAAGTGATGGGCTAGTATACATTGTCCTGTTTTGCTGATAAGTGATTGGCTAGTATGTAATAAAAGGAAGCAAAGAGAAACAACCAGAATGTCGATTACCTGTCTTTACACTCATCCAGAGTCCTCTGTGTCTCATGACTGCTATGTGGTTGGTGCTTGTTCATTTCCGGTGGTCAATGCACACGGAGAGATAATTATCAAGGGGACAAGGGCACCTTCTGTTTCTCCCTGAGGTTGTTGCTAACATCAAAAGGTTAGGAGGGAAGAATGAAACCATCCCTAGCCCAGCTTAGTGTCTGTCCCTTGATCATTTGTGAACTGTCAGACCCTTGTTAGCCCTGCTTTGTGCCTCCATGTGGTGAACTGTGGTTAACATGGATTTCACAAGAGGATGGAAAATAGTTTTGTATTATCTTCCTGACTATATTTAATTTTGTAGTGATAAAATTGAGTTTCATATTTTATCCCATAAGTTCCTTTCCTTTCTAGTCACTGTGGGCAGAAAAGGTATGAGTGGAGTTGATCTTGCTCTGTTTTTCAGGTGGGGAGATTGGCCTGGCACCTTGTTTTGACACCATTATATTGGTGGTTTCGGATGGTGAAGCTGGCCCTTTGGTGAATGGTTGTTGCCACAATGGACCCAACCCATCTGTTCCTCTTCATGAGTCCTTTCCCATGTACAAGCTCAACATCACAGTGCATCCAATTGACAACCAGCCACCTACAATCATAATAGGTGACTGTGTTGTTCCTATGAGTGTCAGCAAAATAATTCTCTGAGATTAGAATACCACCAAATACAGTTGATCCAGGAATCATCTCAACCCAAATACATAATAATCCAAAATCTGTAATAAAAACAGACACAGGGCAAAAGAATTTACTTGCTTGAAAATGTATGTATTTCCATATATAGAGAGTATACAACAGCATATGTGTCTTTGTGTGTGCATGTTACAACAAGGATGTTGAGATCCTGGATTATTTCACATGGGAAAATATCATTTGCCTGCTAGAGAGAGAATAATCTATTTTATCCATAATAATTTCTATTAGAACAGAATGCACTTACCATAGAGACCATTTATATACATTTAAGCTTATGTGCTTCTCAGAGAGTCAACTCTTCATAGGCATTATGTATATGTTCTGTCTCCCAGAAAAAATAAGCATATGTATGAACGTTCTTGTAATTTGCTAACTATCTCCCAAGCAATGTTCTGGAAAGGAAGCATTATCCCAGCAGAATAATTAAGCACCAAGGCATGAAAAAATGTTCGTTATGAGCAATTCATAATCGCTCTCAGGCAATTAGCACTCTGACAAACAGTGGTAACGACTGATCTTGAGGAGTACATAAACTACATTTAGTGGCTTATCATTAAAACAGTTTGGCAATTCTTATTTTCATTTGTCACTTCTATAGAGACACAAGGGAAATCAGAGTTCCTTGAGAATGACTGGAGGGCTGTAGCAGAGCATTTAGCATTGCTGCTGCCTTTCCATTATCATCTGGCTGGCGTGTATAAGAAAAAGTATACAATTCCATAAGTCAAATTAAATCCCACTCGTTACCCCTGAATTTTTTACTGCAAAGAGAATTTATGCCCAAGAAAATGAGCATCTCCCGTAGAAGCATATTTGCCTGTGGGAGGATGCCCTAGTTGGGATTGCAATCACGCCCTTTAGTTCTCACTATTCTGATGAAGAAGTTCAGGCTGACAGAAGTGTGTGTTTTTAAATTTTATTACATTTTTATTTACTTGTTTTGTGAGTGTGTGTTCTGGGGTTTGAACTCAGGTCATTAGGTTTGGCAGCAGGTGCTTTTGCCCACTGAGCCATCTCACTGACATGTGACTATTGTTTTGGTATGCAGGTAAGAAGTTTGTGGTGGATGAAGGCTTCTCAGCAGCCCTTACTACCCATCATTTGACCGCCAGTGACCCAGACACCGCCCCGGAAGACTTAGAATTTGTTTTGGTTTCTCATCCCCAATTTGGCTACCTTGAAAACACACTCCCTTCTGCAGGTTTTGAGAAAAGTAACATGGGCATAAGCATAGGTAAGTCCTGGTCTCCTGACCTGCGATGTCTTGCTAGTGTTCATGGATGTGGTTAGCTGGACCATGCTTAGAAAATGGGCAAGAATTCAAAAACATTCAAGACACCATATGGATTCTAGAGATTATTATGATTATTCTGATTGATATGTTGAATATGAATTGTTTTTTTCATTTTAACTTTTATCTTAGCTTTTCTTATGAATGAACGTTAATAACTGAAATAATTAGAAAAGTTCATTTGTGAAAAACATGAATAAATACTGAAGTACTCATCTTTCCAAGGGTCTCCTGGCAACACGGCCCTGTGATAGAACTATTCTGGTGGGACCTACAGGGTCTCATTCTCACAGTCTTTTAGAATTTTTAATGGATATTGCTGGAAAATACCGAGAAATATGCTATGAGTGGTACTGAAAGAGAAAACCTGAAATGTTCAAGTTGCATTATTTTTTTATGTTTTTGTCTTTGTTTTCTGAGACCAGGTTTTTCTGAGTAGCCTTGGCTGCCCTGGAACCTACTTTATAGACCAGGCTGGCTTCAAACCTAGAGATCTATCTGCCTCTACCACCCAAGTGCTGAAATTAAAGGAGTATATCACCGCCACCTGGCTTAATTTTGAAAGCAAAATGTTTCTCAGCAACCAGAATAGCTCTTAATAAAAACAAAACAGAAATAAAAAGCAGAACCCAAATCTTCCAAAGATAATACTTTTAAGTAAGTTATTTTTCAAGCTCTTTTAGAGACATAGCTACTTTTAAATATGAGTGAGATAAGATTTCAGATTACCAAATTAAAGGTCAGGCAACTTTTCTTGAGATTTGACTCACACCTTAGGGCAATTTTCCTCTTTAGATTTAAGTCTAGCTGAAAATCAAGTCAGCTAATTCTATCCAGAGCAGTGAGACTTTGATGTCTGTTACATTGATATGGATGTCCACTCATTTTGCCTTTGTGTCAGAAGCAGCATCCTTCTTAACCCAGGATGACAAGAGCCACATGTCAGAAGGGCAATTTAGCCAAGGACAGTTCTCTGACTTTCAATTCAAGTGTCTGGAGAGTGACCATGAAGTTCCCTGCATCCCAATTCTGGTTACCACAATTCTGTTCTTCAGGCAGATTTGCATCCTTCCTTCTGACCTGTGGTACCTACCTTTCTGTTGATGGCTGGTAGGCATCACACCCGTCCCCGCTGTGATCACATACCTGCTTTACAGAGAAGCAGCTGTTAGAGATTGAAGATACCTGGGAAGTGCTGTTTATCATTTCCCTGTTCTGTCTTCGTGTGTACTAGCTTCGTTCCAGTGGAGAGACATGAAGGCTTTGCACATTAACTACGTGCAGTCCAGGCACCTGAGGGTGGAACCAACTGCCGACCAGTTCGTGGTGTATGCCACAGATGGGGAGCAACGCACCTTAGAGACAACATTTCGTGTTATCATCAACCCCACAAATGATGAAGCTCCTGACTTTGTGGTACAGAATATCACTGTAAGAAACATACCAGAATGTTCCCTTTTTTCTTATTATTTTCCGATTTTTATTTTTGCCTAGATAGCGCCTTTGTGTTGATCCAGGTGCACCCAATATGTTAATTTGGTGGAGAGCGAGGAAAGCATAATCCTTTGCCATATAATTAATCACTTGTGAACTATTAACCTAGTAATAATGGTAATGGTAAAGTGTGTGTGTGTGTGTGTGTGTGTAATAGAGTACCTACTGGATTTTAGGTTCCAAGTCCTTTCCATGTATTCATAGTTAATACAATATTAACTATGACTTTTGGGGTGATGATGTCTTTATTGCCATTTCATTACTGAAGAAATGAGGCATAAACGGGTTTACTGAATAACCCAAGAGATTCATGGACATGCCAGAATTAAGTCTGTATACTATAATTTTTCTGTATGTTTTTACTTACAAAAAAGAGAATCATACCCACTACTCTATGCCTCTATGCTTTACTTTCTAAAGCAAAACTTAACTATGTGTGTGTGTGTGTGTGTGTGTGTGTGTGTGTGTGTGTGTGAAATCTTTTCTTATCAATTTGTAGCTTCTTTTAAGCATCCTATATGATTGTTTAATTCATATACATGCACTAGCAAGTTGAATGAACACAAACATATGGTTTGGCCTTAAAGAAACTTGTGTATTGCTTTGAATAATTTTTGCATCTTGGGCAGGTTATTTCACTTCAAGCTTCTGTTCACCTGTCTTCAAAAATATGTATGTAATTTTCTTTGAGAGATTGTTACAGTAATCGAGTTGGCCAAATGCAGTAGATCCTTAATGAACAAGAGTTTTCAGTACTATTTAGTGTGTCATCTTTTTTCTAATATTGACCAAAGCCATTATTTCTCCTCATTCTTTTTGCTAAAAATAATCACATTCTAAATGTGAAATTCTTTATTTGATTTTAATTTTCCCCTGAATCTTAACAGCACATGAGCGTCACCTCAGCGTGAGATTTAGAAGCCCACTTCTGCCTCCCCTCTTCTTTTGGCTCATGGTTTACTCTGGAGAGCCCTTCAGTGATTATGTGAAGAAAAAAATCGATAAATGATCACTTCTGCACCTATTTCTACTGTCTTTATCTGCCTGGAGCAAGGGCTTCTGGAATAATTAGGCCTCTGGGAAGTTGTCTCTTATTCCTTTGTGAAAATAACCATGTCTTTCACCCATACTTCCTCACACATACAAACCAGACACAGACCCTTGGGAACTGGCAGAGACAAATTTTAAGCTTCAAGAATTTTTGTCTTCTTCACATAACACATTTGGCTTTCCTGTTAGAAAATGTCCTTATTGTATAGATAGTTGGGGTTCTATCAAAATGTTTTATTATAACCCTTTGTAAACCTGTTTAGTAATAAATATCTGCTTTTTAATGTATGTTCATTTGAACTTTTTATTCTCATACTGTCAAGAAAATTCAATATCCAAAAAGAGAATCCTGCAGTTTTTTTTTATTTTATCTATTTATTATGTATACAACATTCTGCTCCCATGTATATCTGCACACCAGAAGAGGACACCAGGTCTCATAATGGATGGTTGTGAGCCACCATGTGGTTGCTGGGAATTGAACACAGGACCTATGGAATAGCAGTCAGTGCTCTTAACTTCTGAGCCATCTCTCTAGCCCCACCTGCAGTTTTTTTTTTTTTTTTTGAAGAAAATTCCTTGGTAATATTGTAGATGAATTTACCATTTTGTAAATGAGATACATGACCACACAGTCAAGGGGGAAAAGTTTCATAATGAAACTCTATAAAGATGGAGAACCACAACATTTTTTTTTTTTAAGTTGCTTGACTAAAGTTCTTAAGGGTGGGGAGAGTGAGATACTGGCAAAAGTTATTCAATAGGTTTATCATTATGAATTAATCTGAGATGATTTTTGGTCTTTAATTAAAAAGGTCAGATAAGAGCAGCATTGTTTTTGTCCAAATATCACAATGTACCTGCAGGAATGGTCCCTGCAGAGGCAGTGGGAGGAGCTGGAAAGAAAGCATAGGCTCTTAGGAAGTGATCCTCTTGCTGTGAAGGTAGCCTGCTGGCCTTAATTCTTTGTGGTTCTTGTTTCCTGCAGTTCAGCAGCTCTTCATGGCCCTCCCTTGACTACACTATTGGTAGACAGGCCTTCCCAGCGCCTCCTGACTTGATTCTTGAGAACATCTCTACTATCTCCACAGTGTAGCAAGTGGTCTTGCAGATCCCCAGCAAGCACGTGTGGAATTTGTGTACTTTTATTACTTAGATCTTGCTGTATTTCAGAAGAAAACCCAGATATTTCTCTGCCCAATCCTCTCTCTGAGAAAGGGAAAAAAAAGGCAAGACAGCCAAGTACCAGACTACCAGACTGCCATTTTTAAATGAGTAAAGCCTTCTTGAAGCAATAAGAACTCCACTGTGGTGTATGTATCTCTGTCTCTCTCTCCCTCTCTCCCCTCTCTCTCTCTCTCTCTCTCTCTCTCTCTCTCTCTCTCTCTCTCTCTCTCTCTCTCTCTCTCTGTGTGTGTGTGTGTGTGTGTAGGAGTCTGTCAAGTGTCCTGCTCTGTCAAGGTCTCCCATTTAACCTGGATCTAGGCTAGCAGGCAGCAAGCCCCAGAGATCTTGCTTTCTCAGCCTTCCGTAGTCCAAGGCTGTAGGTGCTCTGGCAGCTACTACACCCAGCTTTTTAATGAGTGCTGGCTTTTCATTGGGAGTTGGACTCAGCTACTTGAAGTTTCATAGCAAGAACTTGTACCTGCTGATCCAAGTTCCCACACCTGAAATAAAAGTATCTACTGTGATAATAAAAACTTAAAACACCAAATATTGAACTCAGAAGGTTATTAATAACAGTTTAAAAAGGACATGAAATTGGGAAGAATATGGGGGCTCTGGGAGGAGTAGAAAGGGATAATGACAGATGAATATGATCAAAATGCATTGTATAAATATATGAAATTTAAAAAATATTTTTAAAAAGAAACACCAAATTTGTTCTGGTATATGCAGTAGATATTTGCTACTTCCAAAGCAGGTTGAAACCTGAAATTTGTAGAAACAAGGACCAAATAACCAACTAGTGTCTGAAGTAGAGTCCAGATCCACTTTTCCACTGAACTCGCCTGACTTCCAGAGAGTAGGCAGACTTATGCTTGGTTCTCCCAGCACCAGCCTTTGAATCACTAACAACATAAATTGTCTAAATTTTACAGAAAATTTTTGATTATATGTGTTTGTGCACAAAATATATGTTAATGATAAGCAGCATGCATACCATAGCCCAAATGTTAAGGATGGAAGGCAACTTTGTGGACCTATTTCTCTCGACTTTTTTTTTTTTTTTTTTTGGTTATTTTTTTTTTTGAGGCGGGGGTTCTCTGTATTGTTTTTGGGCCTGTCCTGGAAATCACTCGGTAGACCAGATCACAGAGATCCACCTGGCTCTGCCTCCCAAGTGCTGGGATTAAAGGCATGCGCCACCAATGCCTGGCCTTCTCTCCACTTTTATGAGAGCTTCAGGAATTGAACTCCCCGTTGCCAAGGCTTGTGTGGAGAGTACCTTTACCTATCGAGCCATCTCAGCAGCCCCACCCACATAGATGCTTTAATCACGAGCCCTACATTGTGTATGGAACTAAAGAACACTTTGAGTCTTTAGAAAAGATCTGAGGAAGATGACTAGATTCCTTTTTACATTCCTGTTTACTGGAAATTTCATTTTCGTTTTCTAGAACCCAGTATCTGAAAATGTCATGGGAAATTTGAAATAGGAAATCTTCATATAAGTGGGGTGGTTTTTTTTTTTTTTCTTTTGCAGCTTTTCAAAAGAAATGGAGAAAAGGCTCTATTTCCCACTGCTGACTTTGTTGGCTTGCTCCTTCTCAGGTGTGTGAGGGTCAGACAGCAGAGCTGGATTCTTCTATCATCGCTGCTGCTGACAGGGACATCCCCAAGGACCCCTTGCTCTTCAGCATCACTCACAAGCCCCAGCATGGCCTCCTCATCAATGTGGCTATCAGCAAAGAGTCCCCTCAGATCATGCCGCTGAGTCATGAAATTCACAGCTTCTCCGTGGACCTTCTCAAGACTGGTAGACCATGTTCCACTTCTATTCACCTGCTCTTGGTGATGCAGTGACTTAACCCACCCACGTGTATGCTCTAAAGTTTTAATAGTAGGAACAGAAATTAGCTAGGTGGGTACCAGAGATGGGGTGGGGGGGAGAAATGAGCTGTTGATCAAAAGGTACAAAGTTTCAGTGTAACACAACAAGGTTTCCGACATCCATGTGTCCACTGTGGTGACTGTAGCTAGTATGTGATATGTAGTGTAGCTGGACATTACTAATAGTACACACATGCAGACAATAATGAGGGGAGGTAGTGTACATTAGTGTGAGGTAAGTATGTCACAAGTTGCACATTTATCAAAATGGCATGTTGTGTTTCGTGCTTACAAATTTTTGTTAATTAAAACATAAATCTGAAAACTGTTTTACCCCACTAAAGATACTAACAAATCATAGAAATAGGGGGGAAGAGTATATACTTTATTTGTTAATCTCTTCAGACTGAGTTATGGGCTCTTGGTTAATGAGGGGCATACAGCCTCAGCCAGACATTGTAGATGGTTGAAGCTGCAGTGGGATGTTTTCTTTGACTTTTAAAATACCATTAACAATTATATTGGTGATTATTGGTACTTTAACACAGAATTTTAATCATAATTTAAAATTTCTTTTCCAAACGATTGAGATCATGGGACTAAATTTCAAGAGGCTTGCCTGCCAAAATTTCCACAGTTGAAACAAATATAGATCCACATATAATAACCACTCATTAGTCTCTGTGGAGATAATGTGTTCTTTAGGGAAATGACACACTGGAGCAGCCTGAATTGTTTTTTAATTACTTTTTAAACAACCTTATCCCATTTTCCTTGTATAAAAATACTTTGAAAATTTGAGCAAGTATGCAGTTCTAGAATTAGTGCCTAATCTCATAGTCCTTTCTTCGATCTGCATTTCATTCCCCCAACCTGGAAGACCTTCCCTCACCTTGGGTTGACTTAGATGGCACCTTCAGATACAGCTCTCTCCTCCTACCTATTCTCTGGGCTTTGTTCTAGCACTTTTTGGCTTTTTCCCTCCTGTCTTTCAAGTATTTGTTTCTCTAATTAGAATGTAGTCTCTTTGTTCCAAAGATTATTTTGTAATAGTTGCAGATGCCATCTCATGTTTGAATCTGAAAAGCCAATTCATAGTCTCAGTTTTTGTGAATAGTGAAGAAATAAATTCTGGAACTGCAAGACTAATATGACCAATTCAGTTCCCATGTGCTACAAATAATATTGTTACAAACATAAGGAAAATAGCTTAAAGTCTATTCTCAGGAATATCTGATTTTTGTTGATCATTCATTCATTCACTCGTTCTTTTCTGAGCTGGGTTAGATGATGAGTGCCTGTAATTCTAGCACCGAAAGAGCCCGAGGCAGGGGGATCAACAGCCCAAGGCTTTCAAGGCCACCCTTAACTACATAGGGAGAGTTTTCTAAAGGGGAAAAAGACAGCTTAAATTTTTTACATGTATTTATTTATTTTGTGCATTTTGGATGGCATTTGTGGGTTTCTGTATGCTGTAGTTGACATGTGGAGGTCAGAGGACAACTTGTGGGATTTGGTTTGCTCTTTCCACCATGTGGATTCTGGGGCTCAAACTCAGTTGTGAAGACAGGACCCTTCACTTACTGAGCCATCCAAAGGCCCAGGACAGTGTTTTGTTTGTTTGTTTGTTTGTTTTTGTTTTTTTAAGATTTTATTTATTTATTACGGATACAACATTCTGCTTCCATGTGTATCTGCACACCAGAAGAGGGCACCAGATCCCATTCAAGGTGGTTGTGAACCACCGTGTGGTTGCTGGGAATTGAACTCAGGACCTATGGAATAGCAGTTGGTGCTCTTAACCTCTGAGCCATCTCTCCAGCCCCGCCAGGACAGTGTTTTTAAAAAGAAATGTTATCAGATTAAGTAAGTGTCATATATGCAACGTGTAAGTTTGGACAGCCAAACCAATTCAAACAAAAACTAAAAATTGGTTCCAAGAATGCATATTTTGATGACATTTTTGAAAGTTAGGTTTTACAACATTTTATTTTTGGCTCACTTATCGCTATATTAAAAAGAAAACCAAACAATTTGAATATATTATCACAATCATCCCACCCCTAAACATACAGAAATTACCACCCCCCCATCATAGCAAGTAACTCATAATCACTTCATTTACATTTTAAAAAGTACCTGGAATACTTTTGGCAACTACCATCTTTGGCTGTATGGAAGTATTATGTTACAATTTTTCATAGCTGTGTCCTACTTTAAACATTTTTCATTTCTTGGAATTAATGCTCATAGGTCAGCAAACATTTTGCATAAATCCATTAGTATTTATAGAGCCTTGTAGTACCTTTTGAAAATAGTAAATTAAAGTTTTCAGTGGAATATCCAAAGGACTGTTGGGTAGGATTGAAAGAAACATGGCTAAAGGTAGTTTTGGTAGTGAAGTTTTGAACTAATTAGGATTCTCTTTGGTGACTGGCTCCAGATAGATCATACTTTAATTTTCCACACATAATTCACTTTCCCAGATTGGTTTAAATGCTGTAATACCTTTGTTCTTACATGGTTTGTGTGGTTTCCTTGTTTTAAAGAAGGAAATTTAATGGGTTATGAATGACTCCACAAAACATAGTTCATGTCACTCTAATATGCTGATTAGTGAGCCCTGAGAGCACCAAGACCTGATGTTAAAATAGAGTATCTCTGATATGCGGATGGCTCAACCAAAGAGAGACTGTCCTTCTATTCTTCCAGGAATGAAGCTGGCCTATGTCCATGACGACTCGGAGAGCCTTGCTGACAACTTTGTGATTCAGCTGTCTGATGGGAAACATAAAATACTTAAAACCATTTCAGTCAATATCACCCCAGTGAACGATGAGAAACCAACACTAAGCAAGTGGGCTGCCTGAAGGGACTCACTTCAGATTTCCACAAGTTCTGTGGCACTAGGTACACAGCGAGAAGCAAGGCTTCCCTCACACTCATCTTCCACAACTGCCCTGCCACTCAGGCATCAGGACCTCCAGTGTAAATGCTAGGGAATGTGACCTAAACAATTAGTCTTTAAATGATTTGATCTTTCTCTGAAAGTTAAGTATAAAAATAAAATAACTGAACATATACTATTAAAATGCAAGTGTGCATGTGCATACTCTCACACACATGTGCACATGTACACACACACAAAGTGCAATTCATAACTCTACTGAAGGGTGACAATGTTAACTGCCAACAGTACTCACAATAGATTTCATCAAATTTTTAACTGAAAGTGATCAAGGGAAATACTCAGTCCCACTTGGTTCGTCATCTTGGTACTTCTTTATCAATCTGTACTACATCCCATATGGATCAACACCCCACTATCACATATCAGAATGCTATGTCTTAGAATTCTAGAGTTATGAACTGTAAAACTTGTTGGTAACTCCTTTGCATAGGGTTGCATTTCTATAGTGCCAGCAATTTTTTGCAACTATCAAGTGTCACAGTTTACAGACAGCAAAGATTTTCAGGAGGCCCAGCAGGTCTTTAGGGCTAGTTACAGACATGTGTCTGGCTCTTGAGGTTTCTGCTGAGATGCCCTCTTATTTAATGGTGTAGCCATTGAGCATTAAGTAGACCATTGGAGTTTCATCAGGCTAGGAACACCTTCCTGGAAACCTTTAAGTTCCAAAGTCTCCTGGACTATGTAGGGAAAAGAGACCAGACAAATCCCCATCTTACCCTGTCAGATCTTCACTGTTTCTTCTACGTGCCAAATGCTCCATAGAAAGTGTGATGGAAAATGCTGATAATAGTGTTTGGAAGGCTGCTTCTCAGACACTAGCTCTACTAAGAATATATAGGAAATGTCTGTGTCCTCATTTCAATACTGGAATTGACAATTCATATTGGCTTGACATTCATTTATAAATGTGAAAGGTGCTGTAATCCTGGAACCCAGTAGGAAGCAGGATGAATTCAAAGCTAGCCTAGGTGACACAGTGAGTTTGAATCCAGCCTTTCCTACATAAGAGGACCCAGAATAGTGGGGAGGATATTATGTTGCTAGAAATCTCTTTGTCATCATCACTTGAAGAAGAGAGCAAGATGAAAGCTTGTGTTTATTAACTACTTAGTAGGTGGCAGACACTTTCCTAAGTCCTTCATACACTAGATTATTAACTGCTCAGCCACTCACTGACCAAGACCAGAGAAGGGAAGGCGTCTGTTCACTGCAGAGCTCCAGCCTCACTGCTAAACCCCAGCAACAGCTATCACTATAAAATCCCCAAATCTCTTTCAACCCTGTTTCAGAAGCCCTCCTTTGTAATAATAATAATAATAATAATTGTAATTATCGAACCTATTTGTAGGCTACAGTGTGACATTTTAATACGCGTGCATGAAGTCATTGATCAGATCTGGATCACTTCCCTTTCCTTTCTCTTCCTCTTCCCTTGTCTTCAGAGGAAGAAAGCAGAGGTTCTTTTTTTCGTTTTTTCTTTCTTTCTTTTTTTTTTTTTTTTTTTTTTTTTTTTTTTTTTTTTTTTTTTTTTTGGTTTTTAGAGACAGGGTTTCTCTGTGGCTTTGAAGGCTGTCCTGGAACTAGCTCCTGTAGACCAGGCTGGTCTCGAACTCACAGAAATCCACTTGCCTCTGCCTCCTGAGTGCTGGGATTAAAGGCGTGCACCACCAACGCCTGGCGGAAGCAGGGGTTCTTCCTTTCTCTTCCGTCTGTGTTGTTTTAGTAGGACTCTTACTTCTCATTCTTTGCCTCATGCTGCAGCTCTCCACCTTCTCCTGTTTCTTTTCCCCCATAGCTCAGTAGTTAAGAAATCTTGCGTCAACGTGACTCAGACAGCCACTTAGCAGAAGGGTGACCTTTTACATGTCACATCACTTCTCTCTGCCTTTCCTTTACCCTCTCAGTGAATGGGATGATGCTAGCTAGCATCTTTTCACAGGATTGTCACAAGTAAGCTATGTAAAAGTGCCTGAAAGTCTGTACACAGTGAGAGGTCACAACTATTCTTTGTTGTCATTGGTACAAGCAGTTCTCCCCATTCCAGAAACACGAAGACAATCTGATGCCTGCCCTGTTCATTTCTGCCAAGGGTAGCTTGGTCTTTGCCAGCACTTGACTCCATTTCTTTGATGGTTCCTTTAGATGCTGTGTTAGGTGCTTCTGTCCCCAAGTTCTGGCACAACAGCCCACCTGTCCTGTGCATAGCAGTAACCCAGACTGTCATTGCTGACATGTAATTCTGGCCCTCTCTTCTCACCACACTCGTCTTCCTCATAGTGACTCGAGGCTGCTTCATCTTATAAGAAGTCCCACTAATCTCCATAAGCCCCAGGCAGCAAATCCATCAGCTCTAGAATCTTATGGTTGGCGCATGCTCTCCACTCCGATCAAGAAGTTGCCAGTCCTGGGTTAGCAGGGATCCCTCCTTGAATGAGAGAGGTTAGAATGGAGTGTCAGGTATTACCTTCTCTGCAGAAGACCTGGTGCTTGCTGAAGTCAGTTGGTTAGACTTGGTTCTTGGTTCCAAGGCCAAGGATTTCAAGCACTCCTGTGTTTCTCAGAACCAAAGCTGTGGAGTCAGACAGTAGTCGCATGTGATGTCACTATGATCCCAGGGGAGAGCTAGAACACTGGTAGATAGAAACCCCCTCTCCACTTGGGTGAGGCCAGGGGAAGATAGCAGTGCCCACATGGAAGCTGCAGCTGTCACTGCTCCATCTGCTCTTGCTTCCAGTTGGCTGTCCAGACGTCTGCCACCAGGCTGGTGGCTCCACTTCTTTGGGAAGAAGAGCTTGAAAAGACCACATGCACTAAAACCTTCTCAGGAGGAGGAAGAGGACATTAGAGGACCACAGATAACCCAAGAGTATCAGCAGCAGGAGGGCACTCAGACTGCCCTTTAGGACACTATATAAGTCACTTTCAGTAGGGTTCTGTCTGTCTAGTTAGAACTATAATACCTGACCTACTTCTTCATGGAGCATTAAGCATTAAGTAAGCATTAAGTGAAAGACTAGAAGCAAAATCATTATATAAACTACATTTAACTTAGAAGATTGTAAAGTTCTACTCCTGTGAACAACGAGAAGAATCTCTCACGTAGCACCCTAGTCATGGCTGCTGGCTCACACCCCTTTTCAGACTTTGGTATACGACTCACAGTTTCCAATACTTTGCATGTTAATTATTGTTTCTTAATTCTTGAAGGTAAATCCTGTGATAACCAATATACATGCCCCCTGATGAACTTGTGCCTTCCATTGTAGGGAGATATTGTAGCCCCGCCTCCTAGGAGCCGTTATAGGTGTGCCTGGCTACGCCTGTGAGGGTGTGGTCAGGGGAGATTCAGGATGACGCGTCAGCGGGTATTTTTAAGGGGTGGCAGACACGTGGGGAGCCCCTTCTCTCTTGCCTCCCTAGCTGGCTGCCTCTGGGCACGCTCTGGCTTATGCATGGCCGGTATTACTTCAATAAAGATATTTTAACCTGTAACTTCATGATATATTCCATTTTCATATCAACATGGGCATTTTCCTTTCTACAGGAAGGCTGAAATATCAATGACCATGGGAGATACGCGTGTTCTGTCTAGTGCTGTTCTTTCAGCCATTGATAAAGACTCACCCAGGGAGACGATTCACTATTTATTTGAAAGACTTCCCCAAAATGGGCAACTTCAGCTTAAGGTAAGTGGCCCTTGAACACAATTATTTCATTACTTACTATCATTATTTTTAGTGCTTTTGCATTTTAAAGATGTATTTATTTATTATATATAGTGTTCCTCCTGCATGTATGCCTGCAGACCAGAAGAGGGCAACAGATCTCATTATAGATGGTTGTAAGCCAACATGTGGTTGCCAAGACTTGAACTCAAAACCTCTGGATAAGCAGCCAGCGCTCTTAACCTCTGAGCCACCTCACCAGCCCCTAATTAATTATTCTTTAAATGTATGTGTACCTGTGTGAATTTATATGCACCATGTGTGTATAGGTCCCCGTGGAGGTCACGTTCTTTGGGGCTGGATTTATAGATGGTTGTGAACTACCTGATAGGGGCTCTTAACCACAGAGCAATCTATCTAGCCCTAGAGTGGCCCTTTAACCTTTATTTCCCAAAGCAGGTGTAAATTTCATCAACACATACATTCGTACAATTGAATTTATTCTCCAATAGGCATGTCTTTCACTCAAGAGCAAAACATTTACTTTCCTTTTGCCAGGAATTTTCTTTATCAACTTGTAATAAATTCCACCAATACTGAGGTTCTTCATTGCTTCCTTCTCCGAGAATTGTCCCTAGGTCTGGAAGGAAGGACCTGCCTGACTTCTAAGGAGAAACCAGCATATTTTGGGGTGCCTACATTCCCACCAGACATTTTTTTTTCATGTTGATCCATGTAACTTAGCTCTTTTTTCTTTTTTTAGAATTCCTCTTTTCAATCAGAAACTTTTCAAATCTTTTGCCCCTCCCTCTTCTTTTCCTCCCTCCCTCTTCTCCCTTCATTCCTTCCTAACGTCTGTGCTCTCCCCTCCCACTCCTGTACCACTCTCTTTGCCTCTCTCATTTTCTCTGCCATGCTCTAAGCCAGCCATTCTCAGGAACGTGGCAGCATTTAAATCTGTCTTCATTAATGGCTTTATTTTGAAGCCTTTCTGCCCAGCCTCATGCAAATGTGTGAGAGAAAAAAATCTCGAATCAAAAACTACTCTAGGGAGTAGGTTCATGTGGTGATGGTCTTCCCACCCCACTCACTGATGGCTGGCATGTCTTAGTAACTGCTGTATCTGAGTCTGGCAAACTACACAGCAGTAGGTCAACATTCCTGCATTTGTATATATTCCCAAACTTTAATAGAAAGGGAGAAGTGTGGAAACATGAAGGCACACGGAGGGTTAAGTCACCGGTTTTGGTGCTAACTGTTCTAGCAGCTTGCTCAGGCCCTCTTGATTCCTTTCAGTCCTGTAATAACAAATTTCTAATCTATTCAGATTGCAGGCATGATGCTTAATCATTAGTCTGACAGGAATCACAGATCAGCCACTTGAGAAGGTCAGCTGACTCATGGGTCAAAATGTTTATTTGAAGGGTGGCTAGAGACCAGCAACAACCTCCAGCCAGCCTCAGTGTGATTGCCTGAATGCTTGAGTCTTAATCTAACACAGGCTCAGTTTAGAATAGAAAAGCAGCGAGGATTCTTTCTGTGGGGAACAGCTTGATTGTCACAGAGTATGGGTACCACAGAGAGTCAGAGAGAAGAGCAATCACTGATTTAAATTGAGGTACAGCTGTGTCCTTATTTCATTTCAAAGTGTAATGAAGCAGAAACGCACACGTTTGGGTGGCTTGGGGCCTGAGTTGCTTCGGATATGAGATGATCCAGATGGGTCCAGGGTCCCAGCAGGCTGCACACCATTTTCTCACACCTCCCTCAGGCTCACTGAGGCTGGCTGACTGAGGCTAGGGACTGGGCCTCCAGGCCTCCTGGACTCTCAAGACTCCTTGTTTGCTTGTTAGCTCTGCTTCATATTTTGTTTTCTCATTCTCGGTTTCTCTTTTTTTCTTCTTCTTCCTTTTTCTGGCATCAGATGATTCTGTCAAAGTCAAACTCATGTTTGGGAATGCAAATGAAGAATTAGAAACAAGAGAGCAAATGATGCCTTCCCCTGCATTTATTTTCTAGGACAATTATTACCAAGAGAAGTTAAATCGGATCCTATGCTGCCTGATTTAAAAGGGTCTAATTGAAAGTCTATACTTGCAAATCGACCTCATAAAAGAAGGAACCTAGCTCAACTACTGCAATATAAGTAACCTTACCCAGTGGACCTGCAGTAGAACATAGGTTTGCAAATGTCATGTGGGCAAAATATTAGAGAAGAAGAAATCCCACTAAGTAGAAGAGCTCAAAGGAAGTGATGATGTAGTGGGAGTGATGTAGTCCAAGACTTGCTGGGAACTGGGGGTAGATGAACAGCAAAAAAGAAAACACAAATGATTTAAATGTGGTTTAGTCTGTCAACCAGACAGGTAAACTACAGCATCATTTATATTGTAAATCACTGAAGATGACATTTTCCTCCAGTTATACTGCATGACTTTTGTGAGCCATTCTTAGGAAAACCCATGGTTGGAACTGAGGAAAATTAAAGTAGGGTTATTATACAATATAGGATTAGTGTTTTATTCCCTAATACTTTTCTAGTTCTTAGCCAGTCTGCCGCCATAAAAGCTTTTTCTAGCAACAACAAGCCACAATTTCTGCTCCAAACCATGCAAAACACATGCTTAACTAGGGTTGATGAGTTGGGCTTTGAAGATCTTGATGGAAAATGTGGATGACACTGAGTTTATACCTTCTACTGACCGTGTGTGTGTGTGTGTGTGTGTGTGGTGTTCACGTGTGTGTGTGTGTGTGTGTGTGTGTGTGTGTGTGTGTGTGTGTGTGTGTGTGTGTGATGGGAATCTGATGGCTTTCTTTAGGTTTTAGTAAGGCTAGACAGTGGGCTGTGGGGAAATGCTAGTGCATTCTGGTTTTGCTTTCCCCACTGAGCTTTGAAAAAGAAAACAAAAAACAAAAAAGGAGCCTTTATTAGTTGTATAAAAATAAAAACTAAGATAAATAAAAAGAGGAAATTCCAAAAGAAACACATTTAATTTCTAAGCAGCCCATTCCAGGGGCTGATTGCCCACCTGCTCTCGTTAATTGGGCTATTTCATCAGCCATGATTACTGATGATAAATACCTCAGAAATACCAATGCTGCCGAATGACTTTGTCAAAAGTCCACTGGTTGAAGCTGTTTTCATCCAAGGTCTTAAATTATTTTAATATATTTCTTTGAGAAGAGAAACATAACATTTCTTTGAAAAGAAAACATACTCACTATTATTTTAATGTATTTCTTTGAAAAGAAAAATTTAAAAATAGGTAGCACCTAGTGTAGAATTTCCTCCCAAGAGTTCCTATTAGGGGTTTTCAGGGCACAGGGGAAATCTCCTCTAACATATCGGGGGAAGCCAGGGCGTCTGGCTCACTGTGGCACTTTTCAGATAGGAAGGGACTGGGTCCCTCTCTCAGCTGGCATGCAGTGTACCCAGGAGGACGTGGACCTGAACTTGCTGAGATATACACACACTGCCAAGATGGATTCCCAAGATGGAGACAGTTTTACTTTCTACCTCTGGGATGGGGACAACAGGTCACCTGCCTTTGACTGTCACATCATCATTGAAGACTCAGGGAAAGGTAAGACTACATTTACCCAAATTCCCCGGGACCAGGGTTGTCAGTAGAAGTGAGCTGGTGTAAGAGGCCAAGAGCCTCTCCTGACTTCCACAGGCTTTGGGGACACACCTGGTGCACAGACACACACTCAGGCAAAACACCAACATACACAAACAACATAATACAAAGACATAAAGGAAAAATGTTTAACAAAGAAGGATGTGAGGTCTTGATACTCTATTGCACTGCTCCATAATTTATGACTGTGATTTACACCAGGAGGTTAAGAATCATATCTTGTTCACAATCCCAGGGTCTCAACATTTTCAGATTAAACAGTCTTTGATCCTTATGTTTCCTTGACTGAATGCTTCCTTGTTTTGCCTTGGTTGAGGATGCTTAGAATTAAATATAGTCATTTAAGTGTAATTTAAATGAAAAAAGCTATTTTATGTGTGTGGTATAATTACAATTGTCCTGCATTAATTTTTTCATCATATGAGTTAATATTTCTTCAGGGGCATATTTACATTTTATTTATGTGTTTTCCAGCTATAAAATGTGTTCTGTGACTAAGGATAATCAGTAGCTAAGCTAGATGATTTTGAATACATTTGTTCTTCTCTGTAAAAGCATCACTGTACTGGTTCGGTTTTGATAAAATCCAGGAGGAATGAGCCTCAGTTGTGAAACTGCCTCCATCAGATTGGATTGTAGGCAAGTCTGGGGACATTTTCTTGATTGGCGATTGATGTGGGAGGGGCCATCCCACTTTGAATGGCACCAGCCCTGGCCATGTGGTCCTGGGTTGTAGAAGAAAGCAGGTTGGGCAAGCCATGGGAGCAAGACAGTAACCAGTGTCCCTCCATGGCTTCTGCTTCATTTCCTGCCTCCAGTTTCTCTACCTTGAGTTCCCTCAATGATGATGGACTGAGCTGTAAGCTGAAATCCTTCCCTTGCTCATGTTGGTTTGGGTCAGTGTTTTATCACTGCAGCAGAAACCTAACTAGGACAATTGTGTACAAAGGATGTTCAGGTAAATGGAATAATACTAGCATTTTGGCATAGGCAGGTGATTCTTATTGACTTAGCTTCACAGCACAGGGGAAACCATTCCACTGGTATCCAGAGCATCTCCTGTCCCATCACTGCCTCATCTCTGAGGCCATAGTCACTTGGAAGCAAGAGGCTGAGAAAGCACTTATGGGCCAGGGTCTCACCAGCTGTGCTCGATGGCAGCTCTCCCTTCTCGTATGCCTTCTAGTGGCTGAAGCTTAGTCATAGACTGTGTTTGGGGCAGTTGGGCAATAGAAACTTCAGCATATACCCAGGAAAGAATGGCACTAGGCTACTGAGGGCCTCACCGCACTCTATCATAATTAATATTCAATTATTTTTAAAAGGATTTATTAAACCCTGTAAAAGTAGATAGATGTATTTATCCATTAAAATTTATGAAGCTCATATTTCTCTTGCTTCTTTGCATGGTGTTTATCACTGTACAACATTGTATTCTGTGTTCCTGTTGTTTTATTTATATTACTTAATATGACATTCAGAAGTTGCTTACTATCAAGTATAACTTTTAAGATACCTGTTTATATTTTTTACTTTTTTATTGTAAGTGAATGAGCTTTGCCTGCATGTATGTCTGTATGTGTGCCTGGTTCTGGTGGGGACCAAAAGAGGGCATCAGATACCCTGGAACTGGAGTTACAAATGGTTGTAAACTGCTATGTGGGTGCTGGGAATTGAATCCAGGTCCTCTGAGAAGAACCAGTGCTGGGAACGGTTGAGCCGTCTCTCCAGTCCAAGAGTAACTTATCTCAAGTAGAGCCACATTGAGTAGCTGGTCGTACTATCTCCTTTATACAGAGCATGTGCTTAGCTCTGTCTAGAGCCTATTATAAATAGCCGTTAACCTTCCAATTGTGATATGTGTGTTCTGATCTCCACAGTGGCAGAGAGGATGCCATTAGGGGATGTTTAGGATGCATAGGTCTGTAGTTTAACTGTATCCATCCTCTGCCTTCCCAGTGCTGAGGGGCTGGTGCTCTACCTCCTCCTAGCAGTATCTATGCCTCTGGGAAAAGTGCCCTGGGGCATTTTGAGTTTCCCTGCAAACGTTTGTTTCTCTTACTGCCTTTAGTGTGTTTATCACCATTACCTCAGAGCATCTGCAACTTAGGTTTTCATTTGCATTTAGAATGGTCTTTGATTCCTGCATCTCAGTTGGAGATAAAAGCTCAGTATGCCCAAAATACCAGTCTGGTCATTTGAAACAGAATTCCGTAATCTTGCCCCGCCTGACATTTTGGAATGAATAATCTTTGTTGTAGAGAATTTCCTTGTGAATTGTGGTATGTTTAATAGCATAGTTGGCCTCTGCCCAAAAGAAGCCAATAGGGTCTTCAGATAATGACAAGCAAAGACACCTCTTTTGGTTGGACAGAGCTCAATGCTTAAGAACATTTGTTGCTTTTGCAGAGGGCCCATGTTTGGTTTCCAGGATCTACATGATGGCTCATAGCCATCTGTAACTCAAGTTCCAGAGGATCCGACACCCTCTTTTGGCCTCTACAGGAACTAGCCACACACACACACACACACACACACACCACACACACACACACACACACACACACTTTATTTTCACTTTTGTTTGCTCAAGAGGTTTGTCTTAGTTACTTTTCTATTTCTGTGAAGAGATACGGTGACCACAGCAATAGTGGGACATTCGGTTTCAGAGGGTTAGTCCATGGCCATCACAGTGGGGAGTATGGCAGCAGCTGGTAAGCATGGCTCTAGAGCAATAGCTGAGTGCTTACATCTCGTCCGGAAGAGAGACAGCTAACTGGGTTGGGGGTGAGGGGATGGGGATTGGTTGTTGTTTTGTTTTGTTTTGTTTTTTTGAGACTGGGTTTAACAGTGTAGCCCTGTCCATCCTGGAACTCACTCTGTAGGCCAGGCTGGCCTCAAAACTCAGAGATTCATCTGCCTCTCTCTGATCCCCAAGTGTTAGGATTAAAGGCCTGTCCCTCCACACCTGGTGGCTTTGGTGTTCTTAATCTATTTCAAATATTTTATCTTTCTTGGTGGATTCTCACCCACTCAGTGCTGACTATTGAGGATGAGATGGTGCGGTGCAGTGATTATGAGTTGTGCTTCTAGCCAGTGACTTAGAGCCACTTCCGGCTCTGCCTTTTATTAACACATAACCTCAAGCAGTAAGTAGCATCTCCACACCCCAGATTTCTCATCTGTAGCCTGTGGGCTTTGTTGAAGCTCCTCCCCTCTGTATAGCTGAAAGTACAGAAGAGCCCAGTACTACTGTGCCTGACACAAAGCAGCCCTGCTCATTTTTATTGTTTACTTTTGTTGTGTTGTTAAAAATTGAGCCTTGGTCCTTGTACATGTCAGGCAATTACTTTATCACTGAGAGACATCTCCAACTCAAAGTTTTATATTTTAGATATGATCATTTTTAATGGATCTCTGGTAAATGAAACTGGATTGTAGTCCCTGGTTTGTGAAACATCTTAAGCATGTGCTAATCACACACCTATCTCCCTCATTCATAAACTCAACTCATCTATGTATTTTCCTTTCTTTCTTTTTCTTTTTTTTTTTTTTGTTTTTTTTTTTTTGTTTTTCGAGACAGAGTTTCTCTGTGGCTTTGGAGGCTTTCCTGGAACTAGCTCTTGTTCCAGGAACTCACAGAGATCTGCCTGCCTCCGCCTCCCGAGTGCTGGGATTAAAGGCATGCGCCACCATTGCCCGGATGTATTTTCTTAAACATTGTAAAATAAGTGTATTATAAAATGTGCCCTTGATTCTTCTGTGAAGTATTTGCTCCATCCTTTTAACTCATCCTTTTCTTGTTAGTTAGAAAGGCCTTCCCACAGTAGGTTAGTTTTGACTTGAGCACAGTTTGGCCTTGGCTTTTTATATTTGCTTTAGACATCATATTAGTCACAGTCCCTCTTGCTCCGATCAAATGCTAAGAAGCAACTTGGAGGAAGAAGGGTTTATCTTGTCTCATAGCACTAAGGGGACAGTGAGTTATTGGAAGGAGGGAGGCATGGTGGCCCGCATAAGGGGGCAGTGCGTTACGGTGGGGGAAGGCATGGTGCCTCATAGTACCAAGAGAACACAGCATTATGGTGGGGGAAGGCATGGTGGTGTGAACTTGAAGCAGGTAGCTATCCATTGTGCATCCACAGCCAGGAAATGGAAAAATGAAGGCTGGTGATCAGCTTGCTTTCTCTTTTTATTTATTCTGGGCTTACCCCATTAATGATACTGCCTACATTCCAGGTGAGTCCTTAGCAGTTAAAATTTGTAGGAACACTGTAGTAGACGTACCCAGAGTTGTGTTTCCATGATGACCCTAAATCCAAACAAGTTAACAATGAAGATTAATGATCTTTTTTTTTAATTTAAAAAGTTTTGAGAATGTCATACATGAATACTCTATTTGCAGCATCTCCAATTCCTTCCATTTTGTCCATGTACCTTCCATTTCCTCTCAAATTATTGGCTTCTTCTTCTTTAATTGCTATTGCTACATATATGCATGTGGAACCTGCTGAGTATGTATGTGTGTTTAGGTCTGACCACTTGGGATTGGAGAACCTCATCGGGGGCTCATTCCTGGAGAAGACTGGTTCTCCTACTTTCAACAACCATTAATTACCTATTGTTCTCCATCTAAGGGTTGATCCTTGTGAGATTTCCCCCCATACACATTGGCATGTCAACTGGTATTGTCATTTTTGCAGGTCTTGTTTAGATAACCATAGTGTTAAGATTTCATGGGAGCAGCTTTCCTCTCGTATATAGAAGACACTATCTCAGAAGCTATTCTGATCATCCAACTTAAAGTGTTTCTGGCCCCTCCTCCATTATGTTCCCTGAGCCTTAGGTTGCAGTGTAAATATATTAGGTTTGGGGTTGTGTGCCCCAAAGGCAGTTAGGTGTTCTCTGCATTTTGACAGGTTGTGGATTTCTGAAATGGTTTCATCTCCTGCAAAAAGAAGCATCTTTGATAAGGGATGAGAAATTTTGTAGCTGAGTAACACCATTGACAGCTTTTCTCGCCGGGCAGCAAGCTCCCCCCTTTGACAAGTGGGGAACCAGTCCTCAGGGAGGAGGCTGGAGGAGCTATATCCAGATCATGTTCACCACAGTTCCTCCAGGTCCTGAGTCTGAAATGTGTGGTAGCTTCCACAATAGGAGTATCAAGTACTTTTTAATATGAATCTTAACCAAAATCTCCTTTGCCATTCAGGTGATATTGTCATTCATGCAAAACCACTCGTGGTAGCCAAAGGTGACAGAGGTTTCTTGACAACTGCCAGTCTCCTGGCTGTGGATGGAACAGACAAGCCTGAGGAACTACTCTACCTCATCACTTCCCCACCTCGTTATGGCCAGGTGGAGTACATCCGCTATCCTGGAGTCCCTATCACCAGCTTTAGCCAAATGGACATAGCAGGACAGACAGTCTGCTATATACACAAGAGCAGGGCAGCTGTCTCCAGTGACAGCTTCAGGTAAGCCCATGACATTTTTCTAAACCTGTCCTTGAATTAATGCTTAGGAAGACAAAAGGAGTGAAGTTAGTAAATCATCACTATCCATTTTACTATAAAATCTTACATAGCTGAAGGATACATGAAACAGTGTGATCCTTCAAAGGAAGGAACATTGAGTCCTTTTCCAACTCTTCTTTAGCTGCATTTTCTTCTGTTTCCTGACTGTAGGAAAGGTGAAAACATGCTATTAAAATGATAGAAGCAATGCAAATAACCAGGGCATGGTTAAAAGCTAAGTGTGATATACAGCTCTGTGCTCAAGCTCTCCTCTGAAAGGAACACAAAGAAACGAGAAGACACTCTCTCCAGAAAGACGTAGAAATGTAATTTCCCCTTTCTGAGTGCATTTTTCTATCTGAGGAAAAGGCACATATTAGCATAATAAATTTGGCATGAGCAGACACTGCCTTTTGACACAACATGTTCCTGTAACTATATCATAAATCACGTTGTCACAAAGTGGATCATATTTCCCCATAGAAACTGTGTTATAATTGGGGACTGTGCACCTGCTCAAGGATTCAGCATCAAATAAATCATTGGGATGAATAACGATCTGGGGTGAAAAGGCAAAGATACAACACTAATGCAAATCTGCAGTCATTTAAAATGTGAAAATTTGTTCCTAGTCTCACAAAGCAGGGGAAATTCTGAGGGCTCTGTCTAGTGATGGGAAAGTTGGCTGGACTTGTGGTCCTTGATAAAACGGGAGGTCCAGGCCAGGTGTAAGGACTGGACAATCGTGGATTAGCTGGTGGATATTTCATCTACCCCTTGCTTTCAACAGTTAGAGAGCATTAACTTGTATGCCATATACAGGACTTCTGATCCCAGTAAGATGTTTTCCATGTCTGTTTAACCTTCTGCATTGCACTACAAAGTAACATGGGCATAGCAGACTCCCATAATATCCAATGGGTTATAAACTCCCGTAAACACCCACCGCCCAGAAAGGCCCCAACATTCAAATACCTCTCTTCTCAGTTATATTTTACCTTTTAAAATTCCTGCTGTGGGGAGCTGTGTCAACATTGGTAAGGATGATGTTGCTTGTTATTTGAGCTTTAAAAGTGATTTCTGAGGGATGGACTATATTCATCAGTCCAGTGTTAAACAACAATAACAAAAATATCAACAGATATGAACTAGTATTTCCTTTACCACTCTCTCTCTCTCCTCCTTCCCTCCCTCTGTCTGTATGTGTGCTCATGTGGGAGTGGTACATGAGTGTGCAAATGCATGTACATGTGGAATGCAGAGAGCATACCTGAGTGTTGTTCCTCAAATGCTGTCCATCTTGTTTTTGAGTCAATATCTCTTATTAGCCTTGATCTTACCCAGCAAGCCAGGCTGGCTGGCCAGTGAGCCCAGGAAGCCTCCAGTGTCTGCCTCCAGCACACACCAGTACACCCAGTTTTTTTTTTTTTTTAATTTTTTTTATTAGCTCAAATTAGGAACAAGCTTGCTTCACATGTCAATCCCATCTCCCTCCCCTCCCCCCAACCCCCCAACCCAATGTGGGTCTTAGAGTGCAAATTTAAGTCCTCATGCTTTTGAATCGAGCTCTTTACTAGCTGATTGATTTCTGCTGCCCCCTCTGTCTCTTTACTGATGTCCTAAAACAGGAAGATAATTCTTTAGTTGAGCAATCTCTGTCTGAGTCTGTGCTTGAGCAATGTTGGGTCAGAAGAGAACACATCCTCTTCTTGCTGGCTCTTGTGTATAAGTGGTATGTTGCCATTGTGAAAATAGAGGCTCAGGGTCACGTATTGCCTTTGTGACTCACAGCTCCATGGATTTCATCAAGTTACACAGCCACTTGTATTGTTGCTCCTTCTATGGGCCTGGATAGTGTTCACTGTACTTGTCAAACAGGGTCATCCGGAGGCTCAAACGGATTAGGCTTGTGAAGTACATACAACACCTGGCACATAGGAAGAACTGAATTAGCACCATTGTTGTTTATTTTATTCTTTCCATGGCCACCATCTCACCTTCTGTCTTCTCATGATCATGGAAGAATAAGGAAGGTTCAGACAGGAGTGGTGTTTGCTCATTCCTGTGTTTGCTAAGGGAAGCGGGTGCACTTTGGTCTAATTCATGCCTGTCAGAACCAAAGCTTTTGATTTTATAAGAATTTCTTGGGTCTCTAGCTTTTTCTATTCCCTGTTTCTCTAGTCAATGCCCGCAGGCCTGTCAGCTTTGGACATCGATGGCTGCCTGAGGAACCAGTGAGTGATTGCACACATATGTATGGAAGTGAAGGCAAGGTGCTAAGATGGCAAAAACCTAAACCCAAGTGGCTCACTTGAGTACTAGTGATCCTCTGAAATGCTTGATTCCTGTCAGCAAAAGTCACCTTAGCTGGCATTTTAAAGCTAGTTCTCCTAGGAGTATCTACTTCCTTTAGCTCATTAGAGAGTTACCTTGAAGAAAAATCTAAATTCTTGGGCCTTGTGCCAGTTGGGTAACTCCAGTCCTAGCTGGAATCTTGTCTTTGAAAGGCTCTTTAGGAAACTGATGCCTTGGGATCGGCAACCCCAAACTGGTCTAATCCATTGCTCTGAGTGTATTCCGAACCTCTGTGAGAGTTTCCAGAAGGCCTGCCAGGCCCTCCTGGAAACACAGAGAACTAGGGGCCGCTTCCAAAGGGCTCTGGGGTCCTCGCCTCAATGTACTGAAGGGACTTCATGTTGTTTTGTTTCTTGTCGTTCTTTTTTCTACTTGGTTTTCACACTGGGTTTCTTTGAAGATTTTCTTTCGGCAGAAATCTGTGGCCTGACTTTCTAGAGACAGTGACTGGGTGGGGTGGGGGTGGGGTGGTGGGGATGGTGGGAGGAGTGAGGGGGTCTTTTCTGATGCAAAGGTGTGAAACTGTGTGGGCTGAGAAAGAAGCTGCATGGAAACAATGGCCTGGGGAGTGAGAGGCTGGCCCTGCTGGCTTACCACCCATCAGAGTGGTTCCCAGGGGGACCCCTGGTTGGTGTGGGTATGCTCTAGCGGTGCTTTGTGCTCAGCTTCCTCTCTTTAACAAAGAGTAAGAGCTCTAGTCTCTATGCCCTTGAGGAACATCTACCCAGGATTTAAGAAATTGTTTTCTTGTTTATATTTTTGTGGCATTTATGGAATTGAGATTATTAATATATGTTTCTGGCTTTAGAGTTAAATGGTTTCTTTCTAAATGCATTTACTTAAATAGAAAGATGGATTAAGCAAAACAAACAACAAACAAATTGAGCAAAGCAGCAAAATCTAAGAGTGAAGGTTGTACAGGCTTGTGGTCCTCACCAAGATGGCCTTTGAGTGTTGCAGGATTAGAAAACAGGGCTACAGGGAGGAGTACACAGAGCAGAGAGCATTTACTTAGTCCAGAGCCTTCCTTTACTGTGGGGACGATCCTCTAGTCTGAACACCCATATCACCCTGACAGGGCTCCAGACACTTTCTGTATGTCTTTCCTGTTGGCCTCCATCCACCATCTTGAGAATGGTGCTCTTGTTACCAGTTTGTGCCCAGGACTCTAATGTTCCAAGAAGTAAAGGAAGTTGCCCCATTTGAGGTAACAACCGAGAGCTTATTTCAAGTGTAGTATTCTTTGCGCTCTACCTTTCTTGTGTCAAAAATTTGTGGAGACTCTGTTTGTGCAAAGGAAGCCCCTCGATGTGTCCTTCTGATCTGGGGCCAGCAGTTTTACATATTTATAATGGAAGAGCCTCGCATCTGCCCAAGATCCACATTTTAATCTTGTCATTTCGCTCACCCAATCATGGGCTGCTGTGTTGTTTGTCAGGTGGCTCGAAACCAAAGCCGAGTGCCTGTTTTAATGAAAGCGTGATCATGGTGCTTTTTAAAAATTAAATATATGCAACCAATCTAATCACCTAAATTTATGTTGCTTGCTGTTAAATTTGGCAAGGAATTTGGCTGGGTAAAAGAGATGAATTCTATGGTAGAGAATTTTCCCCCTTTCTCTTTTTAATGCAAGATGTGGCAGCATTAATTAAATAGGGTTTAATGGTTGGATTTTACCTTCTGCAAAAATATTTTGTGAATCATAAATTTCCCCTGCATTGTTTGGTGCTGCTGGCCTGGAAGAGAGATTTGGCAGCCCACGCTAGGACAGATGACATGGAGCGATTAGCAAGCTGACTTCAGCTGCTGGCGGCTGGGTCCTGAAAGAGCATGTTAATGTCCTCCATTTTGACATGCCGGCTGGACTTTTTTTTTTTTCCTGAGGAGCTGGCGCTATTTATGATTCCATTTTTATCTTTTAAATGCCATGACAGATGGCAGATTCTTCAGCCAACTCTATTGCCAGGAAATGCAGGAAGCTTGACAGCATTGTGGTAATGGTAAAATCAGACCAGGCAGGCACCCCCAGACAAATCCAGAGTCATTCCCCAAATTTCATGAGAATGCTGGTCATCCTGGCGGCATCTTTTCCCTGGGAGGTGGGGAACAAGGGAAATCAAACAAAATGGACCCGCAGAAGGAGCTAATGCCTCCATATGGCCATCCTGCTCACCTCAGAATGGACACTATTGACTTACAGAATGTGTTTACAGGGTTTTGAATGGAGGCCTGGGCAAGTGTCTTCGCTCGCCTTTTGCAGGCAGAGGCTGTGTTGACCTTGTTTCATTGCTGTGCTAGTTTTACTCTGATGGGAATCCAAGCAGAGCCGCTCATACTCTCTCTCTGTCTCTGTCTCCATCTCTGTCTCTCCCCCCTCTCTCTCAATGCTTCTTTGCCAGCGAATGGCTTTCACTTTCATCACTACACATGAAAGTGGAATGATGTATTTGATTCAGTCATGTTTAGAAATTGCATCTTTTTTCACCCCTGACTTATTAGCTTTAGGTCAATGCAGACAGCTGCTTCGGTGTCCCAGCTGGGAGCACTGGCCTCAGTAAATGTATTTCTGACTCTTCCATGGTCCCTGGCCTGCTCACCCTCATTCCCATCTGTCAGATGGCACATTGCCTATTTCCCAGGTGGTCAGATTCCCCAGCATCAGGAGGGGAGGTGTGTGAGAAGGACAACATGGCTCAGGAGACAATTCCAGTGCCCTCACAGAGGTCATGTTTGGCCTTGACACTGAACTTCGAAAACCTGTCTTCAAAGGACATTTTCCAGAACCGCGTCTCCAGTCAAGTATTAAAAATGGCCACCCCAGAAAAGCCAGTTACTCACTATGACTCACACTAATGCTTGTTGCTCCCAATGCGTTTCATCTTTTCTTTTTGCTGTCTTCTTCCTTTTTAGCTAATTTTTAATAGCCTTTTAATGGGACACAAACTCTTTAACTCTGCAAGTCATGCTAATATTCAATATGCATACCGTGAAGCTGGGGATATGGCTCAGTTGGTAAAACACTTGCTATGCAGGCATGAGGACCTGAGTAAAAGCCAGGATGGCGGCACCCATCTGTAACCCCAGTGCAGAGTAGGAAGAGACAAGTAGGCAGATCCCTGGAGCTCACTGTCTGCCCAAGGTTGCCAAATTCACAAGCTCCAGAAGCATAGAGAGTCATTAAGGAAGATACCTGATGTCAACCTCTAGCCTACACACACATCTGTGCACACATACACAGGCACCCACATACACAAGTGTACACACCCACAGGGACACACACACAGATAACATGGAATAAAATTTAAAAAAACTTAAATTTTTCTTTCTTCAACCTATGCACATTGATGCTCCATGGAAATGACATCCTTTTTAAACTCAGATTGGAGGAACATGGAGGGTTTTTTGTTTGTTTGTTTTTGTTTTTGTTTTTTGAGACAGGGTTTCTCTGTGTAGCTTTGGAGCCTATCCTGGCACTCGCTCGGGAGAGCAGGCTGCCCTGGAACTCACAGAGATCCTCCTGCCTCTGCCTCCCGAGTGCTGGGATTAAAGGCGTGCGCCACCAATGCCTGGCCTGGAACATGGAGTTTTTACTTTATTTTACTTAGCTATTTTAACTTCGGGGACATGGATTGCTTATTCTACGGGTCACATCATATTTTCCTTGAAGCAGTCTTTGTGAGTAGCTAATTAAAAACTCAAAATATTTAGCCTTCCCTGAACCTGGAAACTACAGTAACATCTATCCTGGCAAGAAATGTCCACAGGCATGGCAGTGCAACAAATGTCATGGGAGTAACCAGTTGCTTTCTGGTTGGATTTAAGTCCCACACCACGAGATGAAACTCATGCTCAGTACAATTAATGGAGCCCAAAACCATGGCTGGCTAGGTCATAGGCCCTAGGGGAAAACCTACTACAATTATTCTGCTGAAGAGACATAGTCATCAACCACCCCCTAAGTTCTCCTCTTATTATTGATAGCTGATTTATATGCTCAGAAAGCACATTTTATATGCAATCTGTTAGGGAACAGAGGGTCATTTCACTTGAGAAATGACAGAATAGACAACCAGTGTATCTTTCAGTTCTCATAGACAGCTCCCCCTCCACACCCCCAATAGATGGTGATTAATACAGACCCACAACTGGTCAATGTGTGGAAAATAAAGGACTGTGGAGTGCTCAGTTCCAAATAAAACATTGACATCATCATCCTCACCCTAAGGCTCAGGCTTTATTATCACAGAATGGGGGCAGAAAGATGGTGAGGGCCAGAGGTAATGGAAGACTGTGGCAACATTGTATCTGCTGGGCTATTGCACAGAGGGTCTCACAGCAGCCATGACAAATACAAGCCTAAGCCAACTGTAATATGATCATGGATAAGGAGGGGCTCAAGAAGTCCCACCCCTAGCTAAGGAGCCATTAGGAGTTGATGGCTGCTGAAGGATAGACAGTCACTTTTTATCAGGAATGTTGACTCTAAGAAGCTACCCATTCTCTGGCAGAGTGACCTACTTCCATGAACATACAAGGAGCATTAAGTGAACCCAGTTTAAAAAAATAGCACAAGAAGTTGGGAGAGAAAAGTAGTGGAAGGATAGTGGAAAATCAGAGGAGAGGGAAGGAGTAGATTTGATCAAAACACATTGCAGGTATGTATGAAATTATCAGTCTAACAAACAAAACGTTTTAGCATAGCTTTCAAAGTAAAGTCTGTCCCCTTGACTTTTTGCTAAGTATGCCTCTCTCTGAGTCCTTTGCCCCAGAAAGACTGGTTTCAGGTTCCTCCATGCTCCAAAAGAAAGTATCTACCTTCAGATCCTGAAGTCCAAGAGCCATTTCATGGAAGATACAGAATTTCCTAGTCAAATATGCCAGACTTGTAAAATAAATGCCACGATTTCTCTAGTTAAAACAGAGATTTTTTATGATTTAATGATATATTCCAGTAAAATTCATCATTAGAAATGTTTACATCCGTGTGATAATACTCACATGTTTTTACCTCAGTGGAGTACGCACCCTGCATATATGTTCCAGCAACCATCAGCAGAGGGAAACTGCTAAGAAGCGCCTCTGAGTAACTGAGCACATCCATTCCTTTGGTCTGTGGGAAATTTGTCAATCTCACTGGACAGTAGTGAATTTCTAACTCCAGCTTCCTGTCTGCCCTCCACCAGGTGTCTAAACTTCTCTTTTCAGCAGGGAAAGGATCCTTGTCTATCATGAACCCTACATACCTCAAAGGAAGCAGGTGTAGACAAGCACGTGTGGGCTCCCAGAGGTTAGAATCTCACATAGTCCTGTGACATTGAGTGGTGTCTGGTGTTGATCTGACCTACCCTTTTATTATCTTACAAAAGCATGATAAGAGGCCCAGAAAGGAGACTGGGCTAGAATAGAACACTGTTGAATAATGTGATCTGTTTTTACAAACATTACCATTTGCCAGGCCTTGTTGGTGCAGGCCTGTCATCCCTCAGGAGACTAAGGCAGGAGGATTCAAAGTTGAAGGCTGGACTAAGCTGCATAGTGAGTTAAAGGCTAGTCTGGGCAAGTTAGTGAGTCCTTGTCTCAAAAAGTGAAAAAAAAAAAAAAAAGTTGGCTCAGTGGGTCAAGTGCTAACAGAGCAATCTGGAGGCTCTGGGTCCATATACCCAGAACCTTTGTTGTGCCAGATAGAATAGAGCATATCTGTAATCCCAGCATTTCTGTGGTAAGATGGGAGACAGAGACAGAAGAATCCCTAGAAGCTTGGTAGGTGGGAATTGCTCCCTTGACATACATGGCTGCAAACAACAGACCTTCTTGCAAATACAGTGGAAGACATGACCTGACACTGACATGGAGATTGTCTGCTGGCTCCGCACATGTGCTGTGGAATACATGCATACACAGAGAGACAGACAGACAGACAGACAGACAGACAGACAGACAGACAGACAGACAGGGGCAGAGAAATGGTTTTTATAAAGGTAAAAAAAAACCAAAAATGTTTGGGCACGTAGCACAGTGATAGAGCACCAGACTAGCACATGTGAATCCCTGAGTTAAATACCCAGTACTACAAAAAAACATGAAAAAACATAAATTAGAATGAGTTATTCTATTAAGTATCTCATTATACTGGAGTCTCTGATCAGTCTTTAAAGTTAAGTTTTCTACAGTCCATGAAAAAATATTATTGCAAAATTAAAAATATATGAGTATGTGTTAGCCTCCCTCAATCGTTCCAGCTGCGCAGGAAATCCCTTTAGGGACAAAAGATTGCATCGAGCTTGTCTGCTTCATATAGGAGGGACATCAATGGTATTGGGAAAATACTATTGACTTTAGAATGGTCAACTTGTATATTGCCCCGCAACCGGTTCAGTACCAGAAGGGCATTCTTCTGAAAGTCCGTCCTAGTTTTTTCCTTTGAGTCTCAAATCAGCATGTCCCTTAGTAAAGGTTTGTATGTTATCATTTCATTCCAGTCGATGGTGACACAAGAGCCCATGCTGAAGGCTGCCTTGCCTCTCTTTGCCAGATTTACTGTCAGCAATGGACTGCAGACCCAGCATGGGGTGTTTGAGATCACACTGGAGACTGTGGACAGAGCCTTGCCTGTGGTGACCAGGAACAAAGGGCTGAGGCTGGCTGAAGGGGCTGTGGGCCTACTGTCTGCTGATCACCTTCAGCTAACGGATCCTGACACACCTCCAGAGAACCTAACCTTCCTCCTGGCCCAGCTCCCACGCCATGGGTATCTCTACCTGAGGGGGAAAGTGCTTCAACATAATTTTACCCAGCAAGATGTGGACAGCAGGGGTGTGGCCTATCAGCACTCAGGAGGTGGCTCCTGGGAAGACTGCTTTACTTTCCTGGCCACAGACAGGAAGAACCAAGGCTTTGTGGTGGATGGAAAAACTCGGAAAGAGCCTGTTCTCTTCACCATCCAGGCAAGTATAGCAGGTATATAGTTTGTGCCAGAGATGAGGAGAGAGCCATTCAGGAAGTGGTATTTCCTTACTTCTATCCCCCTGGCATTAAGAACCAGGTTGTAGCAGGCCAGGCTGTCAGTATGACTGTGCAAGGGACTGACCTTAAGAATTGGTGGCAGTACAGGAAGGAGCAAAAACATGGGCCTTAGAGTTGGCAGACGTAGGTTTGAATTTTTGTTTTGTCATTTATTGTCTGGAAAACCTAAAAAGAACTCTTCAGCTCCTCCTGTCTGTTATTGTCCTATTGCTGTGAAGGGCACCATGATTAAGGAAGCTTACAGAAGAAGGCATTTGATTAGGGCCTGGCTTACAATTTCAGAGGGTTAGTCCATGGCCATCACAGAAGGGAACATGGCAACAGGCAGGCATGGCACTAGAGCAGTAGCTGAGAGCTTGCATCCTGATCCACAAGCCCAAAGTTCATAGAATGAGACTGGGCCTGGCATGGACTTTTGAAACCTAAAAGTCCACCCTTTCAACAAAGCCATACCTCCCAATCCTTCCTCAACAGTCTGCTAACTAGGGAGTTAGCATTCGAATACATGAGCCTATGGGGCCCTTCTCCTTCATTCTTCCATACTTCCTAATCTTTGAAAAGTAAGCCTACAGAATTGTGGTGGCAATTAAACAAGATTAGGTATCCAAGGCACTCACACACTGCCTGGAACAGATCTAAGGTACATAATTGACATTTGTAACTACAACTACGCCATTAAGGATTCTGCTTAGTCAGGCATGTCATCTAGTGGCACTTTATTTATTTATTTATTTATTTATTTATTTATTTATTTATTTTGGTTTTTTGAGACAGGCTTTCTCTGTGTAGCTTTGGAGCCTATCCTGGCACTCTCTCTGGAGAACAGGCTGGCCTTGAACTCACAGAGATCCGCCTGCCTCTGCCTCCCGAGTGCTGGGATTAAAGGCGTGTGCCACCAAAGCCCGGCATCTAGTGGCATTTTAAAGATTATCAGATAAACATGTAGGTGTGGGAGCTTACAAGGCTACGTCAGTGTCACTCAGGAACTGATGATGGCAATAATAGTAGCAGCAGATACAAACATTTTTTTCTACTTTTAATTCCTAGACAGTTTAATGCACCTATAGAACACATCTTAATTATTTGCTTTCCCCATTCCCCCCTTTTATCACTCTCCCCTGCCCACTGAAACTATTCCCCAACAACCCCCCAACACTTTCATATCTTCTTTGTGTGTGTGACCCACTGAGTTTATTTAGTGTTGCTTGTGTGAGCATGGGTAGGAGGTTATTTCTTGGAGCGTGGGGAACTTACTAACAGCTACACCACTGAAGAAAACAATGCTCTCGCTGTCTCTCCCCCAGCAACCATTAACTGCCAATGGGCCCTCAGGGAGCAGTGGTGGTGCCTTGTGCTCCCTCCCACACCCTGATGAAATGTACATGGGCACAATCTTGTGCAGATAACCAGCTGCCCTGTGTTTTTGAGTGCTGTGGCCCTGTCATGTCTAGATGTCTTTTTTATAGAGTATCTCCTCCCCATCCTCTAGCTCTTACATGTTTCACAGCCAAAGACTTTTTAAATTTGGTATCTAAAGAGCAGACCTACTTGGCATAAATCTCAGTTGATTCTCATAAACATTTTATGCGGTAAGCTTTATTGTCTACATTTATACATGAAGAAACGGAATATCAGAAGTTAAATAATTTGATCAAAGACATCAAGTCTGTTTGATTCCAAATTCTGTGTCCTTCCTGAGGTTCCATACCGCCACATTTGTTGACTCTCAATGATTCTTGGAGGGCAGAGTGTTTTTCATCTTCTAGTCAAAACACATCAAGTATGTTCTGGCTCTCAGAACTCTTAAATCTACTCTTCTTGGATGGAGTTCACCCTGTTCCACACACTTTAACCAACAGCAACAAAGATGCGATTTTGTCTCTGCTTCAGGATATTCTGACTAGTGAGATAATCATATTTTCTCCTTGCTCTTTAGCCTTTGTTAGGATTCCCCAGAGAAAAGTATGTCTCTGTGTGTTGTGCACAGTATCCATAGACCATACAGAGTGTAGAATGTGATAGAAAGTGTGTGCGTATGAAAGACAGAGAGGCACATAGGAAAAATTGGTTTAGGAATTGCCTCATGCTGTCATAGGCCCTGGCATGCTCAAGATTCATTGTGCAAGCAAACCAGTGGAGTAACAAAGGTGATGCTGTAGCCTTGAATCTGAAAGGAATGGAGAGACAAAGCTCTCATTTCTTTAGTGGAACCCCAGTCTTTTCCCTTCAGGCTGGCAATGGTCTGGGTAAGGCTTACACAGTCTACATTACTAAGTCTGTGGAGTTAAACATTGGCTGAAACACTCATCTCTAGACCACCTAGGTCTATGGCCTAGGACACTTGGCTCAGATTAACCTTCAGGGTCTCTGGATGTGAGTGAATCTTTGGTACTATGAAGGCTGAGGGAATATAATGAGTTGTGGATACCCAGGGAGATGGTGTCCATGTCAGTGATACACAGTCACTGCGGTGTCTACTGAAAAATAATTTTCTGAAAGTTTCTAAGAGCTACAAATTCGAATGTGCAGACCCAACTGCTTCCTGTACTTCAGAGATGGAAATGAGTGTGGAGTAGAGAGAATGTGCTAGAACTGAAACAAATCTCTCCATCACAGTGCTCCTCTAAGAACAAAAATATTCTAAGAGTCTCTTCACTCCTTGAAGTTGTGGAAGCAGTCTGCTGGGTGTGGTAAAGCTTTGTTTTCATCACAAATGCAAGCTATCCATTGCAAAAACAAACATTCTGTTAAACACAGGAAAAGCCTAAGATTTTTGTCCCCAGATTTCCTTGACCATTAGAATAAAGGGGTCAAGCAGCTTTTTATGAAGCAGCTGGCCCTGCCAGCAATGTAGGAGCGAAGACACCCTCAGTGTCCTGCTTCCAAGAGCTGTTTTTGTCAAGACAATACAGTATTTATTGACTGCCACATATAAACACTGGCCCATATATGTGATTCAAGCATGGATCAATGGGTTCCGTGGGGTTATATGAGTAACCGAGGGCAAAGTTCCTGGATGTAAAAAGATAGATAAATAAATAAATAAATAAATAAATAAATAAATAAATAAATAAATGAAAGGATGTACTTGACTGGTTGCAACAGGCACACATGACCTCCATTCTGTGGGAAATCACAAAGGCCTGTGGAAGGGATAAGCCTGTGTGGAGATCAAAGGACTTATCATTGCTTTCCATGAAACTAACATGTCTGGGAGAATTTTCACTAAATCCAACTCCAGTTATCATAAGATAGACAGAGCCTTCCTGAAAAATAAAATGTCTTCCCCTGTATCATTTTAAAACCTTTTGGTATATCAAGTCAAAGACCTACTTTGATAAAAGCAAACTGCTTTAATACATCTGAGAATACAGGTATAGCCACAGGCACAACAGGGGACCAAAGTGACTAGTGTTTATATAATAATACATTTTTTTAAAACCATTGACCATAACAGACAGTTATTACTTTTGTACCATTTGGGTTTATAAGAAAAACGTAACATCAAAAATAAAAATAACAACATTCAGCTGTCTCATATTCCAGAGGATCCTAATATAGCTTTGTATATTTTCATTTTTCCTCTTCCACACTACCATGGCCATAGAGATTCTCTCCCTAGGAGATCATCAGGACATTCTCACCTCACCTCCTGCTAAGCCCCAAAGTGCTGAAAGTCCCAGCACACAATTTTCAGATCCGCATTGATGAAGATATTTCTTATAATCAGTAGAAATCCAGAAAACATAAACCTGCCTTTTTGCATGTATATATGTGTGATGTGTATGCATGCGTATTTGTAAATGTGGAGGCATGTTTGTGTACTTCTGTGTGCATGCATGTCCATCCAGTAGCTAGAGGCTAATTTTGGGTGTCTTTTTGATAACTCTATTTTACGAAGGCAGGGTCTCTCTTTTTGAACATGAGTTTGCTAATCCAACTAATCTGACTAGCCAGCTTGCCCCAGGGATTCTGTCTCTACCACAGCCTTACCTGTCCATCCACCACCCTCAAAAAATCTAGTCTACCCATTGAGTCATGTGGTCTTCAGCTTCAGTAAAACAATCCACAGTCTAAAGTTAATCACTTTTGTGATTTTTGTCATAGATTATTTCCATTTTTCTACTCAACACTTTTGTCATTTGAACAAAGGCACTTGCAAAACAAAATAAAATCAAAATGAGAGAAAGGAAGGAAGAGAAAAACTAGTGAATTCCAGGACAGCCAAGGCTATACAGAGAAACCCTGTCTTTTTTAAAAATATTTTTTAAGAGTTTTAAAAATTTATTATGTATACAGTGTTCTGCCTACATATAATGCCTGCAGGCTGGAAGAGAGGGCACCAGATCTCATTATAGATGATTGTGAGCCACCATGTGGTTGCTGGGAATTGAACTCAGGACCTCTAGAAGAGCAGTCAGTGCTGAGCTGTCTCTCTAGGCCCCAGAAACCCTCTCTTGAAAAACCCAAAATCAATAAAACAAGCAAACAATAACAGAAAAAGCAAATAAAAGGTCTATGGCATTTGTAAATAATTATGATTCTGTTTATGTAGTTCATTAAACACAGCAAATCTTTCTGTGATACTAACACTGAATTTGCTATGTAATTTGTGGGTCTGTTTTAGCACATTTCATGTGCTTCTGTTACGGTTTAGACATGCTGCCGAGTGCAAGAATGGGCATCAGGGTGGAAGATACAGTATTTGCCTTCATAAAACTAGTATTGTATGGAGAGTCAGACACCAGACAAAACATAAAGCTGGGTGAAGGTTTATGGTGGAAACTAAGCCTCTACCCCAGACTCTATTTGTTAGGACAGGGGGAACAAGACAGGATTTAGCAGAAACCAACAGCTGAGGACTCCAGGTAATCTGTAAATTGAGGAGTTTGCCATTGTTGAACTGTGAGAGCCCTGCATAGCATAGGGAGAGAAGTCCTTGAGCAATATCACCCTATGATTCAGGTGGACCAGCTGGACAAAGAGGCACCCCGGATCACACGCCTGCATTCCCCTTCTCAAGTGGGGCTCTTGAAAAATGGCTGTTACGGGATTTACATCACTTCCCATGTGCTGAAGGCTTCAGACCCGGACACAGAGGATGACCAGATCATCTTTAAGATTTTACGAGGCCCATTGCATGGACGTCTGGAGAACACAACCTCAGGTATCCTCCATCTTAATCCTTGTAATTCCTCTTTTTAAACTATTGGCTGCCAGCAGGGCTAGAGAGTAACTCAATTAAGTGCAGGCCCATTTGGTGAGTGTTCCCCGGGACTTGCTGATAGACTCAGTTTCTAAATCAATATTGTTGCTAATGGGGATTTGAAGCAACTCCTACATTCATCTTCATAAGAAAAAACAAATCCCAGGCTGGAGAAACCCACAGAAACAGCTGACCTGAACAATGGGGAGATCATGGACCCCAGACTAATAGTTGGGAAACCAGCATAGGATGGAACCAGACCCCCAGAACGTGGATGTCAGTTAGGCGCCTTGGACAATCTATGGGCCTCTGGTAGTGGATCAGTATTTATCCCTAGCATGCAAATAGACTTTGGGAGCCCATTCCACATAGAGGGATACTCTCTCAGCCTACACACATGGGGGAGGGTCTAGGTCCTGCTTCAAATGATATGACAGACTTTGAAGATCCCACATGGAAGGCCTCACCTTCCCTGGGGAGCAGAAAGGGGATGGGATGGGGGTCAGTAGGGAGGAGGGGAGGGAAAGGGAACTGGGATTGACATGAAAAACAAGCTTGTTTCTAATTTAAATTAAAAATAAAGGAAGGAAGGAAGGAAGGAAGGAAGGAAGGAAGGAAGAGTAAGGGGTTCTTCTCCCTTGGACTCAGTTGATAGCATTGGGAAGGCTAATGTTCCAGAACTCTGTATTGAAGTTGTAAATACACACACACACACACACACACACACACACACACACACACACCACCACCACCACCACCACCACCACCACCACCACCACAACAACAACAACAACAAAAACAAATCCTGGCCCACAGAAGCTCAACTGTTTACCATTTTGTTGATGTTTATTTTTTGTTTTTCAGGTAGCTTTCTATCCAGAGCACAGTGCCAGGGTCAGACTGATATTGGAGACTGATTTCTTTCTTCTACTATGAAACCTAAGTGATATCAGCTCCTTAAAAAAATAACAATAATCTGTGTTTTTCTCATAATGGTTTTGCTAGATTGCATGTTATCTTTGCTTCAGTAAGGCAATGATCACATACCTCATTAAATGGGATAGCACAGAGGTGACAGGTTTTATTCATTTCCTATTTTCTTTCTCTAGTTTAGTACTATAAGGCAAATATCTCAGAAGGAAAGCAAATTTAAAGATGAATTTGAGTTCATTGAATTTGAATTTTAACATAGTTGCAATAATGCTAATTTCCTTTAAAAACAGAGTTATGCTGTTTTGTTTGAAACAATGTCTTAAGTAGCCCAGGCTGGCCCGGATCTTGCTATGAGGCTGAGGATGACCTTGAACTTGGAATCATTCTCCCTTTCCCTGTGTCACCATGAGGGAGTTTTAGGTGTGTTCCATGCATGCCAGGCAAGCGTTCTACCAACTGAGCTACATCTCCAGTCCTGTACTGTTCCTTAAAACTGTGTTTCAGTTTCAAAACAAAACAGCTGTGACGTTTTATCAATTCTTAAGTGATGTTTGATTCAATTACCGGTGAGATTCATTTAGATTTTTTTTTTGCTCCTAGGTGAATTTATCCATGAGCGGTTTAGCCAGAAGGACTTAGGCAGTAAGACCATTCTTTACATCATAAACCCATCTTTGCAAGTGAATTCAGATATCCTGGAATTTCAGGTCATGGACCCCACAGGGAACACAGCTACTCCTCAAAGGTAATGTCAATTATTCACTGGTTCTACATGTCATGTTTAGAATGTATCCCATTAAGAAAGTAAAACATTTTTTTCCAAATCAGACATAACAGTAAATTGACTATTTCATATGCTCATACAATTTTTTTCTGGAGAAAGCATCTCTGTTGCATTATTTCTAGATGATGGAAAAGCCAGTGGCTTTCCACATTATAAAGACATTAAAGGTTAAGTGAACAGTGTCTTTTATATCCTGCCTTTCACACACTGGGAAGTTGCTGCTGGAGGGCTTTCAGGACTGAGCTCAAAGCCCTTGTGTTCATGCGGCAGCCAGAGGTCACTCTAGGACCGTGTTAGTCACCACGGGCTCCTGAACTATGGGGTGGGTGGGGGTGGGATGAAGTAGGAAGGAGCAGCCAAATATATTCTCTTACTAAAAAGAAAGAAAGAAAATATGCCAGTGCCTCTGCAAGTTAACAAGCCCTCTAGGCAAGATGAAGACAGTATAAACAAAAAGTAGATTTGAGGGGATATTGAGTGGTTTAGAAACGTAAATATATGTGATGTCAAATACTCAGCCTCACAAGAACAAATCCGCAATATTAACGAGATTAGCAGAGCAGAGTGATTTCTGTGTCTGCACCTCCTTTCCAGATGCTGCTCGTGTATAGACCTTAAATAATTTACTGGCTGGCAGATGGTCACAGTGAAGGCCCAGCCGTCCGTTTCTTGTGCTGCATTGGTTTTCTTTACTCACTGCCTTCCCCAGACACTTCAGAGAAAAGTTACTCATTTCTCCTAAATCTTGCATTCACCATATCCGAGGCATATAAAATAGCACAAATGAGCACATCCTCACTGTGCTCCCTCTATGATGAAGTGTGGATGAGTGAGGAAGAGAAACATGATGAGGAAATGTCCTCAGTACCACTGCTTTTCTTCCTCCAACCTGTACTGTAGTTTCACCATTCGCCAGCAGAGGTTGCTATAGTCGTTGTTAGCAAAAACTGGCATCCTGAAGCTGAAATCTGCTCCCACCCTGCCTCCATCGCCTGTTCAAGGGCACTCCTTCACCCAGGTCTATAAACTAACCCAAGAGACTTTGGTCTGGTGGCTGCCATATGCCAGGCTCACAGCACCAGGACTTAGGAAGACCAGGTACCTGCACTTAAGATCCCCAGACTATCAAGTAAAACAAATGCTCCTCACCCATTAGACTGCCTCTGCCTGAGGGGACTAATACCTGGGGGGCGGGGAGGGGGTCGCAGTCTAAAGAATAGATAGTAATGACTTGCTTTTTTGAACAAATATCTCTATTTTCAAGAAAAAATTTTAAACTTATGTTCTAAAAATATTCATGAATTGACTTCACTCAGCATTATAGTCTTTTTAAAAATTGTTCATTTTCAAACACATAGTATTGATCAGACTTGCCCCTGAGCTAGTGCAAACCTTTGGTCCCCCACATGCCAGTATGGTGTGGGTGACAGCAGGTCCCCCCAGTGATGACACTAGATTTCCTTGCACATGCACTATTTCTATTCTTTTTTATTATCAAGGGCATTGCTTCATGAAGATGTTTTGTTTTTAGGTAACCATGAAAGTTGCTTTAAAAAGTCACAGCAGAGTTTACATCATGTGGCTAGCAGAGTTATCACTTCTGTCGAGGCTGTTTTAGATTGGCAGGCCGGCTTCTGAAAGGATCACTCCTCACAGGCTCATGCTGGAGATGTTCCTATCACCTCGAAATGGCTAGAACCCGTGAAGAAAAAAATGCCTGCAGACTGCTAATACAAAAATAACTCAGATTTGGTTCCAACATGCTTTATGTTATTTTCTTTTGAGTAGGTGGGAAAGTAGAAATTGCTCAGCATTTATCTCAGCATTTGAGTGGGATAGTTATGCCCAAGTAGATTTTTTTTCCCCTGAAACTACCCACACATATTTCTGATAACAAACAAAGGAAGGTGGTCCAACAAAGAGGTCAGTGGTTAGGCCTGATCCCCTGAGTTTATTACTTGGATCTAACTCTCAAGAGTTGTCTTCTGACTTGGACGAAAGCATTCTTGTACCTTTGCACACGCGCGCGCGCACACACACACACACAGAGAGAGGGAGAGGGAGAGAGAGAGAGAGAGAGAGAGAGAGAGAGAGAGAGAGAGAGAGAGAGTTTTTAAAAAAGAAACAATTCTAAACAGTGATTTGTCTTCACAAAACAACCAGCAAGAGCCTACTTACAATATGAATCATAGGCATTTGGGATTTCATTATTTTTAGCTCTATTTGATGTTATTCATTTAATCACCAAAACCATGTATAGTTGGGTCCCATCATACTCTAGAATTTGCAGTCAAGGAAACAGGCACAGATCTGTGAGAGGCTGCTTAGTGTGGGAGCTGGGGTTCAGTCCTCATTAGCCCAGGTAGCCTTCCACCCTGCTCTATCCCCCTTGCTCTTCCTTAATGCTGGCTAAGCTCTTCTTCCCCCGTAGGCATTTCACATCCAAGCTTCGAGGAAGAAGGAATATTTACCCATCAAGGACCTTAAAGTTTAACTGAGTTTTTGTGAAAATGTGAATAACTGTCAACATTAGTGTGTGGCCTCCATATCTAATGCCCCAGCAATTATAGTATAGATAGTTATCCTTTGGACATGAAGTGGACCACGTCTGCATTTTGGTCCCACCAGTTAGTGATTGTTGACAGCAGCTTTCTGATCTTTCCACTGGGAAAATACTTCAGTTACTTTAGTTAAACAAATGAGTTCCAACATGTAGCAAAATCTTGTGTTTAAGATCTTAGCAAATGAATCTTTCAGTCCTTACTGCTAGTGTTAATTCCCCTGAGTATTTATGTTACTTCCACCGTTTGAAGATGTTTCCTGAAATATTTAGTGGGTTAAAGCCTATCTCTAACTGGACATTGATTTTAGGGTCATTCACAAAGCAAACAGTCCATAAGGTTATTCACAATAAGCTAAATGCAGTGTTTTGCTATTGTACTTTCCATGCATTATCAGTCCTGAAGGATCAATAGATGGTCTGTTTCATCAAACATAGGAAAATTTTGTCTGAGTGAGATGCATCAAGTTACCAGCAGCTGGCTAGTTGGTGAGTGTGTTTAATAATATCACATCAAAATTCATCAAGCTGATCATGTTATTGCGAGTCTGTGAGAGATGGCTCCTTGTGCAGCATATCTGACCTTAACAGGCTACAGAGCCACCTCTCCTCGCTTCTCCTCCTCCATCTAGCTCAGTGCAGCTGACCATTTGTCATGGACCACATTTGGAAGGCACTGTCATAAGCAGAAGCTACTTAAATAACACTTAACATCCACGGATGTTTGTCTCAAGATTTAGATTTGGCTAAGTGCCTAAATTCTAGGCAGTGTGTTAGGTGCTTAAAACACAATCCTCCAAAGATAATAAGGAAATTACACTCAAAGTGGTGAAGTAATTATCTCCACACCAGTGGAAGAGTGGCAGCTGAATGTGAACCCTGACCACCAGGTCTCAGAAAGCCCGTTTCTTATTGGCTCTGGCCTTGGCATGACTCACTCACAAACTTGTTCTGTTCTCTGGCTCAAGTTGCCTCTCCAAATGAAGTACAGAACCTAAGCAAGGCACACGGGGCCCACAGCACTCATTGAAAACATCTTTGTAGACCAGAAAACGAAGCCAACTTAACACCAGTGTAATTTTCTTAGTACATGTTCCATGTGGATGTCTTTATTGTGCTCCCCGCCCCCCCCACCCCCCGCCAAAAAAAAGAATTAACTTCAAAAGAAAAGTTGGTCCCCATGGACCCTCCTGCTTCAGTGGCTCCTCCAAAGCACTGGTTCTTGTCCTCTTTGGCAACTGCACCCAGCTGTTCTGTTGGAGTCTTGGCCTCAAAAGAGAGAAGTCAAAAGAAATGTAAAGGGAAAGGAATTTCTATCAGGCAAACTTTAAAACAGTTAAACAGCTTTTATGAAACACCTTGTAGGGGGAGAGGTTGAAGCCATTTGCTCACGAACGCCTGCTCATTGTCTACAGCCCAGAGTTTGCACGTTTATCCCCAGTCTAGAGCTAAGGAAAGCACAGAGGAAGGGAAAGAAAATGGCACTTATTAAGCACCCACTGTGTGCAGGTGCTTTGTACACATTAACTAGTTTTAATTTTAATGATTCGACATGAATGTGGTTCTTCTCGTTGTAAGATAATGAAATCTGAAGCCTAGAGAGACAGGGGAACTGACCGCGTTCCCAAAGCACTAGCTTGTTTTCTCTGCTCTCTCTGCTGCCTCTCGCTAACCACTCCCCACTAACGAGAAAATGAAAACTGGGAAACACAGGTGTTCAGAGTCTGAGGTTATCAGGCTTAATAGCACCATCTCTGAACTGACAACCCTTAGAATGCTTAGAAAAATACTTCTTAGCATAATTTTCTGAAGTCATGCGCTACCTGATTATAAGTGAAGATCTAGCTGTAGGAATAATGACTTAATCATAATCTCAGCTTCTATGAAACCTTTTAACTGAGAAGCTCACCATAGTTAATGAGCACTCCTGGAAGTTCATTTAACCCCTTTGAAGTATGACTTGTCTTTAGTATGCTTTGAGAAATGGGGAAACCGAGGCAGGGAGAAACTGAAGCACTCTTATTAACTTAGATTGATGTCCCAGATCCCAAACTAATGTTCTAACCCCAAGTGTTTCTTTCAGTTTATTGTTCCTTCACATATATGAACCAAATAGCTACAAGATAAAATATCAAAAAGCATAGATTTTTTAAAATTATAAAACAAGCTCTCTCAGCATTGACACTGTCAGTGTGTAGGGAAACATAATTCTTTGTCATAGGCCATAGCTGTCCTGTGCACAGCTGGTAATCAGCATCCCTAGGCTTCACCCTCCAAATGCTTGGACCACCCTTCTGCCACCTGTGACAGTCAGCACTGTCTCCAGATATGCCGGGTGTTGAGAACTGCAGTATGCCTCAGAGAATAACATGCGTGCCTGGTTAAGAAACCACGCTTTGCCGATGAACACTTCTATTGTGCCATCTTTTCTCTCTAATGAGGTCAGAATAATAGTCAAAGAGTACTGTGTAAGTTGAGGTGATAAAGAGCATGTGAGAATTTTCTGGCCCAGAGTCATTTTCAAGGTGTATGAAAGAAGCTAACGCTGCTGAGAAAGGGCATTTCTGGCAGTCATGTGGGTCTGTGCAGTGGCACTGATTCCAGCTTAGCATCCGCGATGGGTGGATCTGCAGAACTCAGCTTTGGGACTAACTTGACTCTCAGCAGACAGCTCAAACCATCCCACATGTATCAGTTTCCCATTGATTCTTCTGCCTTCTCGCTCAATCACTTTTTTGCTTTCTTGCTTTCCTGGATGTTTTAGGAATTCTTTGCAACCTGTCATTTCTACTGGCATTTGAATTGTCCTTATTGACTATTATTTTATCACTCTTTAAGCATACTTTTCTTTTATTTCTTGATCTATTTCATGCTAGACTTTAAGTTCTTTTGCATCAAATACCAGTAAGTGAACCAATATTCTTTAGTATAATGATGCTTTTTAAGTCATTTTTTATGAAATCCAGGATGCAGTAACAATGTTTCATAATTATTGGATAAACACATTATGTGAACAACATACATATCTTATCGTTGAGCCCCTGTGTTAAGTCTACAGTGCAGTGTCATTCCGCCCCTAGCCTGCAAGTGAGAACCAGTCCCACTGTATTTATGTATATTGTATGATGTGACAGTGACCTGTGACCCCTGAAGGAGGATAAACTAGATGTTGAAACTTCCTGACCTTAGTCTTTTTAATATATTTTTAACTTCTTTCAATGATATCCATTGAATATGACAATTTCCATCAAGTGTCAGATTTATTTGTTGTATATCAGAAGTATTTATGAGTCACATTCAGCTGTATGTAGTTGGCCTCTTATGTCTTAGGGGTTTTCCAGATATAACCAACCATAATTCAAAATTATTTATTGAAGAATTATGTCATATTGAACATGCACAGAACCTTTTTCTTGTCATTAGTCTCTAAACAATATAGTAAATCAGCTATTTACACTGTACTGTAAGTCATCTAGAGATGAAGTAAGGTATAAAGAGGGATATTGCAGGCTGTGTGTGACTTAAATGTCTATACATTTCAGCACCAGCCGTGGGTTGTGAACCCACCCTTTGGTGGACACTGAGGGATAACTAGGGTTGCACCCGAGCTGCACACTATTGTATCTCTTTCACATGTACAGAAAGAGGAGTGGGTGTTAGGTACAAAGCATGCAGACACTTTAAGTCCTAAGCATATCCTGAGGATAACATTTCGTTAAAGTGAGCCCAAGCTCAGAGATCTCCCTAAAATGAATGGACTCTGGAGCTTCATACCTACTGGTTCCTTCCTTTCTCATACTCTATCTGGTCACTAACAACTGGCAGACTTTTGGAAATCTTTTAATCTTATTTCATTGATAGAATTCCTGACAGTTTTTCTGTTCCCCCACAAGGTCATTATAAGGATCAAATAAGATAATGCAAAAGTTAGTCATGAACAAACACTCCAAATGTGAGCAATTTCTGTCACTGGCATGGGTTAACCAAACTCCTTTGCTTCCTTGATGGAACTCAGTGCTCAGTCACCCATCCAGCTGAGGGGCATTCATATAGTTTCCTTATGGTCACCTTTTTCCTTTTCTTCATGCACAGCTTGGAGCTGAAGTGGTCTTATATTGAATGGTTCCAGACTGAATATGAGGTCTGTGAGAATGTGGGCTTATTGCCCTTGGAAGTTACCAGAAGGGGATATTCCATGGACTCAGCCTTTGTGGGCATAGAGGTAACAACTCTAAAATGTAAATTGTCAAGGTAGAACTTAGTGTTGTTAGTTAGTTTCTTTGATGATTTTCTTAGAAAAAACTCAGAGTGGTCAAGGAAACCAAACTGCAGGGGTATCACTATATGTCAGAGAGACCAACATCTTTGTCCCCCAGCCCTTCAGTGAATTCCTAGACAGCTTTTAAGATCTGCTTTTGGTTTTGAGATCCGTGTATTTCTACACATTCTTTAGCTTTCAAAGTTTGATTTCACAGAGAGATGTACCCAGCTTAGTGGATAGGTATTAAACTCCACCTTGAAAGGTGTGTACAGCTCCTATGAGGTGACTAAAGCAAGTATCAGTCACTAGCTGTCCTCTGGAAATGGAATAGGTTCACTGTCCATGCCTCAATAGATAAGGTAAAACAGAAGATATAAACCTGTCTTGAGAGGGTTCCATGCCATGCAGAAGTAGAAGGGCACTTTGGGACAGTCACCTGAAGTGTAGAGTCTTCACTTTGTCACTTCTAAACAGATTTGTTGGAGCACAACCTGTGGCTTGGAGAGTTGAAGGAGTCTGAGAAAGTCCTCTCAGAAAGGCTTGCAGGGCCAGCTTATTCACTTCAGTGGAGAACCAGAGAGACTTTACTCAGTCTATGGGATGGATGAGCCTCTGGGTGAGAGGGCGGTGAGAGGGCGTCTCTGACAGTCACAGTTTTAAGAGTTAAAAGTGCCTCTAGTCCCTGAGGACCTAAACCTGACCACACCCAGACTCACTGTATCTTTTTAGTGGATATAGGTCTCTGTCTCCTGGTCCTGCTCGTATTTTATCATCAAAGTAGAAAGCTGCATTTCCCATAACTCCAGGGAAGGGCCATGGGAAAGAAGAGAATTAGCCTGGTGTAGCTTTTTAACAAATCCCTAGTCCTTCTCGGAAAGTATCGCATATGTGAGTGAAGCATTTAGGTCTATGTTACCACTCACTTTGACATGTGAAAGGACCTGCATGGGACCTTAGTCTACCTGGGTTGTATGAATCTGACAGCTAAGTGTGCAGGCCTTTGTTAAGTACAGTCCCTGAGGCTTTGGGTACAGCTCCAAATAGTGAATAACCTGCCATTTTACATAAGCTCATATGGATTACTTGGCTGAGAAAAGAGAGAAGAAATACTTTGCCCTGTGCTGTTTGCCCTCTTTGAATTGTTCTGCTTCACCCAACCTGTCTTTCCAAACACCTTGCTTCAGACATGTTTTTCCGACTTAGGATTCTGTAAACCCAGTGGTGGTAAATACTAGGCAATTGCATATGCAAGAACCATGCAGACAAATGTAACTCCAGCATATGGTGAATGCAGGTGTACAATGGGCTGCCTTTTCCCAGCAAAAGCTGGTGCAGGGGGAGCCTTGGCATCACAGACAAAGAGCAAATGGAAGCCTAGGAAATAATCCCTTCTTCAGCAAGATGTTTCTAGATAGAACCGTTAACCTATTAGAATCTTGGTTGGAAATAGACACATTGCCTGAGACCACAGGAATGGGCATTTCAGAGCTTCAAGATGTGTACTCTGTTCCTTTCACTGTCTTGACCATCTTCAACATCTTAAAATGTGCAAAGTTAAGAGCTGACCATGGGGCTGGAGAGATGGCTTAGAGGTTAAGAGCACCGACTGCTCTTCCAGAGGTCCTGAGTTCAATTCCCAGCAACCACATGGTGGCTTACAACCATCCGTTATGAGATCTGGTGTCCTCTTCTGGTGTGCAGATATACATGGAAACAGAATGTTGTATACATAATAAATGAATAAAATTAAAAAAAAAACTTTAAAAAAAAAGAGCTGACCATGATGTTCACCTATGGTCTCAGTTGATGGCCTTTTCCAAACTCACCAAAGACATTTTTTTTAACAGACATGTAGGCTTGCCTTGGGGGTCTAAGACCATCACTTCAGAACCCTAAATTTGCCTCTTTAGATTTTAGTCCTGGATCACAGACCCAGTGAAGCTTTAGGCCAGAGTAGTTTTCCCTCTTTACAGCTTCCATGACAAGCCCTGTAAGGCTATGGGTCCTGGGTGTGGAGTGCCTTCACATAGCTGCTTACCAGGTCCCACAAAGTTCTCAGTCATGTTGGCACAGAGCAATGGTTTCATCCCAGCAGGAAAACAATGCTCAGGACTTGTTTGTTAATCTGGCCTAAGGGCTTTCAGTGCCATTGAGCTTTCAGAATCCCTCAGAGCTGGCTAACAGTACACAGGTTCTCAGGGCTGCCCACTTCACCCCACCCTGTTCTTTCTCCATTTTAAAACCAAGAGAGGTAATGGAATAAAATGGTGCTCACAACAAAGAGAACAATAAGATTTTAAACTTTATTCTACTTTTTCCAATAACTGGATACTTTTAAAAGGAGAAGCAACCAGTTAACTTAAAAAATAAAATAAAAGAAGCGTATCATATAGCCTGGACCCAAAATGGTTTATTATCATTATAAAATCTTGCCTAACATTAAAAACAGATCTGAGACTATGAATTTTGTCTGGTATGGCAGGAGAGTAAATGTTTCTCTAGTGTAGAAAATTTACTGTTATTTTTTAAATGACTTTTTCTTCCCACTAAGGTCAACCAAGTATCAGCTGTAGTCGGAAAAGATTTTACTGTTATGCCATCCAAACTGATCCAGTTTGACCCAGGTATGTTTTGTGTTTACAGTTTGTTCCATGTTCTATAAGCAGTCTGGTGACTGTTGGGACGACAGGATATTATGCAATTTCAGCCAAGTGGCTGAAAGTGGAGGAAAATCAGGGAGCTGTACAACAGACAAGTTTGGCCTGAAGTTCAGCCCTTTTATATTTTTTATTACAAGTGAATATTTATTTAAATAGAAAAAAGGTCATAGCAAATAATAAACAAAAAAATCAAAGGAACTATCCAAAACAATCCAGAAAAATAAGGTAATTTAAATATTATTGTAATACAATGGTAATTTAATAACCATATATTTTAGTAGAATTTTTTCAAATGTTGTGATTGTATAGATTCCTAATTATCTAAATGATCTCTTTTGAAATAAGTTAATGTAAGGTGTTTTCAGGGCAAATTATATTATTTAATTGAATAGTACTTTGATTGAAATCTGTGGAAAATTTTGCTAGTTACAAAATATAAAGTATGAAAGTGTGGTTTCTTCTCCTGAAGATGTTCTGGCATTGTGCGCAACACACAGGCATAAAAATGTTTGCCAACAGTACTTTGGAACCCAAAGTGTAAGCCATGGTTCTGGGTAAAGACAATGCTGGACGACTTCCTAGGGGAAGAGGAGGAGGAGAAGGAAGAGAAAGAGGAAGACTGAAGCACTAATACAAAAGCACCTCGTCCCTGGAGAATCCGCCTTAAAGCCAGGAGACTGGGCACTGCCCTTCCAGGCTCTCCTGTGGATGGGCTCATCTGTTTCCTTGTTCTGCATGGCTCTCCCTTGTTCCCGGTGGTGTGTAATGGACCTGGGTCACTATCTACGAACAAATGGAAAAGCATTAAAGAAAGAGCCAGGGCTCGTTGGGTTTGTGCTCTGCTGCAGAGGTGTTTGGCTCCATGACGACTATCTACCAAGTATAAGCTTATTAGACATGAAAATGACCAGATGTCATTGTCCCCAAATTGATGGTCTTAATGTTAGGAATGTCTTTGTGCTGTTCACAACAAGAAGCAAAGCACGAGAAGATTATATTGTTTTCCCATAAGGAAATCCCATGCAACTGGATAGTTTTAAGCACAGCTATTGCCTTGCAGTTTCAGAGGCTGTTCAGTCCAAGACCGATGTGTGAGTCTGTGAGGGAGAATCTAGCCTGTTCCTTTCTTTTGTGCTTTTTGTGGTTTGCTGGTCCTGGCTCCTTCTCTACCATCCTGGTCCTTGTCTTAGCCTTCACATGATGCTCTCCCTGTGGATAAATCTTTCCTTGTCATAAGGACACAAGTGAGCTTAACAGCTACCCTGCACCACAATGACCTTGTGCTAATGCACCACTCACACCATTACCCCATTTACAAATAGGGTCCCATTCTGAGATCCTGGCAGTTAGGTTAGGAAGACCTCAAAATAGAAGCTCTGGAGGGATACAATTGGGGCTGTTACACAAACCTTAAATTTGAATGTAGCAGCTCAGATACTATCGTCAGCCTCCTTTTTGGGTTATTTAGCTTGCTAACATAGATGAGTTGGTTTTCTAGGCTGACTACATTATCGCTGCTCTAAATCTGGTGTTTATCCTCAGGCTTCTGCTGCAGGTTCTTCTGCCCTCAGTTCTACAGTGAAAGGGTTAATGTTCTTCTTGCCCTCGTGCTTTAAAGGACTTGTTTGAAAGTCCATCATTCTTGCCGTATGTCCTTTTTATTATCTGTAGCCGTTTGTTGTAAGTTAGGTTTGCAGCAGTCACCACCACCACCACCCCGCCCTCACCAGCACTCTGTTTGGGTTGAGAGGAACTAGAATGTATCACACCAGGGGAGACTCAGAAATTCAAATTCATCTCTTGGAGAGTCCACTGCATAAGATAAATGCCTGTTTGTCTAGAAGAGTTTCCATGCTGTTTTGATAGCTACTAATGACTTGGGGGGTCGGTGGGAGTGCGGCAGCTCCAAATGGTCTTGGGATTTTAGGGATTGTTTATACATTGAAAAATAATATAAGCATATTTTATACAATTTTTAAAAGCCACATGCTTGGCTGCTCCTGATTTTGGAATTTATTAAGCCAGAAATAATTTCCTATCATGAAGCCTTCCTTTAGAGAATTAAAACTTCCCCACATCCACAGGTCCTGTAAATGTTTATATACTTTCATAATGTAAGCCCTGCCTCTTTTAGAGGTCCCCTGCTCCATCCTTTCCCTTTAGCTGAGAGCAATCTATTTCTCTGGAAATGTCCGCTCTTCCGATGCTAGAGAAACAGAACGGGCCATCCAGTGCATGGCTTCCTGTGTTGGAGAACTCTAGAGAGTTGGAGAACTCTGACTTGGGTGGGGTGAAGGTTTGCCCTGTAACTCTTCACCGAACTTTACAAACAGGAATCCTGAGAATACTTCCAGCTGTTGTGACTAAGCTGCCGTGTTTAAGTGCCTGTGCAAATACTCTAAAGCAAATGGGTGCTTTCCTTTAGCGCTTGTGCCACTCAAGGATTTGATGCATTCTTAATCAAATCTTCATCATTCTGAAAAGTCAAAATGTTTTCCAAAGGAACAGCTCTCTAATGTGGCATTTACTAAAAAATATTGAGAAAATGTCTCTCAACAGAGAAATCTGCTTTGTAGGAAAATATCCAGGAATACACTTTCTCTATAAAGTGGGGTGTGTTTATGTGAAAGGACACTTTTCTCAACCCCAGTACCTTTTGTTTTCTAGAAACAGGGTAGGGGCAGTTCAAGCCTTCTGAAGACCCAGGTGTATCTCAGGGAATTAAGGAACACTTTGCACCTGCAAAGTGGAGGAAGCAGGGGACCAAACAACATGAAATTTCTACTCGCAATCTCGTTAACCTGAGATGGTGACCCCCACACCTGGGAGGCTTGAAGTAAATGTATGCCAACAAATCAGAAGCTCTTAAAAGAAATGCAGAAGAAAGTTCTTTCAATTATTTGGTTCTGTTCCATAAGATCCTGCAAATATTTTCAAGGCCCTTTGGGGGTTTTTGTTGGTTGGCTGGTTGGTTTCTTTGGAAGTGATACTATCATTTTCTAAACTAAATTTTTGAAACAGGTAGACAACTGCTTGAGACTTGGAAATATATTCTGTGTAATTGGAGTTTTTAAAAATTGAACTTAATATTATGAGCCTTGGTCAGAACAGTTCTCTGAGTATTAATCATTAGTATTCACAAACTGTCTTCTTTGTCCACCCCTTTTCATGTTCATTTCATTTCCACAGCTGCTTCTAAAGCCCCTGAGTTTCCAGGTACCCAGCCTTCACATAGACACTCTCAAAATCAGTTTGCTAAAGCATTCACTTTCAGAATGTCCGTGAAGTCCTCCCTCATTAACCATTGTCTAAAGCCTGAATCTGGCCACCTGGTATCCAGCATTCTCCGTAGTGTGGGTACACCTGCAGCCCATGGCCTCCTTTCCCCAGATGTGATGTCTCCATTCAGCTGATCTACCTTCTACTGTGCTGACCAAATCCTCAACTTTGCTAAAATTGTTTATTTCCTTAATCTGTGTGTGTGGATCCTACAGGCATCTACTATACATGCTCCATTCTGTATGTTTATTAGCTGACCATGCATAGCTTTGAATAGTTATTTGACTTTCTAGTATATCTGTAGAAGGGCTAGGGAACTCTGGGTTCTACATCCACCTATCCAACAAAGCACAAATCAAAACATAATCTGTCTGTACTGACTTCAAAACCTTTGATTTTTCTTGTCATTGTATCTGGGACAATACAATAGTAACATGGTGTTCATATATTGGTATTGTAAACAATCTAGAGATGGCCTAAAGTTTACAGGAGGATTGCATAGGCTATATACAAGGGACTCAAGCATCTGCTGCAGCTATTTCCATCCAATGGGAGTCCTGGGACCAATTCTCCTGAATACTCCAAGACAACTATCTGTATCTGTCTTGTCTCCTCCAAGAAGTTTCAAATTCCTTTAGGTCAGAGCTTGGCTTATGCTACACTTCTGGTATTCCTCATAGCTTCTAATGCAAAGGTAAGAACTTATGGATAAAAGATACATTTTGGTGGACAGATTCATTCATCCATGAGATGTGAATTAATTAGGATTTTATATTAGCTAGTTCAACTTCTGATTTTGCAAAATCTATGAAAAGAATTAATCTGAGAACACAGTTGATTCTGGGACCTTCATAAATCAGCTATCAGCTTATTCCATTTACCAAAATTATTGCAGATCGCCCCTATTTTTTCCCCTCTAAAAGCAGCCAAATACAGAAGTGAACAATTTCAACTTTCCACCGGATGCTACAGGGATTAATGAGACACTGATTCAGTCACAAAATGTTATGAGACATACCTTCAAGAAGGTGGTTGTCATGTGGATGGCAGAGTTAGAGATGTGTCAGTCCGCAAGAAGAAAAGTCAATTCTCAGAAGAGAAGGCTAGGAAACAGTCCTTAACTACCTTATAGAGCTTTCTCCATAGGCACCCATAGGCAGGGGAGGCAGGACAGACTTCAAGCTTTGCCCTAGAGGCTAAACTGTCCTCTTACTGCCCTTTGTCCCCTGCGGCTGGTTCATCTCTACCCTCACCTTTCCTTCTAAATAAACCCAAGAAGATGTCCTACAGTTCCCATCATAGAAACCTCTGAGGAATTGGGCCATTTCAGAAGTGTCTTCCAGCCTGAGTATTTTTATGTCTGAGCTAGGTTTGCCTTCCATCCCAATGGGACAGATTGGCTGGGATATCTTCGTGGATTAAAACTTACATTAAGTTCAGAAGATTATATGAAATAAACTTGTTTATACTCCATGATAGAGGCTAGGCCAGTCTATGTCTATAATCCTCAGCCCATACATTCTCTCTAGGAGAGTATCCAACTGCTGAAGAATGCATCATCAGGAAAAGCAGCCATGGGCTAGAAGATCTGGGGAGGGAGAGCAGCCCATGCAAGCAGCTGTTGGTGGAAATGAATCACTTCAAGAATTCTGTGAGGTGCCTGAAGTACCATCCAATAATCACTTCTGCCTGCTGCAACATCTTAAGATTCTTGCAACTATTAAGATTTTCAGATTGTAGTAACTATTTATTCTGAAGAACGGAGGGGATGGGTTGGGAGAAAAATGAATGTCTGGGATTTTGTCTACTAACCTTTTTTTCTCCCCCTGTATAATGCAGCTTACTTTTTGTTACAGTGTTTGCATTGAGGCGATCATCATTGTCCAGGAACAAATGCAGTCTCTTTATATTATTTTGGGAGAACAGCAGGGCCTCAGTGAGTTGGTGGCAGTACAATAGCTCACTCGGGCTACTGCAGTCTAGCTGTAGACATGTTAATTAATATATTTCTCTGACACCTAGGTGATTGAAATAGCAATTAAAGAGTAATTAAAATGTTTACTTCTTGTAGGAATGTCAACTAAGATGTGGAATATAGCAATTACCTATGACGGATTAGAGGAAGATGATGAGGTCTTTGAAGTAATTCTGAACTCCCCTGTGAATGCGGTTCTTGGCACAAAGACAAAAGCTGCAGTGAAAATTTTGGACTCAAAAGGAGGTATTCTTTTGATCCTCGTCTTGAAATCAGGAGAGGTCCTGGCGCCATGGCTGCTGGCTTGCAGCAGCCAACGTGCTTGATAACACCTTCAAATCAAAATGCGTAATTTCTTGTCAAGAAAGCGGCCTCCATCATGAGGCTGGTTGCTTTATTCTGGTTTGTGCTTCATGTGGTTTTCCCCCTGCTAAGAGCAATGGCTGCAGAAAAGCAACAAGTCAATGGCCTGGTTGCTTTTTTCTAAGCGTTTGTTGTTCTCACCAAGGGGGAAACAATGTTGGTGAGAATCTATCGACAATTATTTTCCCCCAGAGTTTGCAGGGCTGTAATTATCTTCCTCTGTTAAAGAGCACTCTCGGAGCCCAGCACTGGAGCCCCCACTGTAGTGTGACCAGGGAAATTCTAAGAAGGGAAGGAATTGGAGAAAAATAGACGTGAAGATGCAGCTGGCTGGGGATTTGGGGGCAGCTGGAGAATACTAATGAATGACTTGGTGATGCGGAGCCAAACCATCCTAGGAAGGGTATGCTACAGAGCAACCTGCAAATAAAAGAAAAAGCAAAGCCCTTCCTTGGCACTCTGAGGTTTTGTTCTGCCAAAGTCCTTCTGCCTCTGGTTCCTTATCTATGTGGCATTTGATGTGTCTGGTGTGACATTCCATTTTAAGCCTTTATTTTTATGCTTGTCAAGCCCTGTGATCTGCATTTTTTCTCACCTGTATTCTATTGTGTCCCCACTCACCCTGTACTAAAAATGGGTGCTGTTTCCCATGCTTTGTAGGCCCACATTTCCATGACATCTCCCATCCCACCTTTCTCCTTACCATGTGTGCCTCTTTTCCAGCAGAAATGTCTGGTCACATTAAGTGCGTGAAATCTAAAAATACAAAAATGTCCCCAGGTTGGAAACATAGCTCCATGGCAGACTGCTTGCTTAGCTTGTGAAAGGCTCTGTACTCGAATCTCAGTGTAGCTCAAACTAAAATAAATATCCAGACAGGATCTGTCTGTAGGTTGTTTTTGTTTTCTTTTTGGTTGAGGTTCGATATTGTACTTTAATTTTTAATTACTCTTTACTTGTGGTGTTGGAGAGGCGATCAGAGGACCTGTGGCAATCTGTTCTCTCCTATTATGTGGGTAGTCAGGCTTGGTGGCAAACATCTTTACCTGCCGAGCCATTTCACCAGCCTGGTTTCTTTTTTCTTTTTTCTTTTTCTTTTTTTTTGGGGGGGGGGTACCCTCTCAGAAATACTGATTGTCAAGGTTTCACTAGGGTTTTGTTCTATTGTAGTTGATTGCAAATGTTTAAAGCGGCTTTTATATCGTATGACTTCTTTAAACAATTCCAGTTTCTGCCTCGAAAAGACTGGAGGAAAACTGAATACTTTCAAAGAGTGTGTGGGGTGGTACTTGAATAAACCTTCCATGTTGATGAGGATCACAGAAGGAGGGAAGTGAGCCGGTTTTCTAAGTGTCTGGAATGATTATAAAACCATGACTATGATTTTCATCTATGATTTGTGGGATGGATTTCATGACTTTATAATCACCCCATCCATGTGCAGAAGGATACTGCTTTCCCAGGTGGAAACTGATGAAGAGAGAAGGAGTTTCTGGCAAATGGGAAAAAGGCAACATCTGGTGGGAAATTCATCTGTCTAGGTTTAATGACAAGCTGTTCCAGGAACTGTGTCAATGCCATCACTTATGTGTTTGTGTAGTATACTGATCGCCTGCCATCTTGCATGCCTCCAGGACGGTGCCATCCTTCAAATTCCTTCAACCAAAGCAAGCACAGCACATGGGGGAAGGGCATTTGGCATCCTCACTCACCCCCAGGGTCATCCTCACTCACCACTGCTGGTTCTCCTCATCTGGAAAGAGGGCCTCCTCCATCTTCTACCAAAGGAGATGCCCTTCAGGGTTTTGATCCCACAGACCTCTCTCAAAGGGCGATGAGGACCCATGGGAACGGCAAATCAGTAAGGATGGGGGTGTTCTGGGAGTGGATGTGTGGGTACATAGTGCTAAGTGTCTGAGACACTGCAGAGACTGGATTTTCACAGCAAGTTCTTCGAAGAGTCATGCAGTGTCTTTTTGTATGCAAATATCATTATGCTGACTCACTGCACTAACTGTGTCAACTGAAGTGATAGGTGCATTATTTTAGCTATATGAATCCTGCTTTGGTTCCTTTTAAACCAAGACAGATAGGGAGAAATCAGTGATCCTATAATGGAAGCACATTTAAGTGACCCGTTGGGTGTGGAATTGATGAGGCATATTTTTGCATGTGTGTGTGTGTGTGTGTGTGTGTGTGTGTGTGTTCTCTTGCATTTTTCTGTGCTGTAGATGCACTGAAAAACTAAAGCCACCTCCTCTTCCCAGACAATACAGTGGATGTAGATAGAAATCAACACAACAGTGAACTGGGTTAGACATGATGGTTTAAAAAATTCGATTGAACTTGGCATGAAAAAAATCAGGAAATATTCTTTTAAATTTTCAATTATTACAGGACCTTGCCAGAATATACTGCTAATTGTTTTTTATAGTCAGCCTTGCATACATGCTGTTCTTTGTTGATTTCAGGTTCCTCCATCTTCTGTTTGTAGAAATGGAACAGACACCATCTACAATGTAAGCATAGAGAATTGCTAAATGTCATGCTCATGGATGAAAACACTCAGTGAGATTATTATGTCTTTTCGCATTATCTGCTAATTTTAAGTTTTTGTTTGCTTGTTTGAAATTTGTTTTAGAAGACTGGGTGATTGAGAAAAACCTTTTTGTTTCTGAGTTGATACAGTCTTTAAATGCTGATTATTGGAACAAAATTTTGTTTGCTGCCTCTTTTTTTTTTTTTTTTCTCCTCATTGTTTTTGTTTGTTGGTTTCCTCAAGTATCATGGCATAGTTTCCTTGAAACTAGATGGTGGTAGTTTCTCAGCTCACAAAGGGAAGGCCAAAATATCCATCGTCAGTCAGCCACAAAAGACAATCAAGGTGGCAGAACAGCCTCTAGCTGATAAGGTGGAATCCACAACTGACTCACACTTCCCCAGACAGGTATGGAATTCTGTCTTCCTTTCTGTTTGCCTCCTAGTAAACTGTTCCCTGGGCCATAAACACACTTAATGTCACAAAATGGACCGAGTTGGGGGGTAGTTTACCCAATACCCATGCTGCCTTGTAGGTGAAGATCCAAGAGAGGAAAGTGTGTTACCAAGTTACATTGAATGGTTCTAAACTACTGCTCTTCCCTGCAGGGTCAGCTGCCCTTGTTTCCAAAGAACTGTTCTGTGGAATTAAAGGGACTGTTTCATTTTGAAGAAAGCATCCACAGATTGTATCTATGTGATGGGATCACCTGGAAAGTCTGGAGCCCCCAAACTAAGGTGGGGCACTGGTGAAGTAGCCAAGAATCTTTAGCGTCAATATGCCCTGTGATGAGATTATCTGATAAGTGATCGGTCATATGATTCTTAGCTCATGCTCTGTCTGTTCTTACCACACTGGGAAGCCATGAGAAAAAAAAAATGTTACAAAGTGGATTTTGAAGATCCGAAATATAGCATTAGTCAATTTTGTTTAATTATCAGAATGTCAGAGGTATAAAATTGAGCCATTTCTGACTGTGGTGGTGGTGCTTTCTGTAGAAAGTCGATTGTCTCCTAAGGTGGGGAATTGTAATGGGGGCTGCTCCTGCCCACAGACGTGAGGAGATTCAGGGGTTTCTACTGTGAGGCAGACTCCAGATTATCAAGTCCACTCAGATGTGAACCCTGACAACTGCTTTGCAGGGGCTGGAGGACAAATCCTGCCCAGCTGGATGGCATCTTTACTCAGGCTACTGTCACACCTTGGTCACACAGCGGAAAGGCACCTGGACCTCAGCTACCCGAGCTTGCAGAGAACAGTAAGGAACCCTATGTCACACATATCTGATGCTTTCTTTATTTCACATGGAGCTGTGGGCCTGCGTCAGTCATGGAATAAGTATTGTCTAATGTCTATCCAGCTTTGTTTAAGGAACCTAAGGGGAGTTTGTGGTTCAGAATGGATTTGCTGCTTCATTCTGCTGAGGTCTTTTTCTGTTATGGCTGTACTAGTGCCACATTCTTTTTCCTTTAATCTCCCTCCACTAAAGCCAAAGAATTTCTTTAGTCAGCAGCACTGTAGGTTCTGATACTTTCCTCCTCTCCCTCTCACCCTGCAGATGATAGACATCCATGCCCATTGATTTTAAAATACCTGGTAATGAAAGGCCTTGGCATCCAGCCTCTGGCAATGTAGGACACACTGATGCCCATAAAGCCAGGCAAGCAGGACAAAGGCTCATTGGGTAACATTCAATAAAAGATGACCTGTGGTCAAAAAATGACAACAAAATCCATCTGATCCAGAAGGATTTTAAAAATGCACATGTAGCAATCCTTGACCAAACTTTTTATTTGATAACCTGGATATTATCCAAACAATGTCATTACACTAATATGCATTCTTGCTAAGGTTGAGAATATAGTAATTTCTAGTTAATATTGATCATATCTTATACTTTATTAAATTTAAAAGGGTATGCTCATCTAAAGACACCATTAGGAAAATGAAAGGGCAAACCACACTCAGGAAAAGCTGCTCTTAAATCACATATCTGCTAAAGGCCTGGAATGGGGGCTAAAGCTCCTATAAACTAATAACAAAAATACAGCTGAAATAATAGCAAATGAGGTAGCTAGTGAAGCCTGCTGACTCATGTGAAAGTGAAGAAAACCAACTCCACAAGTGTGTCCTCTGCCATTCACCCATATGTAGTAGCATGTGGGCATTAATGCACACACATCATACATACAATTAAAACAAAATTGGATAAATGACTTAGACCTCACAAGAAAAAAAATAAACAGCAAGTTCATAAGTAATTAAAAGGATTCTCAACATCACTAGAGATGAGGTAAGTGAAGATGAAAACACTTTCCAGTCACTAAATGATTAAAAATCATACAATGACAAGACCAGTGTTGACAAGGGTGTAAAGCAAAGATAATTCTCATGGTTGTTACACATGGAACCACACAATGGTGCATACACTTTGTGGGATTGTCTGACAGTTTCTTAAATAAAATTATGTGCCCTGTGACTTAGTAATTCTACACCTGGCTACTTTACCAAGAGAGTAAAACATATGCTAGAAAATACAAAAGAATTTTATAAGTTTATTCATAGTGATAGTAATTTGGGTCAATTTTTTTATTGATTTATAAAAGTACTATTTACTCCATCACTGAGATAATACATTTATATAAAGACCAAACCTCTGAAACCTCCAACAATGTGGGTATATTATGGATAAACAACATGTAGAATGTATATATAGCCTTACACCATAGAACACACATTCCATGACTCCATGGATATGTGTTAGAGAATCTAATCTACGTGGCTTCAATCATAAAGGGTTTTCACAGACTGTGAGAGGGCAAGGAACAACACCAAGAACTTTTCTAGTTTGAAGGATGGGAAGTTTCTGTGTCTTCATCTGCATAGTTATTATGTGGATATAATGCTGTTGTCATAATCTACCAAATGAAATAAAGATCTCTGCTTATTTGCATACTTACCTATTTGGGTTTTGTTTTGTTTTACTTTTGAGACAAAGTCTCACTATGTTGCCCAGGCAGGCCTCTAAACCATGGGCTCAACTCTCCTGCCTCAGCTTTTTGAATACCAGAGATTACAGGGCTGTGCTATCACACCCAGTTTTCCTTCTAGATTATTTTTATTTTTTGTTGTTTTCGAGACATGATTTCTCTGTGTAACAGTCCTGGCTGTCCTGGCACTCACTTTGTAGACCACGCTGGCCTTGAACTTACTGAGATCCACCTGCCTCTGCCTCCCGAGTGCTGGGACTAAAGGCTTGTACCACCACCACCTGGATAGATTTTTTTTAAAAACTATTTAAAGCCTGGGAGAGTCAACAATATTTTTTGCTAGTGGTATATTTTGTATCTTAACTGTAAATAGAGTCATGGTAGAGGTTAATCAGTGCCTTCATGTGGGGTGGGGTTGTTGTTGGTAAATTGGTAATGTAAAAATTAGTTAACTCTATGTGTTGCTACAATGCTGCATGCTGAAGAATAAACAAGACACCCTTTTACTAAAACAACCAGATATCCTACATCTATTTGAAGCTCATCTAGAGGATGTCAAGCTGGGGCCTCGATAGTTGTCTTGCTCTTTCCACTCCTTGAGAGATCTGGGTTGTTAACCTGGAAGCTGTCCAGGCTAAACAGGAAAAATCTGCTGTCAAATGGAGAGAATAATGGACCTTACTGGCAAAAGGCAGGGTGGTGGATGCACCCTGCTGTCCAGATGTCAAGTGTGGGGTTTCTTGGTAAAATGTAGACAAACAGAATGGAATTTCCCCCCAAGTCCAACTTGAAAACTGCCTTTTTGGTTATATTCCATTTAACTGTGGCTAGCTCTCACCAGTCAGAGCCTGACCTGTGACTTCAGTCACTTTCTTCCAGTGAGGCCCAAAGGACACAGTGAGTCCCCAGTAAGCCAGTCCTCAGTAAGCTTTTACTTTTAAAAACTAATTTGTTTGTTGAGGGTTGGTGAGAGGGCTGTTTATATATGCCTCTGGAGGCGGGAGGTCAATGTTAGATTTCTTCCTCAGTCATTATCTTAGCTTTTTTAGATATGGTGTGTCAATGAACCCAGAGTCTCTGATTCACTCAGACTTGCTGGCCACGGGACACCAAGGACCCACCTGTCTCCCTGTCTTCCCAGAACTGGGACTGGAGATACACTCTACCATGCCCAGCTTGTATGCTGACCCTGAGAATCCCAACTCAGGTCCTCAAGTTTGTACAGCAGCCGCTTCACTGACTGTGCTGTCTTCCAAACACCTACTTTTATTTTTGAACATTTATATTTGTTCACTTATTAGTGTGTGTGTGTGTGTGTGTGTGTGTGTGTGTGTGTGTGTTGGAGAGGAAACCCAGGGCTTGATAAATTCTGGTCACACGTTCTACTACTGAGCTATACCGCAGATTCTTATAGGTTGTTAATACAGTGAGAAAATAAAGTAAGATGCACTGGGAATTGTCTTTGCATCCATACAAAGATGTTGGTGTAAGGTAGGCAGGCTTCTTTTTTTTTTTTAAATAGAATATCTATTCTTGATTTTGAAATCATGATCTTCTAATTTCTTAGTGTGACAAACCTTTTTCTAAAACACTGCCCATTTAGAGAAGTACTGCTGGTGCCTTCCCATTGGTAACTCCAAGTCAGTATCCCAATACCTTTGTTTCAATGCATTTTATTACAGCTAGCTTTTAATGGTTAGTAACATACTAGTTACAGAGTTGCCTCATAGTTCTGTTAATACTGTCTGATTTACTCATGCTCATCATAAACACAAGGCTGAAATTAACTTAAAGTCCTGCCTACTTCCTCATGCACTTAACCTAAGACTTCATCTGCAATTTAGTGTTAAGCATCATCACCCTGAATTTGACTAGCCTGACCTAGTTCTGTGTGCTGCCTTGTCAATGGCACCTTACTTTCGTATTGTACTTGGTCATTTATGGAATTCTGTCACATATAGAACTTATTTGAAATCCATCACTGCTGCAAAGAAAGCCAGTATCCATACCCACAATTTACAGATATTTAGAGACAGGTATAAGGAAACAAAATCAGTTTCTCATTGTCAGTTAAGCAAGGAAAGAGGAAAGACTTTTCCATTACACTCCCTAAAAGAGCTTCAAAGTGTAGGGGACTTCTCACCACATATGCATTGACAAGTGTGTCTATTTTAACTTTGTGTTAGGCAAATCTAACACAAGCCTTCAAAATCATGTATTTTAAAGTCTCCTATCCCTCACAGCAAAGAAATAAAACTTTAAAACTGAATTCAACTAACCCTTTTGGGGAAAACCAAAAGTGTAATCAGGTTTTGGATTTATAGATTCATGTTTTAACTTTTTGTGCTGTAATAAAGTAAGTCTAGACTAGAACACACCTTAAAATACTGTTCTTTAGTATTGGTCTCACAGACCAACCCCTCATGCATTAGGGAATAGACACCATAGCTCAGTGCAATTGTCTTACATGGCAAGATGTATTTAACATTGATAATGTTGTCACAGACTTCAGATCATTTCTTTCCCACATCTCTTGCTTATAAAACTCTATTAAGAACGTAGATATTTCTGAATTTAAGTGCCTAGATTTAGCAGTTACTGAGTTCATGTCTTACTTACAAGTCAAATTAAGGATTCCTCTGTCCATAAATATGAGTTTCCAGTAATATCTGTTGATTACATGTAGCAGAACATGATTAACATTTGGGAATACTGTAAATGGAAGACTTTTGCCCTGGAAAAATGTCCATCTTCCTTGGTGATTCCAAGGAGGGGAGTGTGTCAGAGTGACTGCACTCTCAACTCCAACATGACTTCATAGGTAGCTTCAGAACCACTGTTGGTCAAATTATTTCCAAGTTATTTGGTACACTTTGATCTTGGGGAATAGTTTTAGGAGCATATTTTAAGAAGGCAACTAACTAGCAATAAAATAAACTCAAGTTGCACATGATGTATTTACCTTATTGACTGGGAAACTAAACGGCTTATCAGATACCATCTTAATGGTATTCTAGGGCATAGAAGGTAACGTGACATTTCTGCACTTCCAATTTTAGTTGAAATATTAAGTATTATATTTGATTGCATTTGCATGTTGCTTGAGCACTCATTTGATTTCAGAAGGACAAGAAGGATGATTGGAGATGTACACACTGGTTTCAGTCACTTTTTAAAAGGGCGTGGGAAATTTAAGCAAATTATCTGATTTCAGGAGGAATATTTGGGGATAGTAAGGGCCCCTCTCCAGCATGTGTTGTCTCTGAACCCCAGGCACCCCTCTACTGTTGAGCTTTAGCCAGGCCCTGGGCTTCCTGCTTCCTTCACCCAATACTTTCTGGATCATTTTTATCTTGTTCATCAGTCTTGTTGGCTTGAAAATGGGTTTTTCTCTAGGGATTGTTAAGCCCTTTCGTGAAGTTAAAGTCACACGTTTACATTTTGTAACTTGAAGCTTTACTTTATCATTAATTATTTTAGAAGATGGCTTTAGATTCCATGGTTAGAATTAGCAGACATACAGTATGTGTTTTGATTGGGCTTGAGGGACCATCATTTTATGCTGTTTCCTTGGCTTCTCCCTGGTTTTGTTTTTTTTTTTTTTTTTTTTTTTTTTTTTAATTTCCAGAGGGTCATTTACAATGCCTGTGTTTCAATGAGAACAGTAAAGTATATGTTATCCCTTGTCCCTAATCAGATTACTAACTCAGCTCAATCTTTTATCTCCCATCTCTTTGCCTCTCCATTGGTGTTTTATTATTTTTCTAACCCAAAGGAGCCAGACTGCTAGATTAGGCATTTCTTGAATTTACATATTGTAATCTCATCTGCTCATTTCCTAAGGCAGTCATTGTACATTTGGTAATTCTGTTATTATAGATCATTATCTATGATGCCATTTCCCTGTCCCACAGGAGCGTCTGGGACCCCTGCTGGCCTATCTTTAAGAGTTTCCCTGAAATACCAGCACTTATGCAAAACCCTTTGAAGAGGTAGATGTTTGTTTTCCTAGCTAGAGAAAGTGAAGCCTCTGTCTCCACATTTCAGAGTTTCCAAAGGGTTTTTACTTATATGTTACCCATATATTTCAATTTTATATCTATAAACACATATCTATACAGATAGTATAGGCCATATTTTATAAGTATTTGAGCAAAATAACAGGAAATTTTTTTTATTTTTTTTTTTACTTAAAGCCCCCATACACATGCCAAAACATTTGTTTTGTGAATCATTGCTTTAATATTATGCATAGGTGAGACATAACTGTTTTGCTGCTATTTTTCATTTGTTTTTTTTTTGGGGGGGGGGACTTCTTGTTTTGGAGAGTTAAACAGAAAACTGAAACTGTATTTAAGCAACTAAAATGCATTTTACAAAGTCTGTTTTAAAGATAGTTTCAAAAATTTTCAAGCAGGGTAGATGCTGAGTAACCAGGAATAAACTTATATCCATTCTGGTGATGGCTGTGAGGTTGGTAAGAAAATTACCAGGCAAGGGACAGAGGTGCCAAGCAAGAAGTAGATCCTACCTCTCCCATCCTTAGTCCAGTACTCCACAGAGATGGGGTAGCCCAAGCCCATTCAGCACGTGTTTAATATTGTGTGTCCTGAGCCTAGAGCATAAAGACTGGCCTCACTGGATATGAGGAGATGTCTCATTGTGGTGGCAGTGCCTGTCAGACACAAAATGACGACTTCAAAACCAAGTCATAAAGCTCCAATCCAGCAGCTCGAAGCTCTCCAGCACTCTTACAGATCTCAGGAGGCCTGTAAGGCACCAGTGGATTACAGAGCAGCAAATCCTGTGTTAGTGAAAGGAAAAAACATTAAGAAACAAATTACAGTTACTGAATTTTGGAAAGACATGGGCAAATGGAATGATATTTAGTTTAGTGGTTATTTAACTCTGTATGTGCTGCTATTTTATTTTCCCTTGTCATTTGACATTTCCCATGTCAACAAATGCTGACCAGGCAAGAAAATCACTATGATTTTATTTTCTTGTCATTTGACTTAAGGTTTTTTAAATTACATTTTGTCTTCCTTCATTTATGGGCGTATGGAAGTAAGAAAGAGGACAACTTAGAAGAAGGTTGGGTCCCTCCTTCCGTGACGTGGGTTGCAAGCCTGAAGTCGCCAGGCATGCCATTACCCACTGGGCAATCTCACCAGTCCTTAACATTTTAAATTCTTACTTTACCTTTATGAGTTGGAATAACTGTGCTGTTATGTTATGTGCATGCGTTATGTATTATTTCTTCTTTGAATCCATTACTTCTCTTTTCAAGAAGAAAATAACCCATAGGCTTTGATTTGAGTGTTTTTAAAGAGCTTTAAGTAAGTTCCATCGGAGAATTCAGATAATAGACTGCAACTTACAGGAATAGCTCAGCTAGCATCAATGTAATTCATCAAGAATTCTATTTTGAGGGAAAACAGTGTGTACAGGCAGGAGGAGCTTCTCTAACTTCTGTAAAATGGATGAGGTTTGACAATGGAGCTAGATTCCTTTCACTGAGATATGGGAAGGGTCATATTTGTTGGGTTATTTGAATAAACACACCCACCTCAGACTTTAGACTTCAAATAATTTTATCAGAGAAGAAAATAGGGGTATCTTATTGATCAAATTAAGTGGTAATGGTCAAATTTATACCAGCTAGAAAAAGAATTTCTGTAAGAGGATCAGAAGTCTAAGCTTATCTTTGGCTATGTATGGAGTTTGGGGTTAGCCTCAGTTAAAAGATACCCTGTCTCTAAGAAGGAGGAGAAGGATGGTAATCTTTATATTTTGGTATTAAGTAATTAATCTCATTAATCTTTACAAGCAGACAGTTGTTAATTTACAAAAAGATATTTTAATTACATCGAACTGTGACGTCAATAGAGCTATATAATATGGTAACACTGTTGCCCATCCCCTACTCCATAGATTAACCAAAGCTAAGCTAGAGAACTAAAACATTGAAAACCATTTTCTACATGTCTTCTGATTTTCCTTTTATTTCTATTATACACATCATATGAGCAGCAATATAGACTCCCTGGTGCTGAGATTCTTATTTTCATTTGTGCATGTGCAGGCATCAGGGAAACCTTGTGACCATCTTCTCCAGGAGGCATATGCAGTGGTTATGGGATATCAGCGGGAGAAAGCCCTTCTGGATCGGTAAGTGTCTGTATTCTCCTGAGAAGGGAACAAGCACACAAACAGCAAAGGCATTGACGCCCCCTCCATGCCCTTTCAATGATGGCATGCAATAGTTAGCTGGCCAGTCAGCTAACCACCATCTTAAGGCTAAGAGTATGGTCCAGTGACAGAGCATATTTTGAGCATGTACAAGACCCTGGGTTCAATACCTAGCAGCAAGAAAACAAGAGATCACTTTAGACATTTTGGCTTTTTGGTAGAGTACTTTTATTCTTGCAAGTCTATTTCAAAGACATAATTAGGGATGTGGTTAGACTGATAGATATAAAAATTAAATATAATGGCATTTCTAAAATTGGAAACCTTAGAAGTAGCTATAAATACAGTCAGATTACAACATGCCTATATGAAGGTGCAGATAATATTTATTGTTCTTACATTACCTAGTAAAGTTGTAACAAAATTTCTTATGTGTGTATATTAATTGATTCAAGAATTATATATTATATTGTTATAGATGCATATATGTATATATGCATATACACATGTACATAGTACATATATTAGTTTCTCAAGACAGGGTTTCTCTGTTTAGATTTGGATCCTGTCCTGGAACTTGCTCTGTAGACCAGGTTGGCCTTGAACTCACAGCAATCCGCCTTTCTCTGCCTTCTGAGTGCTGGGGTTAAAGGTGTGTGCCACCACCGCCTGGCTAGATGACATATATTGGATTTGTGACCTGGTACTAAGTGAAAAAAACAGGTGCACAACCATATGAAACATGGAATTGTATTAAAGGGGAAATAGCATTAGGGAGGTTGGGAACCACTGTACAACACTTCCCTGCCCCTCACTTGCTCTTTCTCAAATTCATGGCTTCTATTTTCTTAATTATATATATTATAATTATACAACTATATAATTATATGTAGTCTTTAATATACAAATACAACCTGCTCAGTCCATATAACATTAACTTGTACAGATATAAACTCAGGGTTGACCAATTGGTATCAGATAACCAACTGAGTGTGTCTTCCCTGAAAACACTATTTCTTATGCTCTCAGCATTCTTTAGTTGCCTGTAGTTCTTTGTCTAGGGTAAGGATTTTACATGGGCTGCCATCTTTAATCTTCAACAAAACTACATATGCTATTTTTACTCTCATTCTTTAGATGAGAATACTGAAACTCAGAAAGGGCAAATAACCTACCCAAAGAGGACAGAGTATGCTTGGCTCCAAAGTCTAATGCTCCTAAGTGTGCCATGTTGTAACCCCAAAACCTAGTCTTGGATCTAGAACTGGGACTTACATTTATTTATAACCATGCTTAGTGCCATAGACTAAGACAGGTTTTGTGGTACACACCTATAATTACAACTATTTAGAGGTCTGAGGTAGGAAGACCATGTGTTCCAGACCAGCTGGGGAACTTAATGAAACCATACTCAAAAAGTGAAAAATAACAGAGTAGAGTAGGGGACCTAGCCCAGTGGTAGGGTACTTGGCTAGCATGTGTAAAGAAATAAATTCAATATCAGTACCAAAAGGAGGGGTAGAATAAAGGGAATGAGATAGCCATGGCACCTAAGTTTAAATGTAATAAAAATATTTGGTATGTTTCCTTGACTCACATTAGGCTTGAAGAACCAAGGGCGCACTGGCCGCTGGGAATGGATTGGAGGAGAACCTGTTGCATTCACTAACTGGAGGAGAGGGACCCCTCAGCACCCAAGGCCTGGGAAGAACTGTGTTTTGGTTCACAAAAGAGGACAATGGCAATCAAAGAACTGTAGTAAAGGCAAGGCCCACAATTTTGTGTGCTCAAGGAAACTCTGAATGTAACCTGAGATTCCTCACCTATCTATTTACAAGATCTATGTGTATTTGCTCAGTAGAAATGCATTGTTGTGGCTGGATGGGTATATCTTTGTGGGCCTATCAAGTGAACATGTAAGCTAGAGCAACACTCCCAGGAAGGTGGGTGTATGAATGTGTCTTTCAAGATGAGATATAATTTCTGTATCTCAATATTTTTCTAAATAAACACCTGCAGTATTATAGACTGTAATATTTACTTCTTCTAGACGATTCATACTCTTTCCTATGCCAACTCTCAGGCAGTACAAATATCCATGGACCTTAGATATTTTTGTTCCTAGTCCTCAGCTGAGTTCATCCAGAAAGTTCAGTATTGCAGGTGCTCCTACCACAGAGTCTGGGTTCTGAAGCTAGCCCTGCAGATCCATTAAACTGAGGTTGAATGCCAAGGGTTGGCTTGTATCCTTGGGCTCTTTTAATGTTAAATTTAAAATTAGAGGCTGTGGGTGGACAAGGGGGCTCACTTTTGAATGGAAGAGTCTTTCAGGAGGACACTCAACTGCACAGATCTAGTGAGGTAGAGGCAGGGGCCAGACTCTATTGCAGAGACCAGATGGAGGCAGGGGCATGCCTCTACTGGAGAGATCAAACCATACAACTCATGAAACATATTCTGTCCCAACGCAATCATGGCATTGTACCATTCCTTGGTTAAATATTGGGTTTCTCTGCCTTCCAAGATCATGTGAATTTTGAAGTAGCAATATCTCCATCTCCATTTGCTATGCTGACTAATATTTTTAGAGGGCCTTTGGAATACGCAGTAACTATGCAAACTAGTTGACACACAGAAGAAAGATTCCACTCCCTCAGAAGCACCCCCACGAACTATGCTGCTGAACAAAGGAAAACAATACTGGAAACAGACCCTTTGAAAGCCCATAGTCTTGGGAAGGATGCTGATGTGACTGTGAGCCTTTAAATCTGTAATATTTGCAGAGATGTTCCTCTAACTAGATTCTTTAGTAGAAGGGTCCTTATTAATTTATAAACTCAGCTGAGTGAAATGTTTTTGTAGCAATGAAGCATGCTGTGCCTCTCTCAACAATCCCTTCTGGAACCCAGGGTTAATTATAGGAAGTCAGAACGTCCTTTTTGAAATGTTTATTAAAATTTTTCCTTTCATGATCACTAAAAAATATGGCTGTGCCAAATATAGCTTGTCATATGAGCACCAGTGTAACTTTAGAATTAAATGAGGTGTTCATGTAGACTAGAGCTTTAGGGCATACTTTTTAAATGGAATAATAATATCTCAAGTGTTATAGACACTAAAAATGGCTTAAGAAAGTCTTTCCAGTTTTCTGGATATAAAACATGACAGACTTGCTTCATTTCTGCTCATTTATCAAAGTTTGAGTTCTTAGGAAATTTTACCTAAAGAAGGTAGGATAAGACTCAGACATTCTGTCTCTTTCGGAAATCCAGATGTAATTGCAGGTCTGGAGTCCTCTGTAGACAGTAAAATGCAAAGATATGTAGAACATAAGGATCCTTCAGTGTTTAACCAAAACAGGCCAAACCCCTCCTCCACTCTGGCTCCAGCCAAGTTCCTTGTCATCCACTGGCTTCTGTCTTACACAAAGGTGGGGTTCAGAGTAAAGGGAAGAGGATGGATCCACAGTGCAGAGAGTGAGGAATTCATTCTCAAGCTGTGTACACTATTTAAAGCTGGAAATACGGAAGTATGGCAACCATGCTCAATCTGGTTGGCATGGCTGGTTTGTTACTCTTTACTGCGGTGAAAAGGGCATGGCTGTAATTGCAAATGTTTAGCATAGAGAATGGTTTGTCTGTTTGTTTGTTTTATCAATTAAGAATAGACCATTTTGAAATTTTCCCAATCATGAAAGCTTTATCAAATTGAGAAATCAGGTCTAAGTGATTGAAAGAACATACAAATTGAGGCAGGCTTGGATTCTGGTTATGACATGAGTGTGAATGGCTGGAGATGAGTGTAGCCAGGAAAGACTTAAGAAGCTGCAATTGGACTGAATGTCCACTCAGGAACTTTCTGCATGCAAGGACATACGTGCAGTTCAATGGTATATAACTTTTCAAAATGTCCTGAAATTTGATCTTTAAATAACACATAGTGTATGTCTACTAATGATAAACCAAAAGCTGGAGTTAATCATTTCCTCTCCTTCCCTGCAATGGTAAAAGCAAACTGAGTAACATTTATTTGTGTTTCTATTTTAAAAAAACAAATATGTATGTATTTTAATAAACACTATGATTCTGTGTAATTTAAACCATCAACTGGTGCTAATTTCTGTAATGAAGTAGCATATTTAATTACTGTAATACTGTTGTATCAAAATTAATAAAATAAATATCTATTTGTCAGATAATGTACCTTTAGTTTTTCATATTTTACATTTTTATGATGCCAGGTATTGTTTTATTTCTGTCACGTTATTTGCTTTTTAAAGACAGTCTCTCACTATGTAGCCCAGGCTAGCCTTGACTTCATGACCCTCTTTCTTCAGCCTCCCGAGTGCTGGGATGCCAGGTACATGTCACCATCAGTTTGTGTCTTAATGAGTCTACCCCATTTGAGAAGGGATGGATGAAAAATCTCAACATGTCTGTTTTTTTTTTATTATTATTATTGGTTAGACTAGCTGTTAGTTATTAACTGCTATGCATTCATATAGTATTTATTCAGTGATATCGAATATGCAGCATCAACTCTATATCTGGCATGGTCTTAAACCTCAATCTATATGGTAATGAATGGAATAAGAAAAGCACAGAGCATATATGCAAATTTCTGGAAGTTTTAAAGCCTGGGTTTCTATGTTTAGCCTCCCTGTCCTGGAACTCACTCTGTAGATTTAGAGATCCTTCTGCTTCTGCCTCCCCAGTGCTGGGATTAAAGGTGTGGCCACCACAGCCCAGTTTACCTGGAGAACTTTTGACCAGGGAGAAAGTGGCAGTGGAGCTTGGTGATTATGTCATCTCTTTTCAGACCAGGAGGGAAGCACACTCAGGGGCAAAATGTTCAAGATGATTTGTTAGTTTCCCCAGATTAAGAAATGGGTACTGACTTCCTAAATTTATATTCAAGGGCAAGTATCATTAATACTAGTACTTCCTAATTCATGTCTCCGCTAAGGAGATAGAACAAAGTTTTTAAATATGGATAATTCATTTTCTAACTTCTCCCCCTAAACAATAGGCATTCTCTAAAATAGATTCCTGAAGCGACAGAAATAGACCTTTGATATAATCTTATCTGATACTCACATTTTACAGAGGAGAACCCTGATATCCTCTGAAGTCACAATGTGAAATCAGCATCAGGACTGGCATCTTAGAAATGACAGGCAGAAGGATGGAGACATAGTTAAATGAGTAACATGCTTGCTATATGAGTATGAGGACCAGTGTTCTTAACCAGCACCCAAGTAACAAGCCAGAGTGGGGGCTTGTGCTTGTAACCCCAGTGCTGGGGAGGTGGAGAATGGAATGTCCCTGGGCTCTCTGGCCAGGCTAGTCTAATAGGTCAGCACTGGCCTCTATGCATGTAGACACACCACACACACACACACACACACACACACACACACACACACACACACACACACACACAAAAAAAAAAAAAAAAAAAAAAAAAAAAAAAAAAAATAGCAGGCAGAATCTTTCCCAATAGTAATATTCAGGTGGCTTTATTGTATTCTAGTACAATGTCTTTGAATAGTGTTATAAAATTTATGAAAGACACACCCTAAATCATATATTGCATGATCCTATTTATGTGAAATGCCCAAAATAGGCAAATCTATAAACCAAAGTGGGCCAGAGGGTAGAGGACTTGAGGGGTTGAGACTAGCAATAGGTATAGAATTTCCTCTGAGGGGATGGAAATACTCAGGATTAGGTAGTGGTGACAATTACACAATATAGGAATACACTAAAACTATAGAAGTGAATATTTTATCATTTGTTGAGGTGCTGGAAATTAAAACCAGCAGGCATTCAGTAAGTACTCTGTCACTGACACACATCCCCAGCCCTGTCCGGGCCATATATTCTAGAAATCTATTCCATCCAGCCATGAGTTCTGGAGTTCTGGGCTCTCCAGAAGCTCTATTGTCTTTTAGATATCAGCTAATGGCTGCTAGATATCCTGGCCTGGTGGAGAATGACTCCTATTCTAAATAACAATAGCCTTGGGCCAGAGTCTATACTCACCCTGAAGACTAGTGAGGTGTGCTGGGGTGGAGGTTCCTGAGGGCTTGAGTATGTGCAGCAGAGGAGTGCCTCTAGGATTTAGGGAAATAAATGCTATCAGTACTTTATACATGATAATAGACGTCTTCTGCCATTGCCCCCACCTGTGGATGGTTACTTAAGATGATGGATCAATAAACCACGGACTTCGGTATTACCTGATTGCCCTCCTGACATGATCAGATGTCTCTGTCTCTTCTTTAACATCATTGGATAGCTAGTTTTCCCTTGTCCACACTCCCCCACTGAGGGTCAGACCCGGGGTCATTGGGCTGGTTCCAATCATAGCCCTGAAGACATCCGTCTGTGAGAAGTAGCTCCCGAATGTGGGGCTAATACAGATGGTCCGAGAGAGATGGCACCAAAACGTGGCATGCAGAAAAAAAGAAGTGAAGTATAGTGAGTGAACGGCATTAAGTCAGGAGTAAAATTGTAAATAATTGTAGAAATGGGACACATATAATTGTAGATAGGAAACAGGAAAATATTAGATGACAAAGGAGTAAAATGTGGTTAGTTAACATTAAGCGTGAAAATGTGTATAATGTAGATATGAAACAGAGAAATATTAGCCAGATGAAAAAGAAGTGAGTGAGTTAACCTTGAGAGTAAAAATGTATGTAATTCGAGATATGAGACAGAGAATTATTAGTCAGATGATTGTATATTTACTTGGGCATATTTTAATAGCCAGAAGAGCTGGAGTAAAGCAGAAGCAAGTACAGAAATTTTTAGAGTTTGAAAGTTTTGTAAGGTTCCTTCCCCCTCACAGAAGCCACCACTGCAGCTGTCTCAGAGCTTGGGGAAGCAAAGTTGTGGCCCCACATACGAGCTAGGTCAGGAAGACTTCCAGGTGCCAAGAACTCAGAGTTACTACAATGGTGGTATTTGACTTTCCAAGCAGCTACAGCCACAGATGACCTGCAGCGGCCAGCCCAGGCCC